GGTGGTGTATTACAAGCGTATGTGGGAAGATCGTTTGTTCTTTTTTTTTTTTTTTTTCGTTAGTTCTTTTGGTCTTGGAATTGAGAGGGGTGGAGAGAGGAAGTGACGGTGAGGGAGTGGGGGAGGGCTTGGGGAGGGATGTAGTTCTGGATTGGTGATGCGACTCACAATCCGGTAGGCTTCTTTTAGGAATTCGTCTGCCGTCTCGGTCGAGAGATACCCCTTCGATAGGCGCGAGGCATTGGATTTGCTTTGGAGCAGATCCCGTAGGGTCGGGGTGAGGTCTGTCATGGTGCTTGGTTGTCGGAAAGGTATGGTGTAGTATGATGATGATGATGATGATGTTGTTGTTATTGACAGCTTGATGGTAGGCGGTGGAGAGCGCCGAGGCGGAGTGTCCCGTGATGGGCGCATAAACTATGTAAGATGCATAGTTCATAAAGAGGTATGGATGCCTCAGGCAGGGTTCGGTATAGATCTCGGTGGTGCTACTGTATTCTCGTCTTCATCATTTGATCATAAAGCCTACAATTCGTATATATCAGCTGCATGAAAGTGTCCATGGTAGACTAGTTCTTGCAATCTTGCTCCTTTTTTTCTGTAATTCGCTTCCTACCATAATTCAGTTCCTGTATACTTCGGCCAAGACCAGTTCGGTACAGTACAGGTCCTAAGTGACTGGAGAAATCCGGTACAGTAGCATCGAAAATCTCTTTCTTGTGCATTACCTCCGAGTTTCAGTGGGATTATGTATCGCGACACATATCATTCAGAGTCAAAGGCATAAAGTAGACTTTCTCATCTCAGAACCCTCACTCGACAAAGAACACCATGGTGAAACCCCTCAGTTTTGTAGGTATATAAGAGACATGCAAGCCCAAATTATCTGATGAAGCATCACAATGATCCAAAACTCTAGCACCATCATTCAGTCGACAGTGATCGACTGTCTGGCTACGACCCGTGCAACCAGAGACAACGTTGCCCACCCTCCATATACCCACCAGCGATGGATGTGGACGGCATCGTAGTAGATGCCTTCCGCAGGGGAAAGGTTCGATACACCGTCTTCGGGGCGCCGGTCTTGGAGCTCTTTGGGCTGCAGGTTAGCTATCCCGATTTCTGCGGCTATGTCATCCCCGACAAGTACATCTCCCATGCCTGCCAAACACTCGAGGATTTTGGTTTGGAACGTTGCAAACACGGAACTGCGTGTTCAACGATGACGGGGCACAAGCAGCCCCCAACGGACGTATATCACTACCACCTCGAGGACGACGTGGACCGACTAACGGTGACAACTCCCGGGTCCACCACCTTAGCAGACACCAAGCCTCCTGCAAACGACCTCCAGGGCTGGCCGATCCTGACTGTCCGAATCTACCGGAAAAGCCTGTTCATGTGGCATGTGCACGACCCGCCGCTTCACAAGCCGGGGAAGCACCACCTTGATTACATGCTGAGTGGGGAGCCGGAGAACCGGCTGCAGAACATCGGGCGCGAGGATGTGATGCTCCCTAGCCCAGGGTGCTGGGCACAAACCTTATTCCTCCTGCTCTGCCGTGATCTGACTGGCGGTAGTGTGTTGCAGGAGATTTGGATAGGGGAGCTTACGAAGATGGCCGCTTCGCTCAAGGATATTTACCTCGACATTGAGCCCCACTTCGGGAGCTTGCTGCTGGAGTTCAAGAAATCCATCCTTGAGGATCAGGATCCGCTCCGGGAGGAGATTCGGGACGCCCTTTGGGAAATTGGTCGCGTCATGAAGTCGTCTGATGAGATGCCCAAGACCCAAGGGGCCTTGTACAAGGACCTGGGTCTTGTAGCACCGTACGGCAATGGAGTGGATGACGAGGAATCTGAGACTGATAATTGTGGCGACGAGACTTATGAGAACGATGAAGTTAATGATGAACTTGAAAACAGTTCTAAGACTCTGGTTCTTCAAGAAGCCATTGAATCTGAAAACGAGGAAGAGCCGGAGACTTGCGCCTGTTCAGGCTTCAGTGAGCCAGAGGAAGGCGAGTCACTCAACGGCGACAGCGACAACGACAGCGAGTCCAGCGATTCCACCGAGCTTGACAGTGAGTACCTCCCGTAATCCCTGGGCCTTGGTAGAGTCTTTGCCATGAATGACGGTCTCTAGAAGTTACATTTTGCCAGATAATATATTATTTGATATGCCGAAACCATGTACCCCGTAATGTGAAGTAGTGTGTGATTTAATATGAAGAAGAACGCCTGATGCGTCGAGAAGAGCTTTGGTGCTCTTGTCTAAAATCTTGGCAATATAATGCGGACTGATCTTGACAGCATCAAGGATGAAGGACAAGGCCCTGCCTTAGAAGATTGGGCAGAAAATCAGATTGTTGAAAATCTCTCTGCCCAGGTCAACAATTAACTCCTGCGAGTCCATCGGTATCACCTCGCATACAGCTTGAAGCGTGCCGGAGAGCATGCACAATGTCATGACTTGCTTTGCTGTCGATTCTGTGTTCAGCCCCGCAGACGATGGGTCTGGACTAGTGGCTTCAATAATTTGTCTGTGTAGATAGTGGCTTGCTGCGCACAAATCGACAATCCTCTCACAGTCAAGATGATGGGCCAAAGCTCGTCTACTAAGGTGCCGCAAAATTGACCCTCCTCAAACTTAACAAGTATTGTAGGAGTTTCGTTCTAATGAGAGGTGGATATTCTGATAGGCCAACGGGAACGTCTGCATGGGCTTTTGACAACATTCAACAAACACGAGAGAGCATGGGAGAGAAAAGCGGCATAGCATAGGATGGGCTCAGCTGACAAAATTGGTCATAGTATTTCCTCCACACAGCTGAGGGAAGATAGTAACGCGTCTTCGAAATTGGGCGGCAGTGATACCCTGAAAGAGGATATTGTGGAAGGAAGAACGTCAACTCCACTGCTCATCCCCACCACATGAAGAACCAGCGGGACATCCGACTTGGTATGGCAGGCACACGGGCACAATCCAGGGCTACTGAGACATAGATGAACTGTACTTACAGCTGCAGTGTTTCCATCTAATCTAGTCAATAAAAAAACTTCTTCACATGATATACTCAGAATCTCACTCATAGCCACAGAGTTCACGATATATGAGACCAAAACATAAACTTCAATTGTCTATACTAAAGAGCAGGCCTCAAATCCATATCCAAAATCACACACTAAGTATCTAAGTATAGTCACCCAGAGAACCAAGAGCCACTATTCAGACAAGACTGGAGAACAACCTCCCGAGTCTAATGAAAATGAGTCGCCACCCGCGCCTCCGGCCCACCGAAGATCATCTCCCACTTGCACTTACAGCGCGGACACGTCAGCACCTCGGTGACACGCAGACATTTATCCGTCCACGCTTGAAAGCAGGCCGTGTGGAAGTTCTTGTTGCAACCCGTACAGTACCACTTCAACGGGCTTCCAGGAATCGGTGTCCCTTGACACAGGCCGCAGTGGCCCTGAACCGACACCGCGTTCTTGTTGCACCGGACCATGCAGGTCGGGATAAAGTTGGCTATTGTGTAGGTCATGGTCACTTGTCAAAGTCGGATTGCTTAGACTAGTGTGATGCGCTTGCGTGGCTCAAGGCTCTGTCAGTGGCAGGGGCTTTGCAGTCGGGGAGGGAGCTGCTGGGTGAGAATGCTGCAGATGTCCGTGTAGCTGTGTTGGGTGGAGCGGCAGCAGTCGTCGGCTGAGATCTGTTGGCTAGATGTATGAGCAAGTCGCTTCTGTCCGTTGTTGCTGTTGTCCTTGTCGATAGTCTCGTTGGTCTGACTGTGTGGGTTGTTGGTCTTGTGGCAGACCCAGCACTTGGACTCAAAGGCTGTCCCGTAGTCGATGAATATATTCGCGCCGGGGAGAATCCTGAAGCCAGTGAATACGGCTCAATCTTAGGAATCTTTCTGTGTAAGATGACCTCTGATAAGGACTACAGGGCCTGGCTATTGAGGCCCAAGCAGTTCTGTTTGTTAGGGGGGTCAGTGAGAGGTAGTTAGAGTTTGAGACAGTTTGGGCGCCGTGGTTGCGTATGTGCCAATATTGACGGCAGGTTGGGCCGAGAAGGGCTTTTATGGAAGAAAATAACTCTATTAAATATAAGGAGAACAATATCTTCTCAAGGGCGTGTACTATAAAGATTTGCATCAAACCTTGATTGAAAGGCATACCATAAGGTAGTGTTCTTTGTTGAAAGTGGCACTAACCGCCATGTATAAGGAACCTGTGTAAAGAATACCAGACTCCATGAATACCTTATTAATAATTGATGAATCTCGTTATCCTTTGCTATAAATTCATGTCTACATGCATGCAGAATAAGCTTGAACAACTCGATTCGATGAGAATTGCATGAGAAACCTGCATTTCCTTCTGAGAATGAACACGGGCGCCCACGCTCGTTGACTATTTCTCAATCTTGGGCATGTATCTTATCGTTCCAAGTCAGAGAGACGACTGCGTATAGTCCTTGAACCTGAAAAAACCTACCAATCCATTGCCGCCACATAAAAAAGACAAAGGAAGACAAAGGCCTAGTACAAGCACTTGCCGTGCCGTAGAGCTGCGTAGATACTATGAAGCTCTGCTAGACATAATCTCAATTCATCTCCAGCCTTCAAAGACTGTAACAATGTTCGAATTCAATGAACAAGTATTACTATCGTAGACGTACACTATATGCAGTACACACAAAAACCTCCCCGACCAGCTTAGTGATATACAAAACACGAATCCCAAAATACGCCCCACGCTATGAACAGTAAGAAAAACTCATGACCGCACGGAGAAAGCACTAGCTACCCATCCTGTCTGAAGTCCTTCTGCACCCGAATCCCATGCAATGGCAGCAAGTCTTCATCCCCCGTCGCAGTGCTCGTCCTCCCCCGGATTTTCGTGACTGTCTGGCCCCGATCATGCTTCGGCCGCAGCGACACCTCCATCTTCAGCGGGACGTTATCGATGTCAGCCAACTCGCCGTCGTCGGGTAGATGATAGAACGAATGGCGGACGACAGGGCGGGAGGATGCCCCACCACTGCCGGTGCCGGAAAGCGGGATATCGCCGGCCCCCAGCCGACTGGCCAGCTGCGTGGCCTCCGACTTGGAGGACAGGTGGTTGGCGGAGTGGCCGGTGCTGCGGAAGATGGCGGGCATGACGGCCTGGATGCCCAGCTTGCGGGCGGCGAGCTGCAGCGCGGGTCGAACGGTTGGGAGGCAGGCGGATACAATCCCGGCTGACATCTCGATGGCGGTCCATCCAACGGTAGGGGCTAAGGTGTAGGAGCTGTCGGCGGCCGTGTAGGAGAACAGGACGGTGAAGCGGTAGGCGGAGGCGAAGACCACGCTTTTTTTGTATTGCCTTAGTCTGGGCTGTTTTGGACAATGGGAGAAAACCGGAGCAAAGCTTACAAGAATCCCAGACCGAATGCTATGGTCAGAGCCACTTTTTCAGACATGCGGAGCTGCAACTTCCAGACTTGGGGCAATGGCAGGAACAGGATCACCAAATCGGTGGCAATGGTCGAGGTGGCATTGGCGATCCAGGTGCCTACCTGAGAGATGCAGTGGCCCGGTAAGCTGGGGTACCAGAGTTTTTGCACCGGGACACAGATGAAGATGAACAAGAAAGTGATGCAGATAACCCAGCAGATCACAAAGGTACCGATGATATAGGCCCACCGTTTGAAGTAGGCAAAGTGGAAGATGCGATAGTACATCAGCAGGATACTGAGCTTGGTCCACACCAGGTTGAACACATAAAGAATCTCGGCCACAACCAGAAATTTGGCGATGAGGATGACTTGTGAGGCCGGTAGCTTGTCGGCGTGTACGCCCATGCCTTCATGGATCATAGCAAAGATGAAGCCGACGACAACGAAGTTCCAGCCCTGGATGGGTGTCAGTGCGATCTGATAGGAGCCATAAATTTGAAGCATACCATAGAGAAGATAATCATCCAGTCATCCCACCAGAGTTTCTGCTTACGTTCCAAACGAGACACAATACGCAGCACAACACACAAAAAGGCAAGCACCGTCACCGAAGTGGTGGTGGCAATGGCCCATTGCTGTTCGTCAGTCGCCATGGCCACTATTAGAGAGAAATGGCCTGCGAAAGCGAGACTCCAAGGCAGTCCAGGTGGGAGGGTGATCACTATTAATATGGGAGCCGTGCATGGACAAAACCTTGGTGGGCGACCCACTGCTGAAGCTGCCGACCACGCTACATATGGGGGTGGGCTAAGGCAAGTGGAACAATTTTTTCCTGCCTACGCCGCGTGGCCAACGAGGAACTAGTCTAGGGTTGAACCAAACTCTGGAGTCAAAATTAAAGTGAACGAGAAAAGCGAACTGTTTAGTTTGAGGAAGTCTTGGAGAAGCTGTCGCCGGCTGCTGTCAGTTTCGAAAATCGCATGCCGGGTCCACTGTCCCAATTAGAGCTGGGCCAGACAACCCGGCTGGCCAAGACTGAGCATTCAACCTTTGGCCAAGGATGCACCGGCTCGAAGTAGTCGAAGCCACTAGAAAGACCCTAACTCGAGGTCGCCCCATCCGATGTGTCAATCCTTCAGCAGTTTCGACAGTTGTTCTGCCCACTTGGCACGGTTGGCATACAGTTCGTTCCTGAACTGTTCAACATTTTCCTGGGGCTAACTCCGTACTACTCTAGTCATTATCTGCGCCGCTACAGTAGCCCATATTATTTTTACCTCCTTCCAGCTGCCGCTCAGGCACTATAGCGAGTGACCATCTCACGGATCGCCGCGTTGACCTCCCGGGGATGCGTCGCATTCAGGTAGTGCGCGCCCCCCTCTACCATCTGCAACCTAGCCTCCTTACTTGCGGAGAACCGCTGGATCTGTTCTGCGGGGACCGTGGTCTTGAAGGGGAAATCTTCCGTCCCCTGATCATGACACATTAGCGGTTCCTGCTTCCCCGAGGCGCTTATCAGATTGATGTTCACTCACCTGCAACCAAAACACTGGGCACCGCACATCCTTCAGCCGCAGCAGCAGACCATCTCGCGTCAGCAGACACATCAACGCCATGCGCACTTTCTTGCGTCCCTCGTCTCCCGTATAGACCTGCTTCAGCGTCTGCACCCAGAAGTCGATCGTCTCGGGCGTTCCCGCCGCCCCAAAGCCGATTCCCGCCACCATACCACACCATACGTCGTCGACCACAAAGTCTGGGGTGGCGGTTTCGGTCGTCCATTTCTCCAGGAATGGGGTAAGTAGGGTAACGGGGTCCCAGCAATCCTTGGTGCGGGAGTCGGCCGATTCGTAATCCATCGAAGTACCAAGGGGCAGGATGCCAAGGATCTATCAATAGCAAAGGGGGAAAAGGGAGCACGTGTAAGTGAATGACTCGATCTTCGCAAGGATGAAATAAGCGTGAAACCAACCCTATCTGGCGCCAAAAGAGCCATGCGTGCTACAACCCATCCTCCCTGGCTGGTTCCAAGGGCAAACGCCTGCTGAATGCCCAGTTTTTCCATCACCTGAAGGGCCATGATGGCCGAGTCCCAGTAAGTGAAGTGTTCGGCGGCGGGCGCCAGACAGCGGGTGGCGCCATGGCCAAGAGGCTCGATGGCAAGCAAGTTGGCGGTGCTGGTCAACTCAGCATCCTCGAACTGGGGGCGATAGAGCGACACAGTCATGCACATCGAGTTGATGAGCACACAAGTCGGCTTGGAGGGGTCGTAAATGTTGTTGTTGGACAGGGCATAGCCAACTTCGATGCCACCCAAGTGGGGGACGGTGATGGTCTGTTGAGCGGCCATATTATTAGATGCTGTTATCGATTGAGTGAGGCAATGTGCGGAGTGTATATAAGAAAAGGTAGAAGAGAAGGCAGGAAGGTTTGGATTCGAGTTAATCTGAAAGGATTCCCCAATTTCCTAAAGTCGGTCTCTAGTCGGTTCCTTCCGCCGTAGACTCGACTATTAGTCTAATTATTATACGAATTTCTTGCTTGTCTCTCTCTCGAGCTGCAAACCCCTTTTAATCCACTACCACGCCATGGAGGTAGCGACATGAGACGTGGGACACCATTCGCACGGCAAGAACGGATTATTTGCGCTGGGTGTGTGCGGGTAAAAGGAGAACGAGGGTGTGTTGGATGGGGCACGAGTTAATGACAAGCCCTGACACAACCGGGCCAGTCCACGGAGTTGCTTCCCCAATCCGGGCGGCCTGCTCCACAAGGGCAGCGGGTTCCTGACTCAATCCCATGCTATTGTTTCTCGTGTCGTGGCCTGCCTTCATAGAATTCTCTGTCATACGGTACTCGAGCGCTTGCAGGGGCACGCACGTACTGAGAGCCTTTCACGAGCAATCCGACGCCGTGACATAATTTTCTTGTGGTTAAAAAGGGCATTGCGACGAATCCGAGCTCGCACGGGGTCATTCCCGTTCTCATTGGTCGGAACCACAAATAACGTTCTGACGGCGGCTTGGATTCCCTCGTAAGAAGTCTAAACCCGAACCTTCGACATCAGTAATAGCATTAGACGCCTCAAACTAAGGGACATCGAAGAGGCCGGGCCGGTCATTGTCTCTTGCCGAAAAAAAAAGAAGAGTGGCCAGTTGAACTGTGAGGACAAGGGGACAAGTTGAAACATGGGATGATGAATGACAGACGGGAGCAAAACATGGATCAGCCCCTGGTAGGGCCAATTAAGCTTATTAAAGTTGATTAAAAATGATGGTCACCACCATTACCTATTCATCCTGCTGGTCTCCATCCACCACATGGCAGAACAGGAGGGATCCAGGCCTGCAGCAATAGCAGGATGTAATACCATTCTATCCTCACTCTAATGCAATAATTTAGTGTCATAAATGCCATGACTCTTCTTTCTTTTCTGCCGGGGAAAGCGTCCTCCACCTGACCGCTTCTTCGCCTTCAATCCCCTCAAAATCTCCGAGATTTGTCCGGTTCTCCGGCTATTGAACCACTTTTACTATTGCCGACGATGCACACAATGGTGATAGTAAATAATGATTCGCAACCACAAAAAACTATACTTCAAAAGAAAAGTCACCGATCGTATTCCCTTGATGCGCCATAAGTCATCTACATTCCAGTAATATGACACCTCATTAAACCCCGCCTCGGCGCCAAGCGGGTCTACACGCCAACTTCTCAACGCGGAAAATGCTCAGGCATGGCGGACTCTACATTCTGAATCCATACATACGATCTGCCTGGTCTGATGTCTGACTATGGCGCAACACTCATCAGTCCACGGCTTGACCCGCTTCCTTCCTTTCTCTCCCCTGGCTCCTCGGCTTCGTTAAGAGAGCATCTCTCACTTGCCACACACGTGCATAACTAATCTGCAAGGTCGCCGAAGTCAGGGGTAGCGGGAAGATGTGGCTTGCGAGCATTATGCACCCACGGACTGTGTCTCGCCCGTTCTTCACAGTGGTCCCGCCCCACGCATAGCCTCTGAAGCAACCCACGCATGCACCAGTCTAGTCAAGCGCCTTTCGGCATATCTTTGAAGACCCGAGGGTTTGACAACTAGGGCTAAGCTATTATTGCGACCGAGATGCTGTGTGGTGATGATGAATAATTCTTTGTATTTTGTTCTCTATATGTCCATAGCATGTATTTATATCACAATGTAGCTGTTGCCGTCAAGTCATGACTTTACATGACCCCAGTTTTAAGGGCATCGGTTATTACAACAATAGAGAAGATGCTGGACGAAGCAATCTGAAGATTACACCCGGACAAGTCGTCAGCACCTCAAGATCTGAACTCATAAGCTGGTGGCTTTTTCATCTTGCTTGCATGAGTCTGGGACTTGTTGGAGTTTTAAGGTTTTGTGAGCATAGCCGTCATTGGTCATTGGTGTTCCTTAGTGACAACAGAGAAGGGTAAGCCATCTGACTACCTAATAGTCCATTGCTATCACTGACTCTACTGCCTAGGACAACTTATATGGTATATTGCGCTGGATGTGAACTTCTCAATGGGAATGATATGAACAAAGCTAGGATTACTTTACTTCTGCAGATTTCGGGCCATCTAGGCGTCGAACTTGTTCATTCTTGATACCTCATCTTCGACTTTCGAAACGCAAGAGTGATGCGGCCGTATTACACACCCTGACACTTATTTTCATGCACCGGTGCCGGCGAACAGGAGTTGAGCAAATCGTCCACAAGAATACTTCTATCGGTCATCATAGCCTCAGTGCTCACGAAGCTAGGATCTTATGGTACCGCTCATTTTATACATACACAAGGCTTCGGGTCGGCGAAATCGGTAGCTCAAGTTCCCAGATGAGGAGTCTCTCATGCTTGCTGCATTATCAGTGCAAAGACTCCCCATAGATCTCAAAGCCCATTGATAGAACCAACATGTCTATTTTGAAAGCTGTGGAAAGGAAGATTAAGTGGGCAACCATGAGCTAACAGCCATGTCTGCAACTATACCAATCCATCATCATTGAAGCCTAAGTTTCTTTCAATTTTGACACATATGCATGATTAATGCTGACATTGCCGGTTCTCTCATCGCGCTCAAGCTATACCTGCCATTAAAGGCAAAGTGGTTCTTATGGACGGGACTTACTCGGATACTTCAACGTTTAAACTTTTCTAAATATAATAGAGGGGTGTACACAACTTACAAGTCATTGAGCTCCAGTAAGCATTTCTCCTCTTCTTGATTATCTTTGCGGATTCATTACAAGTTCGATCTCGATATTACCTTACAGGATGTTGCATTCTAATGAGAAATCTCTCTAGTATAATCTCCAATCAGAGAAGGAATTACGAAGCCCAAAGGCTATGTGCGCTGCATCTGCCTGAATTGTGTCTGAATTCTTGGTAGTCTCTGGGTATATTATCTTGAGTCCCCCTCCCACCAAAAGGATTCCAAGTGATGGGGCAGTGATAACACAATGCTTGGTCACCATACGTGCTACAAAGCTAGCACAAGATCACTTATACTTCTCCGGGGCGAGGGATAAACAGAAAACAAAACACCCGAATAACTGAGTTCCTGCACTCCAAACAATAAACATAAAACCAGCAAACAGACTCCACATGCTGCAATCCTGAGCGGGATAAGCAAGGATATGTGAGCCGACATGAGGAAAGGGACGCCTACCTTGCTGCAATTCCGAGCTCAGGTTTAGGCTCAGAAATCATTCTTAGCGGCGCTTTAGTGCGGGCGAGTCACTTCGGATCGTCACCACTTTGCAGTGATAGTACATTCCCCAGATGAACCTGATCTTGGGGTTGCCGTAGAGTTGGGGATACCCACCTTTTCGGCTGTGACGCGGTGTACAACTCAAACCCCCCAAGGCTCTACTATCGCGCATGAGAGGTAACGGTTCTTTCTGGCCTGCAGGCAAGACGTCTCATTCGAGTCCGAATATAAGCCTTGAAGGAGAAACCACGAGGTATTGTCGCAGCTAGAAATTGTGCTAAGGAATTTACGACCGCCCTTCTCTGCGATCAGACAAGGGTTATGACTTGTGTGGGTGGCAAAACGTGGAGAAGCCCGAGTATCTCAAGAAGAGGTCAAATAAAATGAGGATGTGCGGGGCTGATGATGGCTCTTGGGGTATACAAAATCTGATGATACAGGCAATATAGGATTATGGCTCTGCTTGTTTCTGGGACGAGCTATCTATAGTAGAAGATGTGCGCAAGCTTCTACTGTAAGTTGGTTTGGGAGTAATGAAGACAAGTATATTCGTCCACTATCCCAAGCCATTGTAGTTCAGAACTGAGCCTGGCTCGTGACATCTCTACGCCATATAACATTATAAGCAGACACCGAATTTAAACCAAGAGAAAACGTGTCTCAACATATGTAGCTGTGTCCGGAGCTGTGCATACCCCGCAATCATCAGATTATACCGCATTCATTCGTGTGGGGGACTTACTTCGTTGCGTTGAAAAAGACAATCGTCGGACAATGTGGAGAGGCTCGGAATGTGCCCGCATCAAGGTGGTCGACCGCCAGACTACCGAGCTAGAGTTGTACGTCAACCGCTCGCGCGGCGACCATGGCTTCTCTCTGTTGCCGGTGGAACTCGCGGACAACTACTAGCGGTGGATGTCGCCGCCGGCGGATCGACACAAGGCGACGCGGGCTCAGTCGGGGAATCTTAGCGGGGCGGCCCTCAACCCCATCAGCACCTTCAACGTCAGCGTCGCCGACGACTGCCACTTCATCGAGGAGGGCTGGAGCGTCATCGATCCTGGACCGGACGGCAATGGGACCACCACGCCGCTCGGCTGTGGCTGGCCCTCTTCTCGCCCTGCCGACACCAATGCCCGCCTTCACTTGGTCATCGATGAGGAGGCCGGGATCGTCGTGACTGGCACACTCTTTCCGGGCAAGGTCTATCCTTACGGAAAGATCTCCGCCTTCATCCCGAACGATATTGCGCAGGCGCAAGAAGAGCAGGACGTCTGGCTGGCCAAGAAGCAGGCCCAGGGTGGAATGTCGCTGCTGGTTCCCACCGCTGCCACCGGGGAAACCCTTCAGGTACTCCAGTACTATAATGGTAAGCTCCAGGGCCAGCAGGTCATGCTCTACCTGAGCGGCCCGGACATGGAATCAGTCTGGACTAGCTGAGCTAAAGGCGAAGAAGTATGCTTCTGATGTACCTAGTCCCCGTTGCTGATTAGTTTATCTTTATATTCATGCGATTTGTCGCTGTGCACGGGGAATATGTCATAGTGATATGCCATCATTAAGTAGAGTCACAACAGAGAATCTACGTTCACATTAGTAGTACAACTAGAATAACCTTAACGTGCATATGGTCAATGGTACAGGTAGAATAACCTTAACGTGCATATAGTCATGGTACAGGTTGGCCCCTTGTTCAGCAGTGAAGGTTTATGCACAGATTGAACAGATTCTGTAGTCATGTCCCGCCTACACTACAGGCATTGCCACCCCCTCTGTAAAACCTAACAGCGGTTCTCGCTCGCCCGAGCTCAGTCCCTCACAACCCGATTAGAGCCCAACCCGCCCTACGACTGCCAACCCACCCCGAACCATCGCAGAATTCACAATAACCTCGGACGCTCAGCCCACCCGCACGTAACAAAAAAGATATTGGAACAACATTATCACGTCTCCCCCTATTTGCAATTCTCGCACGGAGTAAGCTCGACACGGCTAGTAGCGCCAACTCCACAGCCTGTCGCGCCTAGTCCCGAGCCCTCACGATGGCAAGGCCTGGTGATGGCGATGTCTGTAGCGAGCGAAGCTAGATTGCCTGGGGAATTATGGAGCATCCACCGAGAAGGATCTTCAGAAGATTGGTGATAAGGGAGTGTGTACCCAAGGATTTTTGAGTGGAACCGGGCCAACATTGCGCCATCATACTCAATGACTTAGTCCAATGAGCAGATTTTCATTTGATATTCTAATCTCAAGGAGGAAAGAAGCTGACAGAGCCTGATTATGATTATCAGATTGGAGAGAATTACTTTGAGCAGATAGTCTGGATTACGGGCTGAACGATGGTTGATTGAAGAGTGCTCATAAAGTAATCCTACCCTGTATGGTTTTATCTTAAGCGGGAAGCTCCATTACAAGGACAATGTTCGAGGATGGTGCCGGCTTTCTTCGCCACCGAAGCTAGTCAATAAATGCTGGTTTGGACTGAGATATCGCAACAGATGCATCGACAATTCTTAAGATATGAGGCCAGGAGAGAGCTCTCACGTCTGATCCTGTGCAAATTTGTAGCTTTAGATGAGGAGAGGAAATATTCTCCCACAGAGGCTCCAGCAAGTATTTCACGCTTTGACCCTGGCACTATCTCCATCCTGTACCCTGTGTAGCTGCCACCCTATCTACCCGCCTAGCCATAAGATAAGAGCATCTGCCACTAATGAGCACATCAATAGTTAGGTAACTGCTTAGCAGATTATGGGTATCTAGTATCTACTAGTCTCAGTACCCACAGTCAGCACTGGCTCCATTTGCTAAATGGCTAAGCTTTGCGACCCTACAAATTTACGAATCTCGACCTTGCAATGATCAAGGTCTTCCCTCTCCCCTAAAATTCCCTCACATGGGCAGCAGGGTCTCAGAAGTGGCGGCCTGCAGAAGGAACCCCAAAATCACCCTCAATCCTGGCAGGGTCTCTCGACTCTCTCCAGGAAGCTAGATCGAAGGGGGCGGGGAAAAGACCAGAAATCTCCGCCCCACAGAGGCAGAAAGACACTACGGCGTGGTACCACTAGAAATGCTTAGCCGTTGCTTAGCCTGTTTGTGGATGCTACACGCGGGGTTGCATCGGCACTAACTTTGAAGCATTGGATGAGAGCGAATGACACTGCCTGTCTTGCTTATCAGCTGCGGATTAATCCGCCACTGATATTCGCACCAGCCAGCCAGCCCAGCCCTTAGAAAAAAGTGTTATGAATATAAATGGAAACCTTTGTCCGTGATAAGGGTCTCTGTCGAGATGTACGTTTCCTCATTCTCGCAACCATGGAGAATAAGCACGTTGGCCTCCCCATAGAAGGAGATTTGACTGGCAGGCGTGAGGAGAAATTAAGTTACGACATATCGTCAACGGAGGCTAAATTCATCGGAAAGGGGGAATCGCTTCCGCCCGACGAGGATGGAGGCTTCGAAAGTGGTCAAGTGGTGAGCACTGCCGCTGATCTGGTCACCCACATCATCAGGGTAGAGGATGATCCAACCCTCAACCCTTGGAGTTTTCGCATGGTTTTCCTTGGTAAATTCGTCCACATCAAGTTGTCTATGTGCAAGTTGACTTATATCACTAACCTTTGTACAGGAGCCGGATTATCTGTCTTCGGTGGTGTGTTGCAGGAGATCTTTTACTTCAAGCCGCAGACTATCTATGTTTCGCAGGTCTTCCTTACTGTCATCGCTTATGTCTTAGGAGAGTTCATGGCCTATGCCATTCCCCGTCGCGGCTTGATCGGACGCCTGCTGAATCCTGGGCCGTTTAATGCCAAAGAACATGCTGCTATCGCCCTCATGTCCTCGGCTGCCACTCAGTCCGCATTGGCTACTGAGGCGCTTTCGGCCCAGCAGCTCTTCTACGGTGGCTATCCTAACCATGCAGCGGCTGTCTTCATTGTGCTCTCGTCTCAGTTGATCGGATTCGGTATAGCGGGTCTTCTGCGCGACGTGATCGTGCGCCCTACTAAGATGATCTGGCCCATGACCTTGCCTATTAGCAGTCTACTCGAGTCCATGCACAAAGACAAGCAGGAAGCCAAGGCTCGTCTGAAGATTTTCTACATCTTCTTTTTCATACTCTTCGTTTGGACTATCATTCCTGAATACATCTTCCCCGTCCTGGAGGGTGTCTCCATTTTCTGCTTGGCGAACCAACACAGCTTGGTATTCACCAATCTATTCGGTGGCGCTTCCGGGAACGAAGGCCTGGGATTCCTCTCCCTTTGTTTTGACTGGAACTATATCGCGTCTCTTGGCTCGCCACTCTGGTATCCGTTGTATGCCATGACCAATAACTTCATCGGTTACATAGGCTGTATTATCCTCTTCATGGGCGTCTACTACGGCAATATCTGGCGCTCCCAGGACTTTCCGTTTCTGTCCCAATTGCTCTACTATGGAGACTCTAACTCTACTTACTACCATGAATACAACCAAACTCTTATCCTCAGCGCAGACTATACTGTGGATCCGCGAGCCCTGCAGGAGCAAGGTCTGCCCTGGCTGACTGGCACTTACGTCGCCTACCTTATCACTTCGAACATGGGCTTGACTGCCACATTGACACACATGTTGCTCTGGAACTTCGAGGATATCAAGGTTGGTTGGGCGTGGGCTGCACCAAGCAGGCTTAAGAAGTGGCTGAAGCCCGAGACGTACAAGTTCTGGGCGAATCAGGAGACCCCAGAAGAGCGGTTGCAACGTCGCATTAATGATGAGTCTCTTGACCCGCACTACCGTCTTATGTTGCGCAACTTATACTATGACACTCCGCTCTGGTGGTGGGGAGCAGTACTCATCGGTAGCTTTGCCGTCGGCCTAGGCTGTCTATATGCCATGAAATCCACTCTTCCATGGTGGGGATTCATCGTCGCCAATATGCTCACCCTTCTGTTCATGCTCTTCTTCGGGGCCCAGTATGGGCTTACTGGGTTCCAATTTAACGTACAGCCAATCTGTCAGATGTTGGCTGGTTATATGTTTCCAGGCAGGCCTTTAGCCAGTATGTTCTTTCCCGGTTTTCTATTCCATTTGGCTTGCTAATGCGTGTTCAGATCTCTACTTCACCTGCTTCACATATAACTCTCTCCAGCAGGGACAGGTCTTGGCAAAAGATCTACGACTTGCACAGCAGGTCCACTTATCGCCACGATGTACTTTTTTCGTTCAAGTTATGGGGTGCATCATCGGGGCCCTGTTCAACTATGTTATGATGTTGATGTGCGATTCTCATGCTAGTCCACATTTCTGGTTCCATCCACTGACTCTTTAAAGCATTGTACGAAACCAAGCAGATGTCTTGCTTTCCATTGATGGAACCAATATTTGGAGCGGTGCCAATGTTCAGATAAGTGTCGCTGGCCTCCAACAAAGCAATCCCAGCTGACCTCTCATTACCAATTTAACAGTCTTGCCATTGCCTGGAGTATCGCCAAGGACATGTTCTCCATTGGTGGTCGGTACCAGTGGGTGACTATCTCCTACCTGATCGGCTTCGTCGTTCCCGTGCCATTCTGGCTGGCAAACCGCTACTACCCCTGCCGCATCCTCTCCTACCTCAATACGTCTATCATTTTGTGGTACATGGGCTGGCTTTTCGTTGGCATCAATGCGTCCATCATGACCTACTTCCTTCTCGGCTTTGCTGCGCAGTTCTGGCTGCGTCGCTACCACCCCCAACTCTTCAACAAGTATAATTACATTGTCTCCGCTGCCCTAGATGGAGGAACGCAGATCTGCGTTTTCATCCTCACCTTTGCTGTGTTCGGAGGTAGTGGTACTGAGTATCCTTTCCCGTGAGTGCTTCTAGTCTCATTCTATCGATGCAATCGATCTTGCTAATTGACGTAGCTACTGGGCCGGTAATCCGAATACGGATATTCATAACTTGGATTATTGCAAGGTGAATCCGGCGACGCTTTAGTTGGAGCCGTCGTGGTGCGATAGCTCCGGTGATGCTCAACTCTTCAGTATAGGCGCCATGCGTCATTGATGCAGATGACTATCGGGATGTATGCTTTATCAACACAAGACGCGTTCGATCGGCAGGGATGGACGTATCTTGTCTGGAGGCACTGAATCATGTTACAAGAATACAGAATCCTCGCTTCGAGTATATGTGTATGCATACGCAGTAGGGCAAGCTCTTAAAGTAAGCTTTTTCAAGAGGCTGTCGATGATGAGAAGATAATGCAAAGCTTGTGGGATGATATACTTCCATAGGTCTCAAGGGTCGGAGTTGAGGGGTCGCCGTGCATGATGACGCCTCAGGCATCAGTTGCATTGACGTCCGCTGTGGTTTGTCCCGCGCCGTCTTTCATGGTTTCTTCCATTACCAGCGACTCCACCACCTCCATCTCCACTTCCGCCAGCCTTCCTTCTTGTCAATGGGTGCAAAACCAGAGATGTCTACATCAAGTTTAAGCTATATTGTGTGATAGCAATACAATGTTCTCTCAACTGTCGGTTTGAGGCCAACCAGACACTCGCGCCAGTTAAGCCTCGGCCTCCCTCGAATGAAGAAAAGTCCCTGTCGGACTCCTCGGGTCACGGGTGCCAATTTGACCACCGACCTCCGACCCTTTATGTTTCCGTTGGGCCCCACAGAGCCCTGATTCACTGGCTAGACTGCATCTCGCAACTTGCAACTTGTGTGCCTGCGCGCTTGTCTCTTCACAGGCCCACAGCAAGAGAAGTCTTTAAGAACTTCCTTCGGCCTTATCGCACATTCAGCACTGGGTGAGGGGTGAACATGAGCGTCAGGTGTTGACCCTTGCTCAGTGAATATGCTTGTCAAAATTTTCTCTGGCCTCGCCAGGGATGTTGATCTGCAAATGCTGACTCCGTACAGACGAGCGAACCTCCACTCCAAGTCTTGGCGCTGCGCAAGTCTAATAAATATTAAATCAGAGTTGCAGACACGATACGATTCCCCGCGGACTCTTGCATCTTGCGCGCATCATGTCTGCTACTGTCCGTTCGCATCATCCGCCAGATCCAACGCCGCCTTTGAATCAGTCGTGTGAGAATTGTCGAGCGCTCAAAGTCCGCTGCCTGCCAGACCCGAACATTGCGCACCAATGCCAACGTTGTACACGCACCAGGCGGACCTGTGTTTTTGCACACACTCTTCGACGCCAGCCCCGGAAAAAGACCGGATCACGGGTCGCCCAGCTTGAGAAAGATGTCCGCGATCTACGCGCTCTGCTCCACGAGCAAAACGGGTCAAGTCAAAAGTCGGGTCGAGCGGGTACTGAAACCATCGCCGCCATCGCTTCCCTTTCACCCCCTACTACCATAGACACTGCTGCCGCTGCCGCCACTATTGCAAGTCCCGTCTCGGAGACGATCTCCGCTCGTGCTGCGGCAACAACACCCTTCGTCTCTGTCACCTCTGATTCTGCTCGCATTCAAGCTACCTCTTCGTCTGGTCCTCCTCGCCCAACCGTGACAAGTCCGACGGCCCATTCCTCTTCCCATGTAAGCACCACAGGTTCAATATTCATGGGTTCTTCGGTTGGCTCTGGAGATGTCGTCGATCGAGGTATTCTTTCTTTGGAGACGGCGCAAATGCTATTGTCCGTTTTCATTTCTGATCTTACCCAATACTTTCCGGTGGTTGTTCTTCCAGAGGGCACGGATGCGGACTTCCTACGCGGAACGAAACCAGTGCTGTTCCTGTCTATCATTGCAGCAGCTTCGCTGACGCTTGAAACGCCGCACGCGACCGCTTTACACGAGGAACTTCTCGCAGCCGTTGCGGGCCGATTTTTCCTGAGGCAGGAGAAATCGTTGGAGTTAGTCCAGGCCCTCCTCATCATGCTTATCTATTATCTGCCTCCTAAATCAGCCATACACGGGCAGTATTACCAATATACGCATATTGCGACTACTATGGCGCTAGAGCTTGGAATTGTGGCCGGTGCCGTTGGCCGCAAGAATCAGCGCTGTCATGCGGGCGAGGGTGAATTGCCCGCAACGATACACAGCGACCAGGCACGAGCCGTGCTCGGCTGCTATCATTTTGCATCAAAGTACGGACAAGCACTTTATCTGCATATTATCGACATACTGACTGGTCTACAGTGTTGGAATGCAGACACGTCGGCCGAACATGCTCTGCTACAATGCTGTCATTGGCGGGTATGTCAAACATCTTGGTGCATCACCCGGCAATCTGGACCAGCAACTGGCGGCATGGTTCGGGCTGCAGCGGATAATGGATGAGACACTGGCTGCGGCAGGTCATGACAACACCTTGACCGACACACCTATGTTAGAGTCACAGATGCTGCCGATCCTTAAGTGGTTCGACACTCGTATGCTGCAGTGGAAGATATCCACTCCCAAGGAAATGCTCACGAGTACGTATACCCCACTGCACGTGTCATGAGTATGGTATACGTAGACTGAACATCTCCAGCTTGGATGACTCTCGAATACCATTACCTTTACCTTGCGATCCACGAACAAGCCGCCGGTGAAGGTTATCGCGACCCCGATGCACCGACCCGCAGATACTACACCCTCCCACCACTCGAGGGCAACACAGAGCGACACAGGGCTAACGTGCCACTCAGCGCAGCGCGGGTGCAGATAATTACGAAGTGGATGCTCTCCGCTCAGCAACTTCTCGACTTTTTTTTGCAGTGTGACGTGCCGACCATGCGCAAACTCCCAAACATGACATACACACGGATGATCCTAGGAGTCTCGTCCCTTTTGCGTATTTACTACATGACCCAGCTTGGTCCTCTTAGTGAGGTCATCACCCCGCAGATGATCAATGTCGATGAATACCTAGATCGTCTTTCGCAGGCACTATCAGAGGCCTGCGACAACCAGAGGTTCCGCGTACCGAGCAAATGGCACCACGTCGTGGCGGTCAAGAACCGCGAATGGTACGAACAGCTACAACGACGATTGGCCGCCTGTTCGGTTGATAACTACTCGTATCTGCGCGGGGTTTTTCCATCTTCCACTTCCACATCGGCTGTCCCCAGCGCAGCCCCTCCTGGGGTATTGCCCTCGCTTGTGCCAGGGGCTGCGCCGGCTTACATGGAGTCATGGTATGCAGATGACCCCACTGCGAGGGCGGACGCTGCGAGGGGAATACCGGCTGTGGGTGGCGGTGCAGCGCCGATGCTGTATCTCTCCCCGATGCAGCCGGTCCCGGGAACAGTTGAAGGGGGCGGGCATTTTGCGACTCCTGCAGGCCATCCGGCGTGGCGGTTGGATGAGTCACTGCCCGATCTGTCTTTTCCGTATTAATGAAGATTAAGAGTAATGAAGAAATGAGCTTATGGAGGCAACCTATTCGCATCAGTCCATCTTGTCCCGATCGATCTGGTTTGTTGTAGCGTCCGGCCCGCATCGTGCTCGTCCCGTAGTCTATCATTGTCAGATAATCGACAATCCGTTCCCAAGCACGTCTATACCATTGCTCAAAACCACGCCCGACGAACCACGGTAGCTTCACCGGGACTTAAATCTCAGATCAAGCTATATAAGCATTCGGGTTATGCTGCGCCTCTTCCGACAAACAAGGGTCCTCGGGCATAGGCGAGATTTCTCCCCTCCGACCTCCGATGCCAATGCATATGTGGAGATGGGTGTGTGGACCCGGCTGGTGCAAGGGATGTTTTTTTCCCTCTGATATGCGAACGCAGGGTCTGATGAAGATATCAGATTAGATTGGATTTTGATCAGATGCGATCCTTGGAGCATAGTGGGTGGCCCGGATCTTGCCCTTCCCATGCTGGGTCGCGCATTTCATGGTCAAGGCAAGAGGGAAAGGATGTTGTTCATACTGCGATGATCCTCTTGGTGGTTGAGATGGAGACGACGGGGCAAAAAAAGATATGACAAGAGTGGGATTCGAACCCACGCCACTTGCGTGACTAGGAATATTGCTCGAGGAGCGAATATATGTGATCAGGTACCTGACCCTAGCGCCTTAGACCGCTCGGCCATCTTGCCTATTTGATGAAACATTGCACATTTATGTGCTTTATAGAGTTCAACATATAAGTCGGCTCACTGAGATGCATCAATGTTCTAGTTATGGTTATTACTCTTTTCATCTGGGTCTCGCATCTGAGTATTCGCAAGAGATACAGTATCTGTGTATATCTCGCGCTTGTCGTTTTATAGCTAAGTGGTCTGGTTGTATAATTCAACGTGGTGTTCATGGTCGCTTGCAGGCTTGTTATATATCCGCTCGCGCTGCGACTGCCGAACCACTCTTCCGGTGAGACACCATCGTATACCTACACAGCAAGATGAATGTGGGCCATGAATCATCAACCTGAGCCAGGAAAGTCACCCATAGAGAATTAAATGGACCAGGTAATATGCAGCGGCCATGCACATACCGGCAGACAACCCGACCGATACCAGCTACATACAGAGAAAATAGACGCAAGCAACCAAGCAAGCAAGCAAACAGCTGACTGAGTATAATCACGTCGCAAAGTAAGATCGGCCGCCTTCGGGTATCAGATCGTAACAGCACAGCAGAGGAATACTCCGCGAAGAACCAATGGCAGTAGGAGACATCGTGGTTGCTGAGACAAGCTTGCCGCCAGACTGCGAGAAACACGGTGGAGATGCGAACGTGAAAAGAGGGAACTGGTAGAAACCAGTGACTGAGTCAAACATCACACATGGATAGCATATTAGAGTAAGGAAGATCGAAGCACAATGATCATGATATAGTTCTACAAGACCACGAGCGAGTCTGCGACAGCAGACACAAGTATCGTAAGCCCGATGCAAACTGAGACCAGTAATAGTATATCAAACTGCCACTATAGCGCCGGTAATCCAATGGAAGGATAGCTAGGGTATAGTGGCCAGTCTAGTATGTATGTTCATCACGACTTAACAGCAATTAGTACCACATGAATTTCGTATACATGATGACCAGAGCACCTGCCGGGCTGGAGAGGGCCTGCCCAGCCACACTAGAATCCGGAGTGCCCTTTAGGAAATACACCCGAGAGAGAGTATAGGCATATATGGCTAATGAGCTATGCCAGTTCCACAATCTCGTGATTAGCACCGAGGCCTCCCAGTCAGGTCTAGCGTACTGTGTAGATGTGTGCCCTTCGTCATCTTTACATCTTCTCTGTTAAACCAGACTATAACCACATCTAGCATCCAAGGCAAGATGGCCGAGCGGTCTAAGGCGCTAGGGTCAGGTACCTGATCACATATATTCGCTCTTCGAGCAATATTCCTAGTCACGCAAGTGGCGTGGGTTCGAATCCCACTCTTGTCATCTCTTTTTGCTTACTCGATATACCCCTCTCTGTTGCTACCTCAATCCGCATGGCATCGTTTTGCTATTGCCACTGTGGTTGCGCCTTTGGAAAACGCACTGTGAAATGTCGGGCATTTCCGCATTGCCACGCCATGAACCCCACCTCGGTTCAAATTTGAGTTCGCCCCTTTTCTCTTCCCTGTCTGCTGAAAGCCTGGGACGGCAATTTTACTCATCAGACGTGCATACAGCCGAGATGAGCTGCATCGGTCGTGCATGGAGCAATGACCTCATAATGTTGGTGGTCTTGACAGATCGAGCGGGCAATATAACAAGCGGTTAGACCATCAACCTCGGAGCTTCACCGATGCGGTTCCAGAGATGGAGAGTGCCACCTGTCTCAGTTCGATAGCAAATCAAACCAACAACACTCACTTAATAGTGCAATGTACGCGTCGCATAGTTAGTCAAATTAAGTTGGGTCAGGGCTTACTCTTTGACAAAGTGCTCATAATCACGCGCACCTTTAAATTATCACTATGCAAGCAACAATTGCTTGGGCCACTTCCATGAGGTGCAGCAGAATAGAGAGTCTGTGTTTGAGCTGTTGCTCACAAATTTTGAAACCTGCCTCATATAGTAATAAGAGTTTGAGAGCTTTCAATCACCGGGCAAGATGGCCGAGCGGTCTAAGGCGCTAGGGTCAGGTTATCTGATCAAACATATCTGCTTGAAGCAAATATTCCTAGTCACGCAAGTGGCGTGGGTTCGAATCCCACTCTTGTCATTACTTTTTGCCATTTCTCCCATCCCGCAAGAACCAATTTGTACCTTTGCTCTCCTTCCCAGTATCGCGCGCTGTTGTGTACACGGCAGACATCATTCGCTCAACATCAGTTGCTATTCGGGACTGTAAACATGTACTCCGAAGACCCAGTCTCAATCACTAGGAAATGGCATTGCTGGCTTGAGCGAGGTGATTCCAGTCGCTAAATGTCAACACACGATAGTTAACACCCATACCTTGCTTCAGTGCTGTGGCGAGGTCTCAACCCTCCTCCCTTCCTCGACGAAGAGCTTGCCGATAAAATGCTAATTAATGCATGCTTCGATATATCAGAGGCAATATGCTTTCGTAGAAGCTACAGTTCTCGCAGAATCGCGAAAACCCACATTCGGGGACGAGATCCAAGGGATATCAAATTGACGCGTGCTGGAAGCGCTCAACGCGCTGGCCACTTGTTGTCCCCCAGCTCTTTAGTATCAGTGTTTTAAGCCACGTGAAAGTGACGGGTCTCAGTCTTTTTGCTGGTAGTACCCGACAGTGCGTTGATTCTGTGCTACACAGACTGTAGAGGCTTTCATATTCGTACAGGCCTGGGTAGCAACACCCTCAATCGGCGAGGAATATCGTAGTAGGGTGAGATGCAACCAGTAGATCAAATCGAGATACGGTGCTTGCTCCCTAGGCTGGGTTGACAAGGTGCTTGTGGCGGGGAAGGGGAAGTTGGGATTGATAACTCATTTTCCCCCAGCTGGCCTCTCCATGGGTGTAGCTTACGAGACAACTCAAAAACGAGCAGTCACATGTCTTACAAGATCTTGGACGCAAAACATGAACCCAATAATGGTGACGTCTGTATCCATGTTGACACCCTGGGACGAAAGAAGAGTTGACGTTGAACGTCTACAGTTGTGCATTCCTCGATCATGCAGTCATGGTAATGTCATGCTCTATCTTTAGAACAAGCAAAAACCCGTGCGGAGAAGACTCCGAATGTCCCCATTGCCCCATAACAGGGATATTATACTTATAGATCGACCGTCGGCAGAAACACTTAATCTCGACCCTCCGATCTTGATCGGGGCAGATCTAGGCTGTACTGGGTCTACAGTTGATGATGCTGTATGATATCTTTTTTTCTCCGCCTTGTGATGCTTTTATTGAATCACACAACTCTTGCTAGATATTGTGCTTGCCTGAAACGGAACAAAGTTCACCTGGAAGTGGCCACTAATCTCTATTGACACTAGCCTCTCCCACACCATGCAGCCTAGCGGCCACTGCGTCTGACAGTAGCATCCCGTTTCAGGATGTGAAAAATAATCGACAGTGAGATTAAAGGGGCGTCAAGCTGAGGTCGCCGGCCAGCCTTACAAGGAGCGATGGTGGTGCACGCGCACGGCACTGTGCTGAGCCTAGACCGGTGCTTTGTTAGATCTGACAGGTCCAGATCCCTTGGTTGGGCCCTCGTTCGACAGGGCAAGGACGGGAACAAAGGCAACGAGTGATTCTTGGAGTGTGATTTGGGTATGTGGTTTCTAAGCCCATGTAAGATGTAGAATGTCAAGCATCCTTAATCTCGAGAGAATGTCCAGTCAGACTCCGACCGTACCTGGAAATCCTCTGGGTTGGCAACTAACCGTGGCGTTTTCCGTGGGGCGTGCTAAACAATTCAATTGAAGCCCTAAGCCTGACCTCGATCGAGACGAAGGATTAGGGTCGGCTTAGTAGGAGGTTTGATTGGTGGGGGGCGGACCGCATCTCCCAACTGCCTGTTTGGGCATTGGGTCTTTTTCGCAGTTTTTCCCACTTCCACCGCCACCACTTGCTTGAGTGGGGGCCACTGTTACCCTTCAGTCTTCACGGCCTCAATTCTTGCATCGATCGGACAGGCTCAATTTAATGCTAGAGCCAAGGGATTTGAGTCGCAATAAATTGGGGAGCGAAGTTGATGAGGGGAATGGCAGAGATTCAGCAATTCCAGCGAGTTGCCAGTCCGACAGCAACAATGGGCTCGAAGAATGATCGACAAATTCCTTCACCCTCTCCAACACTATTGCACGACCATGACTTCAGGGCTCTTCACATCGGGAAAAACTGAAACATGGCCCGCGTGGATTTTTCCCTTTTTTACTCTGTTTTCTTTCTTCTATTTTCTTTTTTCTTTTTTTTTTTTTTTCATATTTTCTTATTCCCTTTGGGGATTGAGTCGTCCATTTGGGGACTTTCTGACAAGTCGCCTTGTTGACATTCCGCCTTTCTTATCTGTCTCCGGTCTGATGTCTGTCCTTTGTTGCGGTTTCAACCTGTGCAATCCCATCGTCCTCCTGATTTCACTTCCGACTAGCCCTGTCTTCGCATCCTTTCACACTCTTTCCGTGCTCATCCAGGGCGATAATTAAACACTCGCTTCGGAATTATCGATTTCCTCTGAAAGTCTGTCGATCGCTGGTCCAGTCCACGCGGTCTCCTCAATTTACACCATCCGACCCACCGCCCACTCCACACGAACCGGTGGACTCAGCACTCGTTTCCTGCCATTGATTGTTGGTTCCTGCTTTGCCTCTGGTGGGCATCGCTTGGGAAGTTGGGAGTCACCCCTCAGCCAATTGCGCTTGCGCTTGCGCACGGGGGCTGCAGGACAGCTTCTGGACTCCTCACCCTAGTCGATCGTTCTTATATCGCCCTCCCCCCGTCCGGCCGCCCTGATGTCGGGAAGGCCTGGCATTACGGAGAAGCGGTTGTCCGCCCATCGCTTCCATCAGCTTCGCGACATGGCGCCAGACAATATGTTAAACCGCAATGATGTTACCATCGATATCCCATTGAACACAGTCTCCAGTCGGGGTCAAACCGGCGCTCGCAAGTCGAGCGTCAACGGGCCCGACTCCCCAGACCCTTACCAACCACCAGTCGATAATAGCGAAGAGAAACAGGGCCTGGTCGCCCCAAACCCCGGTCTGCGCAGACGGATCGATGAATCTACAGGCCGTTCGATCGATGACCCCGAAGATGGTACAATCACTCGTGTCGGCCGCTTCTACCAGGCGGTTCTCAACTACTCTATCGCTACCCGCTACCTGATCTACGTAACACCGCTCGCTTTGTTACTCGCTATCCCGATTATTGTGGGAGCCACGGCCGCGCAGGACGCAACTATTGGCGGAGTGACCCTGCCCTGGTTTTTCTTCTGGTTTGAAATCGTTTGGATCAGTCTGTGGGCGTGCAAGCTCGCAGCTCGAATCATCCCCTACGTCTTCCAAGCACTGTGTGGATTTGTCAGCTCTGGAACCCGCAAGTATGCTCTTATCCTACGCAAGCTCGAGTTTCCGATCGCGACGGTCCTTTGGTGTGTGGTCTGCTTGGTGACCTTTTTGCCGGTAAGAGGCGCCCCCTCTTCGATATGCGAATGGCAAAGTTGACTGAATCCTCCTATAGGTCATGACGCAGAATCCCCACCAGAAGAAAATCAACGACACCACCACCAAGTCCTGGGAGAAGTCGATCAAGAACGTTCTGTTCGCCCTCTTTGTTTGCAGTTTGATTTTCCTAGGAGAGAAGGCACTCGTGCATTTGATCTCTATTAGTTATCATCGCAAGCAATTCGATACTCGAATCAAAGAAGGTAAACGAAATGTTTACCTTATCGGTCTCTTGTATGATGCTTCTCGCCAGATGTTCCCTATGCACTGCAAGGAATTTCGAGAAGAGGATGCCGCCATTGCGGACTTCCTTCTACTGAACCCAACGAGCAAAACGCGCCTACCGACCAGTGGTTCGGCACCCCTCCGCATGATCCGTGGAGTTGGCCAGAACGTCCAAAAGATCGGTCACAATGTACAGAGGATTGGTGGCAAGGTGACAGCCGCCTTCGGTGACGTCGCACAGGAGCTTACCGGCAAGCAAGTTTTTAACCCCACCTCCACCCGGTCGATTGTTACAGGGGCATTAGAGCATCGCAGAACCTCGGAAGCCCTTGCGCGCAGAATCTGGATGTCCTTCGTAGTTGAAGGTCGTGATGCCTTGTATTTCGAGGACCTTTGTGAGGTGCTCGGCACGGGATTGGAAGTGGAAGCAGATGAATGTATGAAGATGCTGGACCGCGACGGCAACGGCGACATCAGCTTGGATGAGATGATTCTGGCGATTGGAGAAGTCCAGCGTAACAAGAAGGCCTTGAACCACAGCTTACATGACATTGACCAGGCTACCCGGGTTCTGGATAATCTGTTGATGACCGTCGCATTCATCGTTGGTCTCCTCGTCTTTGTCTCGTTCGTGACGAGTGGATTTGGCACGGTCATTGCAGCAGGTGCCAGTGCTTTGCTTTCCCTGAGTTTCGTCTTTTCCACTACTGCCCAGGAAGTACTGGGTTCGTGTATCTTTCTCTTCGTCAAGCATCCGTTTGACGTAGGAGACCGTGTGGAGATCAGTGACAAGCCCTTCTTCGTCGAGCGCATCTCCCTTCTGTTCACCGTGTTCCGAAATGTGAACGATCACCGTATCACGCAGATTCCGAACTCGGTTCTCAACAGCTTGTGGGTCGACAACTTCACCCGTGCCAACGCCATGCACGAAGTCTTGAAGGTTCCGATTGATTTCGATACGACGTTTCAGAACATTCAGCGGCTTCGCGAGGAGCTGGAAGAATTCGTGCGCGACAAGGACAACTCCCGTGACTTCCAGCCCGACATTACCATTGATATCAGTGGCGTTGGTGACATGGACAAGATGGAGCTGAGCGTGTATATCCGTCATAAATCGAATTGGTCGAATGAAGCAGTCCGTGCTACACGTCGCTCAAAGTTCATGTGTGCATTGGTTGCTGCTGTGCGCCGCGTGCCTATCCTTAAGCCTGGTTCCGGCGGTGGCGACGCTGAAGAGAAGCCCGAGGACAAGCTGGAAGATACCCCCGAAATTATTGTTGAAGATGTGGTCAAGCGTGCTCGACGGGAGTCCGCCTCGTCTGCGGAGCCTGTTCGACGGATTCCTCCAGATTCTAGCTTCGCTACAACGGAGTCTCGCTCTACCGGATTTGACATGGGCCAGTCGCCCAATTCCATACAGCGTCGCGGAGTTGGTGCGTCCGTCAGCTCCTACAGTGAGGGACTCAGCGCCGAGCATGCCGGCACTTACCCGAACTCCCGTGATGGTCACGAAGGTGACCAGTATCAAACCCCGGCCGGGTCGCCCGGTCAGGAGCGCACCCGGAGCGTTAACTACGGATCCATGACACGCGAGCAATCCACTGGCCGACGCAAGGAGGGAACTGGCAACATCATATCGACTGCCACTGGTGGTGTTCCTGTACTGTCTGAACCGGTGCCTCCCCGTCGGCAACAGGAGCAGCAGCAGCCCCCTGTGCGACTAGTTCCCGACCAGAACCAACAGGCCCAGGCTCAGGCACAGACTCAGCAGACCGGTGCAGCTGCGGCCCAGGCTCCAGTAAACGGGGCTTCAGTCACGCTTCAGCCGGAATACTACAGCTACCAGGGCCAGTACTACGACCCCGTCGAGGAGTCGTACGACCCCAACCAGCCGTTTGAGCTCCCGTCGATGGCGGAACCTTCGGCAGAGGGACAACGGGAGCACTCGTCACACACTCTCGCATCGTCGCGGACGGCGTATTCTGGCGAGTCGGGAGAGGAGCATCAACCCCGGTCATATGCCCCTCCACGTCGAAATCCGTACGAGGGTTAATGAGATGAACAAAAAGAAACTGAAATAAGAGAGAATCAACAAAACACGACAAACTCAAATAGGTGTGGTCACGAGTGACGAACCATTTTAATTCAACCATGGGATGGTGTGAATTCTGTATTATTACCAAAGATCTATTCCCAACAAGCAAGACTAACTTCAGATGCATAGGTCATTTTAGTTACGCAGCAGTAGATAGAGTCATAATCCCGAAATATATTTTTCTTGATGACTACTTAATCGACTAGTAGACCACCGAATTCTATTGTACAGTAGACTACATACCAACACCGAAACCACGGAAGACCATGAGAGAAGAACTATGTCCACCATATCTTTTACCCAATTATTTAGTCTCCTTCCAAGGGTAGGTGACCTCATCGCCCTTGCGCACCCAGATCTTGGACTTGCGCTTGTTGACCACATGTTCGACGAAGGCCTCGCGGGTGTACTGGGCCTTGTACTTGCGGATCCAGCGCGGGTCCCAGAGCTCACTCGCGATACCCAAGTCCTTGCAGCACCGCACCAGGGCGTTAGACCGACAGCCCTCCGTAGCGGTGGGGATGCCATCCGGGGAAAAGTAATCCTGTTCACCGCGAGCGACGGAAACCAACCTGCATCCAACATCAAACACATTAGCATCGAACCCGAAATCAAATCTTACAACGTAGCTTATCCTCCCCCACGCAAACAGAGACAGTCCTCCCACCCTCCTCCGGGTTCATACAACAGCTCACAGCGAAGGAAAAGAAAGGGATGAACAACTCACCGCCCATGACAAACAAGCGCATACTCCCTGGTCACCATCTTAGGCGTAACGATACTCTCACTCCGCGGCACAAGCCCCCATCCACCGGGCCCGAACGCGCGATTCAGAATCCGCCGGTACTTGATTTCCGGTAGGTATAGGATCCCATCGGGCTTGATCTCGACCTCTTCCGGGTCTGTCGGCGCCAGGAGGATGTCGGCGGCTTCCTTGGGGAACGGCTCGGCGGACAGGCCGTGGAAGGACCGCGTCCAGTCGATCTTGTCCTCGGTTTGGTTCTCGGGCGACGGTGAGGGCGGGGTGTCGTGCAGGCCCGAGGTCGTAAGGTTTGGGGTGATTTTTTGGGGTTGCTGAGCGGTGGTATTGTTGGATTGGGTGGAGTTGGTGGTGGCGGCGGTGGGGATGGGTTTCGGGGTTTGAGCTGGGGTGGTGCTGCTGTTGCTGGTCGTGTTGTTGGTCATGTATGAGGAGGAGGATGAGTAGGGTTTCGCGCGTGATGCTGGTGCTGGTGCTGGTGCTGGTGATTGTTGAGTCGCTTGGTGGTGGCGGGTTGTGGTGAAGCCGCGCGCGGTCAGGGAGATGCTGGTGTTGGTCAAGCGCGGGGTGAGACGCGTTGCGGCTGTTGGGTTCGTCGCCGCCGCTGTGCGCAGGGTGCGCACGAGGGAGGGGAGGGACATGATGGGTGAGGAGAAGGGAAGAAGGTGAGGATTGAGTGTGGGGAAGAAAAGACGGAGGTTGCGGAGGTGAAGAAGCTGAAATGCTGCAGTTTAGGCTGGGATACGATCACGTGATGATAACATGGCGTGGAGTGGGAAGATGCAAAGAAGCTGGAGAGATGGGATTTCGTTAAGATGATAAGCTCAAGACATTATAATACACTGATTGAAGGCAAGAGCTGAGCGGCATCCCCAATCTTCTAAGCATCCTGCGTTTGTGTGCGCTGGTCGTTGCCCTGCTGCTTCCAGCATTCGCGGAAGGCTTCCATCTGGAAGTTGAGTTAGCAGCCATACGTAGAATACTTAGACTATCCCCTGCGATTGCAATTGTCTCAAAGAGAGGCCCAGCAAGATGATAAGAATATAGGCAGGAAATAGCACTGAACATCGCGATATGAGGGTATCACGGTCACCGCGGCCGGACTCAACGCACCTCCTTCTGGCAGCTGCGCCAGTCCTTCTTCTGGTAAACGCAATCGTTCAAGGTCATTTGCTCGTCTGTAACATGTTTAGTGATGATTATTTCGAGAAGGCCAAATTGACGGCCGCGGAGTGACTCTTCTCAACTCACCCGCACAGCCGGTCCTGGAGATCCGCTTCTCCCTGTCGAATTCGCCGTCAGCCCGAGTCAACTCTCTCTCGCTTTCCCCTCTCCTCTTTTTAGATGCCGTCTCTTCTTCCCACTCACCACTCGTCTGGCTCATCATCATCCTCCACTTCTTCGACGGGGGGATTCTTTCTCTCGTCCTTGTTTGTCATTGTTCTGTCGCTGTTCCTTGACCCGAGAGTTGTAGTTGCAGAGAGAAACTTCCGAGATCCGAAGTTGCACGGTTGAACCGTTCCTCCGCCATGGCGACAACCCCCAACCTGACCGGTAAAAAGGTCAACGTTCTTGTTTATTCTGGTACTTCCTTCATTCGCGGTATATACAGGTTCCTTCCGCTGATAATTAATTCACTTACTAGGAAATGGCACTACCGTCGAGTCTGTCCGCCACTGCCTTTACTCCCTCCGCCGCCTCCTGGCCCCTCACTACGCCGTGATCCCCGTCACTGCCGACATGCTCCTCCACGAACCTTGGACCCTGACCTGCGCATGCCTAGTTTTTCCCGGCGGTGCCGATATGGGCTACTGTCGTGCCCTCAACGGCGCCGGGAATCGTCGCATCGAGCAATTCGTCAAGCGTGGGGGTACCTATCTTGGTTTCTGTGCGGGGGGCTACTATGGCTGCGGACGGTGTGAGTTTGAGGTCGGCGATAAGACTCTGCAAGTGATTGGTGAGCGCGAATTGGCCTTTTTCCCCGGCACCTGTCGCGGCGGTGCATTCCCCGGCTTTGTCTATCATAGTGAGGCCGGGGCCCGCGCTGCGGAGGTGAAGGTGTGCAAGGATGCTTTAAGTGCGGGCATTGTCCCGGATCAGTTCCGCTGCTATTACAACGGTGGCGGTGTGTTTGTTGATGCAGCGCGATACGCCGAGAAGGGCGTAGAGGTGCTGGCTAGTTACTCAGAGGAGGTCAATGTTGACCCTGGTGAGGGCGGTGCCGCTGCCGTCGTCTACTGCCGCGTGGGTGAGGGAGCGGCCATTCTCACAAGTCCGCATCCAGAGTAAGTGGCACTTATCATTGTATCCTCTGGGAGCAATGAACCCGACCAGCAGTGCTAACACAGCTTTTCTCTACGAAGGTTTGCAGCGGTCAACCTGGACAAGAAGAATGGGGGCACGGATTATGCCAAGGTGGTCGACGCGCTGGCGGCGGACGATACTGGACGGACTGATTTCCTCAAAGCGTGTCTGGTGAAACTGGGCTTACAGGTGAGCCAGACAACGACGACCGTACCATCACTCTCGTCGCTGCACCTGTCAGCGCTGGAGCCTACGGACACAGCCAACCTCGTAGCCTCGTGGAGTGAGCATATCATCAAGGATTGCGATAAGGAAGTTCTCAAGGATGAGAACGACACATTCCGCATCGAACGTCCCGGGACTTGGAACCTGGGTGAGCTGGAGGCCTCGCTCCCCACCCAGCCGGAAACGCCGACGGAGACGCCGACGGAAGGTATTGTGGATTACAACGCGATCGTCAAGCGGCTGGTGGTGCATGACGATGTACCCTCATCTAAGCTGACGCCGTATTTCAACCACCATGCTTTCTATTCGCACCTGCGTCAGTACCAGGCGCAGTCCCGCGAGGGCGCCTCTGAATTTGGTGCCAATCTGGTATACGGAGAAGTAGTCACCAGCACGAATACCATCTTGGAAAAGTAAGTTTGGATTTTATTCAGTGATGTGTCACATGACTGACTGGTCAGAAACCCGAAACTGCTGCGCACACTGCCCACAGGATTCACTGCTACGGCCACAACACAGGTTGCCGGTCGGGGTCGGGGCTCCAATGTCTGGGTGTCGCCTGCAGGGGCATTGATCTTCTCGACGGTCCTGCGACACCCAATGGAGAAGATTCAATCCGCCCCGGTGGTGTTCATTCAGTACTTGGCCGCGATGGCGGTGGTGCAGGGCATCAAGCGCTACGACGAAGGCTACGACGCCATGCCAGTCAAGATGAAGTGGCCTAATGACGTGTGTATGTAGCGATCTTCCCTGCAGGTAATCATCACTGGGGGCTAACATAAAACAGATGCGCTGGACCCGGAGCACCCCGAAAAACAGCAATACTCGAAGATTTGCGGTATCTTGGTGAACTCGCACTACTGCGCCAACGAGTACATCTCGGTGGTGGGAATCGGGGTGAATGCGACCAATGCATCCCCAACCACATCGCTGACCGCGTTGGCGAAGCGGTTCTTGGGTCCAAAGGCGGCCCCGATAACCTTGGAGAAGCTGCTGGCGCGGATTTTAACCGTGTTTGAGGAGCTGTACGAGCGATTCCTGCGAACGGGCTTCGACCGGCAGTTTGAGGATCAGTACTACGCAGACTGGCTGCATATGCACCAGGTGGTGACCCTAGAGGAGGCTGGAGGTGCACGCGCTCGCATCCAAGGCATAACTCGGGACTACGGACTGTTGCTGGCGCAGGAGCTGGGCTGGGATGACCGGCCGACGGGTCGTGTGTGGCAGCTACAGAGCGACAGCAACAGTTTTGATTTCTTCCGAGGGTTGGTGCGGCGGAAGATTTAGTATTGGGTAGTGGTGTTGTTGCTGATAACGGTGACGATGATGTCGATGACACGGTTGATAGACATGAGTAGATACAATAGATGATACACCCTGACGACATCAATGTGCAATGTCCAATGTCCACGACCTTGTCGGGCTTCACCGAGGGGCGAGGAACACCCACCAATTGCTAACCTCAATCTCCTGAATCAACTGGAAGTTAATCCCACCGATCGACGCAAGAGCCGTGGATGCGATCTCCCAAAGCAGGCAACGTCCCCGTTACCTACCCGTGACCGTAGCCGGGCAAGGACAATAATCTCCGAATTCGGATTGGTCGGCTGCCCGACGGAGAACTAGCCCGGAGAGAGAGAGTTTCATGCCTGAGGCATGTACGCTGACTCATCCAGCACCCCCTCCCAGCCTTCCGGTTCCTCAATCATACCGTAGCTATTATGTTATCATCCATTTCGATCGTCCACTTGTCCACTCCCTTGCTTGCGGCGTCTTGACGTCCATGCACCTGGTGCATATCCCCGCCATTGCCACCATGCCGTCCTACCCGTTCTTTCTAGTTTCTGCACATGTACCCGAGGATCTCTACTCAAGCACAAGCAAAACAATTAGCACAATCTGCAGAAACAAGACTGGATGTCTGATCCTGGCGGAGTTGAGTGGAGCATCGCCAACAGCCACCCAACGGAATCCGCCCGTTCTCTTGGCCCACTCCAAATCGCTGACAGTCTGACACGTCTGCATTTCTTTTTTTTTGGTCAAGCCATCAGTGGTCAGAGTTGGATCCCATCACTAGATGCATTAGATGAGCGACTACTGCTTCCAGCGTCTGCTCCGGCCGTTCGTTTTAGCTCTGCGCCCACCCGCCGATCCGCCGACGCCACTTCAGTCTAGGACTTCGCCGTCGGCTTGAAACGGATGTCGAAGCCCCCCGTTCATGCGCATTATATCATGCCTATCTTACCTTGTACACCCTCTCGTTGCACATCCTATTCCTCGGGCCTTTTACCGACTCCACCATATCGCACGACTAATCATCTAGATCTTGGAATTTCTGCCTGTCTGTCCGCCAGTCTAGATCGGCGTGTCGTTTGCCTCGGTCCATTTTTTGTTTCTGGCATTTACCCCCGCGCGCCGGCCCCGATCGCAGTCATTGTCAATTTTCCTGGCCCCCATCGACCGAAATGTGATATATATTCGCTCCTTGCCGCCTTCCTATCTGAACCTTTCCCCCGCCAACTCGCTGCTACTCCCCCCTCCGCTTGTAATATCCTCCTCGGTGGTTGACTGTCCACCGATCGCCCATCATGTCGACCGTCCTTGTGATGGCGGTTGTCGCCATCACCCTTTATGTTCTCTGGACGCTCTTGCTTCGCTGGCAGCATGCGCAGAACGCTCGTCGCTGGAACTGTGGTTCGATCCCAAGCTACCCTGGGAATTGGCTCGGAACCAATACCCTTAAAGAGGCCCTTCGCTATGACAAGGACCGCTGCTTGCCCCTTTTGTCGCGTCATCGGATCGAGAAAGTATCCGCCAGCCAGGGCCGCTACACGACCACTTTCCAACTCCGCCAACTGGGTCAGGATATCATCTTGACATGTGACCCCAAGAACGTCCAGGCCATCCTCGCTCACCAGTTCAAGGATTTCGAGCTCGGCGACCCCCGGCGCAATGCTCTCCACTCGCTTTTGGGCAATGGAATCGTATGTTCTCTCGTGCCTCCAGACCTTCATGAATCGAAACTAACCCACGCCCACCGTTCTCTAGTTCACTGCCGATGGTGAATACTGGACCCGCTCCCGTGGCCTTCTCCGGCCCCAGTTTACCCGCGATCAAATCAGCGATCTTGAGTTGGAGGAGCGACACGTACAGCAGGCTATGCGCGCCATGCCTGTAGATGCCACTGGCTGGACCAAGCCCACCGACATCCAGACAATTTTCTTCCGTTTGACTATCGACTCAGCTACAGAGTTCCTCTTCGGAGAAAGCGTTGAGAGCCAGGCTGCTGCACTCCGCAGTGGCAGCAACACCCAGGATGACTTTGCTGCTCAATTTGACCGCGGTCAATGGTATGCGGCTCAGCGCGCCCGCTTCGAAAAGATCTACTGGATTGTCAACAACAAAGAAAGCCGCCAAATCGATCGCAATGTGCACGCCTACGTCGACCGCTTCGTTGATCTTGCTCTCAACATGGATGCTGAAAAGAAACCCTCCCATTATGTCTTCCTGCATGCTCTCACCGAGGTGACTCGGGATCCTGTCGAATTGCGTTCCCAGCTGCTCAACATTCTCCTGGCCGGTCGTGATACTACTGCTTCGCTGCTGAGTTGGTGTGTTCTTCTTCTTGCCCGCCACCCTGAATACTATACCCAACTCCGCGCCGCCATCCTCGAAGAATTCGGCTCCTATGCCTCTCCCAAGGATATTACCTTTGCCGGTCTCAAGTCCTGCAAGCCCCTCCAAAACTTCCTCAACGAAACCCTCCGCCTCTACTCTATCGTCCCCGGTAACCGCCGTATCGCCGTCAAGAACACCACCATTCCCACTGGCGGTGGTCCCACCGGCACGGAGCCTGTCTACGTCAAGAAGGGCCAGGCCGTGTTCTACAGCACCTTTGTGATGCACCGCCGGAAAGACCTCTGGGGCGAAGATGCGGACGAGTTCCGTCCCGAACGCTGGGAATCCCGCAAGCCAGGCTGGGAGTATCTTCCCTTCAACGGTGGCCCTCGCATTTGCATTGGCCAGCAGTTCGCTTTGACGGAAGCCGGCTACGTGCTGGTGCGCTTGTTGCAGCGGTTCGATCAGATCGAGGGTGTCGGCAAGACTGCCGAGGGTGAGATCACTATGGCTGTAAACCTGACCAACGCTCCCGGTGACAATGTGACTGTCAGGTTGCACGAGGGCAACTAAGCCATTTCATGTATCATGTCGGGTTTATTTTTGTTATTTAGCGATTTCCTTGGTCTTCGAATTCATTCAAAATATAGACTTTTTTTTTTTTTTGGCTTGACGCTGGAAGACTGCTGTGTAGCCTTGGTCCCGTAGCCATAGTTCTTGACTGTAGTCTGCCCCATAAGATTTTGTAACATTGGTATTGGGCCTGCCCATTGGCAACGCAACGGCAGTAGACAGGAGCTCTGTGCAGACCGTGGAGACGGTTAGTAAGTCCACTGTGGTACATTACACCCGAGCTTGAACAGAATGCGCATGAACGGGCGTACAAGGGGTCGGAGGCCTGCAGTGAATACCACTGCAGGGATTGTATCTTGTGAAGTAGCAGCCCACACAATATACAGAGTCTTTAGCATGAAGAAGGCAGGTGCGTTCAATTCGTCCTAGTATTTTGGCTTTACTACCAAGGCTCATTGATTCCACTGAGAGTTGGTCGAACACGGATACTGACCATAGAATTGCACTAGAACCATAAAAAGGTGAACTCTGAGCCAAGCACCATACGCCCATCTGTAAGCTCCCTAACCAAGAAGAATCACCCCTCAGCACTCAGTCAACGCACACCGCACCAACCAAGCCGCCGCTCTCACCGTCCGCTCCACCCCCTCTCGATCAGTAACAGTGGGATCAACCTCCACCACATCCACAGCCACCAGATTCCCAGAATCACGCACCCTTCTCGCCACACATTTTCCATCCTCAAGACTCAACCCACCCTCCACCGGATTCCCCGTGCCGGGCGCCCATCGCGGATCCAGCGCATCGACATTCACGGACAGATGAATGGGCGTCTCCGGGCCAAGGTACGCGAACACCGCGTCCATGATCTTCTCGATTCCGTGCCTTGTTATTGCAGTATCAGAATCAGAGTCAGTATCATTCACACCGTCGTCGTCGTTGCCATCATTATTATCATCATTTTTACCTCTCCACACTTCAATCAAAGGCACTATCGAAAATCAAAGGGACCACCGAAGGGTAAACTCACCGCCTCACCTCCTCCATCCCAAACACCTTGATGGCATGCCGCGCGACAACATCCCTTTCGGGGGGATCCACGTCCCGCGTGCCGATATACACCAGCCGCCGGAAATCGACTCGCCAAGCTTGCTGGATCCAGCTGAATGGTGCGTCAGGGGTGCTGTCGGTGGTAGCTGCACCCGCCACGCCTGTGGCGTAGGCGAGGGGCATTCCGTTTAGGTTGCCGCTGGGGCTTGTGGACGGGGTGTTGAGGGCGAGGTGTGCGTCTAGAATGATTACTGCGGGGGTAGTGGTGGAGTGGATTGGAGGGGAGTGCTGGTGGCGTTGGTTTTGAGTTTGCTGGAGGGCGGCGGTGGTTGCGGTTAGGGTGCCGATTGTGCTTGTGTGGCAGCCTCCTAGCGTCAGGGCGAGACGGCCGTGCAGGGTGTGGGCGTGGACTTGGTGGAAGATGCGGTGGGCGGTTGTGCTGATGGTTTTGGGGTCGTTTGTGGTCGGGGTGGTCGTGGCGATCTCGCTTATGGATATCTCGGTGAAGTGTGGGCGTAGGCGGTCGAGGAGGCCGGAGGAGAGGAGGGTTGAGGGCCCCTGTTGGGTTCCGGTTGTGGGCTGGTATATTCTCTTTAGTTGTTTGTGTATAGGGATGGCTAAATGTGATGGAGAAACAGGGACTGGGATTCAGGGTTGATGCGTACCCCGCCGCCGGAAACACTGGCGAGAACGAGCCCCAAGGATTGGGGATTGGATATGTAGCGGTGCAGTGGGTGAGAAGACATGATAAGGCGAGGGTGATTTGAAGTGGATAATGGAGTGACGGTTGTAGTTGACTGTTTTAAGGGACATTCTGTAATGAGTCAGATGTAGTCCAGGGGATCCACTATCACGAAGCTCACGGGGCAGCTAAATCGGTTGTCTGCTTAGCTGCGGAGAGATAGAGTTAAGCATAAATCCAGCTGTTTGGTTCCTTGGGAGCGGCCAGGAGTCAAATTCCATGCCAGGTCATGCCATTGCAGGCTATAACATGTAGTGCCTGCATCTCTTCTCACCAAGCCAGGCCTGACGTTGTGTAGTTCGTAAGGCTTTCAATATATAGCTGGATTTTCTCTCCCCATAGACTCAGAAGTTACAGCCTGCCGCCTAGGTATTACACTCGAACTTAGAACCTAATGGGTACATGGTTGGAAATGCTGGTCATTATCATAAAACAGTCCTCCAAAGAGAGTGTATTGTGGCAAATATGGTGATGATCATTGATACATACGCTGGCATAAAGTAAATGCAAATCTGTATGAGCCCTGCTACTCATCTGAGTTAGATTACTGAGAGCAAGCTTAAGTCTTCCAAAGGTGTTTGGACAGGTGTCATTAGTCGTAACTTGTTGACCGAGTAGAAAGAGTCAAGGACCAGAAACGGTAAGCAATTAGAAAGAAAAGGAGATAATAAGGAGACAGCTGGAGAGTGTGGTGAAGTAAAGATAGAACAACATAATAGAGATAGTAAGAGAGAGTAGAAGAAAGATAAAACCAGCCAGAAAGAGAATTGAAGCCGAAAAGGCTCAGCTCAACTCTTGGTATCTAGGCCATTCAACTAGGGCTTAGGCAGACCTAGCTAGCCGCAATCTGGACGACACTCTGCCCTCACTTGGATAAATCAAATGCATTCATAGACTCCTCAGTCCAAAGACAGAGCCACTCATGATGAGGTGCCTAGTGATGACAGTTAGGGGAACAACATAGATCTGGCAGCTGTCTTTATTTACCTTCTTAATGAGACCTGTCATCAGTAGATTAAGTACCTCTCGATCGAGTCACGTGCAGCAATCTCTCACCGCCTCAACACACATCTTCCCCTCAAGAATTATGCCGGCAGAAATCCGAGATCCGGCGGCCGAATGCCGCCATCGCGGGGTTTTCCGATCAGCAGTGAACTATTTTTCCATCGCGGGATCATTTTCCTCTTTACTCCTCTTCCATAAGTTGATTATCTCCGTCGTGAAATTCCAACCTTCAGCCCAAATTCCAAAAAAGACCAACCAATCGACAATCAACCACCATGCCCTTGATCACCGACTTCAATCTCCCCAGCTCGGCCAAGCAGCTGCAGGTTCCCGAAAACGCCCAAGCGCTCTTCATTGTATTCGTGGCCTCGGACGACCCGGCAACGGGTCAATCCTGGTGCCCAGATGTCCGCGCCGCCTGGCCCGTTCTCGAGACCACTTTCTCTCCAGCCGATGCACCCCGCCTGGCCGCCGTAGAGGTCGGACAAAAGCCCGAGTACGTTGATTTCTGTTGTTCTGCTAACCATTTTGATTGCTTGATTGCTGCTTTCTGCTTTCCAAATGAGGGAACAACCCCCCTTCCCGCCTTATATCCGACTGACGTGGAATGATTTATTGGTCGTGTAGATGGAAGGACCCTGGGAACATCTACCGGACCACGTGGAAGGTGCCATGTATCCCGACGTTGGTGCGGTATGAGATCGTCAACGGGGAGACGGTCGAGACGGGGCGGCTGGTTGAGGGCGAGATCCTTGATCAGAAGAGGTTGGGCGAGTTTATTGGTATGTCGCGTGTGTAAGCTTTGTACGACTTTTCATTCCCTGGGGGGTTGGGTTTGACTGGATTATGATGGATTCGGTGTTTGTTTATGCTAGGGTCTGATAGGTCGATGCGCATGACCAAGTATGGTTTTTGGAGTCTCTGATCGATAGCATATTTGCCCTTGATTTAGTCTCGTTGTCAATATCAGTGGTTGAGGATCGGAGATCTTGCATTGTGCCTTGAGCTGAGGTGTGAGATGCCTGTATTCTTGTGTTCTTGATGGAGATCCATAGTTTTCCACGTCTGCTAGGGGTTTGAGGCTGCATTTGCCACCCTGCGAATTTCTCGAACCAATTATAATACCATTATAGCCTGTCAGGCTTTATATAATGAGGAGTGGGGATGTGGGAATCGGGAAGATTCCGATTTGTTGTGATGAATTAGCTACCTAGTAGCTTTTTGGGCTTGTTTAGTGGAGCCAACTTCACGTCACCGAACTGTCTCTGGATTTGCTGGGTGCCGAGTAGCAATAGAGTGATTCACTACACAAGACGGTCTCCTGTGCCTGCTCTAGTCACTCGCAAGAATTACCTAGTAAGAGAAGACACCAAGTCAACCCGACTTCACAAGACGATAGTAGTAAGTTGCAGGTCGCAAATCACAGTGAACGTGTCCTTTCAAGCCACCGCCTGTTGTAGAAAGCTGATGCTCTTTCGCTTGCAAATGGGTCATGTGTTAAACATTAATGTGTTCGACCTGACTCTACTAGCTCCCTATTCGCTTCTGATGATCCTAAGAGGGCTGTATGACTATATGTAAAATCAACCTCGGCAACCGATAGTGGATCATAGCAGTAATTCAAGATACAGGTCTCATATCTCGCGAACTAGAAGTCATTAATTGTCTTTGTTCTCTGCCTATGTCTTGATTCATGGGATAGTTTGGCTATTATCAGAGGCTACATAAACAATCAAAGAAAACACACTCCCTTGATAGACTGCTTTCGTTGATTGATAGACCCAGAGGTGTACGCTGCTGCGTGAGGACGGACCTAGGGCTGGCGAGGACACGGATGTAGACCAAGCTGGGGTGTACGCCACACGACCTCGGGGGTTCCGGTCACAGCTGAAGAAGCAGGCTCAAGAGAGGAGTTTGCCAATCAATCTACAAGAAACAGCTCAGCTGAGAAGCATGATTACGACCAGCACGCATTGACCCCAGAAAAGGATGGCCATTTTTACCGAGCGGGAGATTCCGAACGACGGGCGACAATGATAAATGCACCTCTTTCACCCCCCATCCCTAGATTTTGAGAGAAAAATAAACCCCTTGGTGTACGTAGAGAGCGTCTGATATCTGGTGTTTTGGGAAGACAAAACAAAGAGGGATAGAGCAACCATGCACCAAGACCCGCAACAGGAACCCAAACCCGCACGCAAGCGAATCATCATCTGCTGCGACGGCACCTGGCAGTCAGCGGTAGATGGCCACGAAAGCATCCCCTCGAACGTGACACGGCTCTGCCGCGCCATCGCCAGCGTGGGGATCGACGCGCAGGACCACCAGCCCTGGCAGCAGATCATCTGGTACGACCCTGGAGTGGGCACCAACACCACCGCGGCCGGGCAAATCCGCAACTTCGTCGAGGGCGCCCTGGGCAAGGGCCTCGAGGGCAACATCGTCGAGACCTACCACTTCTGCGCCCTGAACTGGAACCCGAGCGACCAGATCCTGTGCTTTGGCTTCTCGCGCGGCGCGTACACCGCGCGCGCCATCGCCGGCCTGATTTCTGACATAGGCATCTGCCCGCAGCATCAGATCGCCAACTTCCCGCAGCTGTCGAAGCTCTACAAGAAGACCCCCGCGGGCTAGCGCTTCTACGGGAGGGATGCGTATTACGAATACTTCAGGCAGCGGCGTCGGAGGCCGTCGCAGCTGCAGGCGGGATCCTCCCTTGCGGGGGAAGAGGAAGAAGATACGACCTGGGAAGAGTCGTCCACTGAGTGGGCGTCCACGCCGGAATCGCGCGAGGTGCAAGTGGTTGGAGTCTTTGATACCGTGGGAAATCTTGGATTTCCGGAGCTGTTCGGCCACGAGCTTCCCGCGTGGCTCACCTGGACCGATAAGCCTGAATGGCACAATGTCGGTCTCTCCCCAAGTGACTAATCGCATCCACTGAACTCTCAAAACACAACAGAGCTAATAGATTCCAGACATCAAGAATGCATTCCAAGCTCTGGCACTCGACGAACATCGCCGACTGTTCCGCCCGGCCATGTTCTTTGTCCCCATCCCGAATGAGATCCCTGAAAGTCAATCGCGAGAGATCAAGCAGTAGGCGCGGGATCCATCGCGCGAGTGGTCGGAGCTTGTGCGTAGTGGTACCCACGAGCATTGAGAATCTACAGGCAGCCGAGAAACGGCGCGATGCAGCGGCACGAGATCTGCTGGAATGGGAGGACAGCCAGAAAGAGCCGTCCAGGCTGACGCAGGCGTGGTTTCCAGGGTTTCACATCCATATCTGGGGAGAATCCAGCCAGACTCTTAAGAACAAGAGCAATTTTGAAGAAATGTCAAACATAGTAGTCGCCTGGATGTTAGACCAGATCAAGGAGTACGTCTCCCTCGATCGGGAGCTCATTGAGCGGGAAGCAGAGAGCCGACAGAACCGTCTGCGGAAGATTAACGAGGTGCTGGAGGCATACAAAAAGAACGACGATGGCAATCGGAATCATGGGCTCAGTGGTTGTGGCGCAATGGACAATGGGTTGCTGCCTCCATTCGGCACCCGCTGACCCCGAGTGACGATAATCCCTCGGCCTATCGCAAAATGCGTCAATATGGCTGGGCAACTGACAATATGCCTGACAGCTTCGACATCACTCACCGCCTGAATGGCTCCTTGGCGCGGACGCCGCGTCGCTACCTGCGAGATCCGAGCACCAAAGCCATTATCGGTCACACCTGCGAGCAGATTCATCCGACCGTGGGATATTGGCTGAAGCATGTACCGGGCTATCGCCCAGCAGGGCTTAATGAGAGCCAGTGTGTACGTCGGCTCAGGACTGATGGCTTAGGTTATGAGTACCGCTTCAGATGCCCCGGGGAGAGAGAGAAAGAGATATTGCCCGAGTGGAAGATGGAAAGCGACGACGTCGCCTGGGAACAGTGGGCCATTCAAGGTAAAGAGGCGTTGGCATATGTGAACGGCCTAGAATGCCGATCAGAGAGACGCGTGAAGCGATAACCTATTTTGTCTACCGTGGTTTTCATGCTAAGGGAATGGATCGGCGATATATTCTGAGTACTCACTGCAATATGTAATGGGGTCAAGCCCACATCCTATATCAAACATCCCCGTCGGCTATGCATTACTTGTATCGAGGAAAGGCAATTCTTGGGGCGCCGCGATCCCTTGCCTCGGTTCATTCTCTATTGCCACGCTTGGGAGAAGGGGCATACGTGCCAGCTATATCTCAAATGCTCTAGTTAAACACTCCGGTTGAGTTTAGTATGACTGTTGCCTGATCAAGATGATCGCCCTCTTTCCTAAAGGTGTAATCACTCGAGTTCACTTTCCCCTGCCGGAGGTAAGGCGGTGCTTACTTTTGACTCACCCAGACAGCTCTCAATGGCTACACGGCGGAAAGTAAGTAATTATGCGGATGGCTCCCAGCAGGTTTCTTTTCCGCATATGGGCCCTCACCCCATCCCTGTGAGCAGGTGTCGAAGACTATTTATCGGATCAAGCCCATCGCCTGAAACGATGAAGGATAAGGGTGACGCTCAAACCGAACGCTAAACCGGTAGCGAGCCCTTTCAGGAAAAGTCTACTCGAGCTATTCAAAGGCTGGAGTTGACAGATTAAAATCACATTAGACCTTTCATCTCCCGTTAATGATTCAAACGAGCATACCTGGATATGTGGCTGGGGCGTGGTCTGAGAGGCTGCTAAGGCGGTTGGTGGCTCGTAAATGACATCTGTCTCCTTCCCGAGATCACGATCATATTCACGCCGCTGACGAATCTTCAGACGCACAAAATCTTCCCGCCCCCTGTGCATCTCTCCCAACCCCGTTAAAGTGTGGCCTCGGTCGGCCATCGACACCCGAGGTCCCCAGCAATATTCGTCGAGCATGTCCCAATAGATCAGATCAACGGAAGCGACCTTGCGGCACGCTAGCATAAACCAAGCCGAGCGGTCTTCTATAGACCGCTGCATGAGGACCGACAGTTGGTCATCTGTTTCGCTTAATCCCCGTGCCTGTTCGCATTCGGTCAGGGCTTGCAGAAAGAGATTCGCCTTCGGGAGGAATGCGTCGAAGAAAGAGTCGGGACCAATATCGTCAATAAGATAGTCGGGTCGCCGTAAGAGTAGCCACCATGGGATACTTGCCGCAAATTGCGCAGGCGCCGCATAGGCAAACTCCCAGTCGATAACCGCGACAATCTCGAGAGAGTCGTCCACCAAGACATTCCCGGGGCTTAAATCATCGCAAAAGAGCTTAAATGGGCCATCATCGTGACCAGAAACGAAGTTTAAGGCTATAGCTTTCATAAGCTGGCGGCAGGCATATTTACTCCTGCAATCTTCTGAATCATACACGCTGTTCCGCTGTTTCGTCAGCTGGGTCCATTGCAGATCCAGGAGGGATTTGACGTAGGCGGTGGAGCTGTGGTATGTTTGCTGAGGCGGGAGATCCTCCACTTTGAGCCCGCCTACTCTGATCAACTCGTTCTCTTCCTGGGTCAGGGGCCGTCCGTTGATAGCCGGCTTCCCAGTAGCGCTATCCTCAACGAGAGAGCCAATTTTGTCAAAGTCAAGACTCCAAAGACTGATTAATACCTCGGCCATCTGCCCATATAAGCGCTTCAAAACGTTTAAGTCTATATTGGGATTTAACATGTCAACTGCGGAATCGTCCATGTTGTTTTGTTCTCTCAGAACATCGGACATTTTCTTGCCCTCAACCCATGTCATGATAATGAATGGGCCAAGACCGGTGGGGTTGTCAGCTGCCTTGCCATAACAGATTACTTTCGGGATGGGAATATTAGTCTCCTTGGCGATGTAGTTCATCAGTACAGCTTCCCTGTAGACCTTATCATCTGAGAACATGGATTTCCCAGGAATAGGAAAGCGGATAAGCCAGTCATCCTCTTCGTCTTCCCAATGAAGACGAATACTGAAGTTGAATGAGCCGCGGTGCATGGAACGGAGGAAGCAATCGTCTCGTTGCCGATAGCGATCTGCCAGCGCACAGATTCCAGAGCCAGAGCGAGAGCATTGCTTGAACCATTCGCGTTGTAACTCGTCGAAGGTGGCGAGGCTGATATCATCAAAATCCATTCTGGAACATCAGTGATAAGGGCGATAAAGACACAGATACATAAAGAGAAAGCAGTTTGAACAATGAGCAATGCGTCGAAAGCATGAATTCAGCAAGTGCGCGCTTCACGGACTACCATTGTTTATCATGCGTGGGGAAGCAGCAACAGGCCCACCCCCTGCGGCTCCCATTGCCGGAGAATGTTATCTTCCGTGCCGAGCCATTGCTTTGCAATACTGGTCACAGTCGTCTTCCGTATTAGGTAGTATAGCATGATTGCAACCTGGGAGAGTCCCATTCATAGTCACGCAGTTACAGATAATTCAGTGTTGCCTTACATTCAGAACGGTTGCTAAGTTAAGCACTAATATTTATCACATAGCAAGGCTCAATTAGTCCAGACATTCTGAATGAGATAATCCAATGATTCTTCCAACATCAACCTTGGCCGCCGGCTCTTCTCCTGGCCTCCGCTGCTTCTCGTTTCCGCCTTCGTTCATTCTGCGAGGATCTGCCTGACGCCTCTAGTTGATTGATTGTACTTTGTTCCAGTAGTGCTTCCGTCAAGGCACTACGCTCTGCAGGGTCGATGACTCTGGATTTGTCATCATTTCCTTCGAGGCTGCGAAGGCTTAAATCACGGTCAGTGTTTCGGTCGCCCTGAGAGTCGGAACTCATGTCGGCGTTGTTGACGCCCGCTTTTGTTATATCTTTGACGCGTTGGCTCGAATTGAGCCCTAAGCATCATAGTATAAACGATCAGTGTTTGTTTCTCGAATTTATGGGTATAAGAGAGATACCTTAAGAAGAGAGGATAGACAAACACGGATCCGTAATGCCAAACAGATCGAAGATGATTCCGGAGAGCCCCAGAGTAGATGTCGCGGGGCGTTTCAATACCCCTCAGTCATGCAGCTAGTACTACCCCTCATCCTCACACTATTTGTCTTCCTTCGAGATCTATCTCCGATAGGTAAAAAAGATGGAAGGCAGGCGAAAGAGGAACGATACAGAGACTTTTCCTCGGAGGCAGACGCCCGGCTGATTTGCGCTAATTCGTGTGCACATGAATCGCAAAAGTTACGGAAACAAGTTTCATGGTTGTTATCGGCCTGGGCGAGCGAAATGGAAGATGTTTTAGCGAGGGAATTGACCCAAATCTCCTTAGTTTCTCGTACACCGGACAGATTTATCCCGGGCCAGATCTCATTATTGTGACTGATCATTTGCCCTAGTCCATGTGATCTTTGTGACAGCAAAGCCGGCACACCTGCTGGGCTTATATACATTCTCTCCCTTCTCTCTGTTTGATCATCACAACTTGTGACCACCCTTTTAGTTTGCCTGGCGGCCTATAATAGACCATATCGTGCATCTCTCTGGAAGGGATAAAAAAAAGTAATAATAACTGGTCCATATAATGTAACATCTGATCTACACATCAACCGGCCCACTCCTCGAGTGTTTTCAAGACTTGTATGACATGATTGGAAAAGTCTAGTATGACTCCTATCATTTGTAGGGCTCAATTTCGTAGACTAGTTACGGCATTTTCAAAAAGCGCGTCCTCTTTGATACCTGTACTCGATCTGCGATGTATGAATCGATTCTTATTGATATCTGTTTTTTTATGCCTGGTGGAATCGCCAATGTCAGCTATCTATCTTTCTGAGGGTCATCGACTCCCCAAAGCTGTTCCACTATTGCATAAACCTACTCTATTGTCATACACCCGAGCAACAGCATTCATGCGACTTTGCCCAACTCTCTCAATGGCGTTTAGAAGCTTATACATATATAGACGAGTCTTGAGAAGGTACTGCAATGGCTCACTAAGCAAAAGGTCAAACTATAGAGTGAAAAGGGAGCGAGCTGAACAGTATAGTAAGGAAAGCCAAAGGACGATTGAATGAGAACGTAAAGCATGGTATGGCAGGTAATGTAACCCTATATCTGAAATCTGAATCCATCAAATCAAGAGTTCCGGAATTGGGAGTAGACGAAAGGTTCATGGGGAGAGGTCTCAAGGAGTTATATCAGTCAGTCAGGCTGCAGCACGGGTCAATCAAGCACTAAAGTACTCAACCCACTCAGCTTGGTCGCCAGAACCCGCTCAATCAGGATCCAGATCATCCATGTGGTGTTCAGTCAGGATCCCATTATCAACAGAGGTGGACCTCTTGTTTGTATGGCCACCAGACTGGCCAGCCTTGAGAGGTTTGAAGGATGAGTGCAAGATCTTAGACTGCTCTTCCATCATGCTCCTGGATTGTTTGGAACAAGAACAAAGTGAGCAAGGTGTAAATGTAGATTAAGAATAATTACGGCTCTGGGTAATTGATCCCGTTGAGACTGGGTAGCCTGCGGAAGAAGGTGAAGAGGACAGGCGTTCGAAGGCTAATTCATTCTTTGTGGTGCGGCAGTAATAAATGCAGGAAGAGGCTTTCAAAGAGAAGCTTCATTAGACAAAGGTGCGACTCGATCGGAAAGAGCGAAAAAAGATGAATGGATGGGCAGAGGGCTTGATTGCAAGACTGCTTGCTGAGGCTCACATTACCCATGTTCCCTCTTGAGGTAGTGTGTATACCACTTCCCGACTGAACATTATCAACCATAGTCTTGGGAACCTGGATCTTAGTAGCTATAGTCAAAGAAACATCGTGAATAAGTGCAAAATTTATTCTTTGCCTCCCACAAATGAACCGAAATCAGTTTCCCGCGATAATTCAGGCAACGAAGGTTTTGACTTGATTGAGAACATGGCAGCACATACCTTGACTGCAGCCAGGCCTCTTTGAGTAACTGCCTGAGGCAGAAGCTTTACCCTGCTGGCGATCCGGTGAGACTGTGGGGTTGGTTATAGGCGCTCTGAGCCGCTCTCGGCCCGATATCCATGGTCTAGCGTCTAATGACAAGATACGCGGTTACCTAGACCCAATGTCTTGGCCAAAATCTTAGCTCTTTGACCATGTTATTTTCATTGGTTTCCGATCATGATGGACCCCAATCTCAATATGGTCCTAGCTGGTCTAATAGGACCCTTTCACCCACTCAGGTAAAGTCTGAAAAGCCCGGCCCATCCTAAGCGAAAAACAGCCCTCTTGTGGGTACGACATTACAACAATCTACGGCTTTCTCGGCATCAATCCTGCGGTCGGTGTGTTGAGATTATATTGCAGCCTAGAAAAATAACATAGTGTTCGACTATAACACTATGTCAGACTATATAAGTCTCAGAAGACATCTTTGGTCGGGTTTAATGGATGCGACAACAGGACCTTTTTCATAATATGAGCATTTATCAACAATCCACAGCAGAAATCAGCACTATGCCAACCCTAAGATCCATGATATCCATCTTCCTCGCCCTAGGCGCCTCGGCCCAAAACACAACGAATGGCGCAAATTGCACCACCTTCAATTGGGACCACAACAAAGCCTACTGGAAAACCTACCCCCCGCGACGAGCCAGCGCCGCCAAAACATGCCCTAGCAGCAACACCACCACCACCACCACCACCACCACCAACAACGACAACAACCTGCAAACCTGCCCCATCACCGCCTCCGGCGACGACACCTACTACTTCCGGACAAACCTCACTGCCCTCTCCTCCTCAACCTTCGCCCCAGTGGTCGAAAAGACCGTCGACCGTTCCGCCCTGCTGACGGATGAGTTCCGGCAGAACGTCACCGGCGCAATTGACGGCACGTCCTGGCTGGAACCGGGCCAGTCGGGCTATCTGAACTTCACGGCTTACAGCTATTGCTTTACCGGGACGGTGGACGGCTGTACGCCCGGGGTGGACAATCATACCCCAGTTGAGGTGTGTGCGCCGCTATGGCATACCTTGCACTTGAAGAAGGAGGATTTTGCTTTTGTGGATGGGATTCACTCGGTTGTGAATATCAGCTCCGATCGAGTGGGCCTGTTTAAGGATCCATATGAGGGGCAGGCTAGGAGTTGGGGGAATGCAGTGAGAATGGGTCAGGGACCGTGGGCTATCGGGCTGCTTGGGTTTCTAGTGGTCATGATAACCTAGATGTAACAGTTTTGTTTTGGAGGCGAATTGTATATAGAATTGCTTTACCGAATATGTAAAATAGGATAAATCCCTTTGTTGTTGTTTTTATCACTAGCTATGGAAGGAAACTGAATCCGTTCAGTGGATGTGATTGGGCGTCTTTTGCTAATTAGAGCTTTCCTCAGTGCGTGAAGATACTAGGTAGAGTAGTAAAGCCTTGAAGGACCATGTAATAGACAAATACTGCTGTAAAGCCAGCCACCTGATCCATTTACAGCCTATAGGCCCAAAGGTGCTTCGCAACCCCACATTCAGTGTAGATCAATGCTGTATGAGACGATGTGGAGTATTACGAATAGCAATGAGCCTACATGCCCGCATTCATCTTACTAACATCAACATCAATATGGCATCTCCAATGGTGACTGGAAGACGCTACAAATGGGATCGTCAGAGAATGAAGAGTTTCATTTGAGGTGATGGTGAGTGACCGGCTCAAGTTAACAAACATATGCTCTAGAGGAGTCATCCGCTTAACAAGCAACGCTATTGGACAATCTAGAGACAAAAACACAGACAAAGGGTGTTAGCAGACGTGAGCTATAAAGCCGCAATCAGGTACCCACAGCAGAACCGCATGATAACAATAAGACGAAGCCAACGACAATCCAATCATTTCAAGCAACAGTACTTCGACAATTTTTGGTCCTCACTAGCTATGTATACACCATGGACCCCGATGCCAACCTTCGCGTTCGCCAAGGTCAATCTATTCTCGATCGCCTGGTGGATATCAACTTCGGATACCAATCCGCTCCGGTTCTTGATGTCTCCGACGACATATGGCCGGATCTGGAGTGCTTTGTAATGGTGGTTTCCAGTGCCGAATTGCCAAAGGCCAGGAATATCATGACGCTAGATCTGGGAACGTCCGAGTGCATGGGCTGTGAGCTTCCCCGGGTGGGGTTTCACTACCACCTTTGGGATCATCACTCGGAGTTGGTTGTCTATTTGCTGCGAAGACGCGGAATTGGCAACGCTGGGATCGAGGAGGGACGGTTGGGATTTCAGTAGACCACCTTGTTGTGTACTGAGCCGTGCGTGGGTGGCTCAGTCGTTCGCTTGACTACTCTTATTAGATAATGCATTTTTTGCTGATGCTTCTTGTGACTATGAAGCAGGATATTGAGACTAGTAATGACACTACATCTGTGTATGTCCTTATACAAGCAAGAAGGACGGATGATAGCTTGCTCTGTATCGATTTCGCAGGACTTAACCCTGATATATTCGTAAGTCTCTGGAGTCATAATGAAGAGAACTAAATTTTAGCAGCTCAGGTCATAACAACAGCGACAGAAATTTTATCGGCTCTCACTGATTGAGAGAAAGGTCAAACACAATCTTCCCCCTGGCATGCCCCCCATCCAATCTCTTGAATGCCTCCTGATACTGTTCCAACGGCCATACACTGTCCACCATGCCGTGACATTTGCCCAATTCCACCAGCTTCGAGATTTCCTCAAGGTGCCGTCGGGCCGGCTCCATAACAAAGAACACACTGCGGACCTCGGACCCTTCAAAACCTGGAGGTCTGACCTGCTCCGGAGGCTGGAAGATACTGAGCACCATGCCCCCATCCTTGACCGTCCACCACGCATCCTCGAGAGACCTCCGCCCAATACAATCAACCACAACATCCACCTTCTTTTCGGGGTGTTCATTCACCCACTCACGAAGCTCCGTCTGCCGGTAGTCGAGCACCTCCGTCGCGCCCAACAATCGCACGAGCGCCGCATTCGCCGCACCACACGTCCCCACCACCTCCGCGCCCAGCAACGCAGCTAGCTGCGTCACCCACATGCCCACGCCCCCCGATGCAGCCGTCACCAGCACCTTCTTGCCTCTCCACGCCTCCTGCGCCGCGGTGAAACTCGCCTCCCCGTCGCCGGCAATCCCGGCATGGATGAACAGGATCTGCCACGCCGTCTGCGCCGACACAGGGATCGCCGCCGCTGCCACCGCGCTCAGACCCTGCGGTATATGCGCCAGCTCATCGGTGAGGCAGATACTGTAATCCCGCGCGTTTCCGGGACGGAGGTAGTTGGTCCGCGCGTAGACCTCGTCGCCCGCCTGGAAGGGCGAGTTTGCTGGTGCGGAGATGACGGTCCCGGCCACGTCGGGGCAGGGGATTAGCTCCCGGGGATTCGGCGGTGGGAAGTTCTTGGGCCAGAGGAGTTCGCCGGCGCAGGGCGCGCAGGCCTTGACTTTGATCAGGTGCTCGCCTGCTGATACATTGGCGGTTGGGAGGGGTGAGGTTGTTAGGGTAAGGCTTTGAGACTCGGCGCTAGGTTGCACGAGGGTGCGCATGGCGGTTGGTGTGGACATCCTTGTGAACTTTTCTCTTCGCGAAACTTGTAGATGATTTGGCTTAATTGGTAGCACTTGGTTCGAGCCAGTTATAAATTGTGCGAGTTGTCTGTTTTGAGAGATGGAGGTGCTGAGAGCGATAGAAGAGGAGGCTTTTATACATTCTAAGGATACGCAGGACGGGTTGCCGGAATCCCGAATAGCCTATCCATCTCACGAATGACGTCTTGCATTTCCAGAGCTCGTAAGATATATTTGCGAATGGGGTGTCAGCAAGAAATCAGAAAGCTGTAATGCACCTCGTATTGAGCGGCCAAGGGGCTGGAGCCAAAGTCAAAATGCCTCGATACAAAGGAAGTTCGCTATACGCTTGGACTGTGTAGATGTGAGAGTATACTGTACAGTATAGTATAGTGTAAGTGGGGGTGAGCGTTCAGAGCGGGGTAGTATGGGGCGGGTACGGGTACGGGCTTGACAGACGCAGGGCTTGGCTTCGGGTCCTTCTTGCTAAGGAGGTGTCTGTATTTATGAATATACTCTTTCCGGCTGAATACACCAGAACAAGGTTGAAGTGATAAAGCCCGTAATATGGGGCCCATCATTAGGCTGGGGAAGCTTCCCAAAGAACGAGTCCACAACAAGATGATCATCCGGCTTCAAGAAACGCCTTATTCCAACAACCTCACCCCCTGGTAAATCTCCTTCATGGTGCACTGCATCTCCTCCTATATACAATGGGATCATATGACTTACACTTACGTTAGGAAAGGTCAAATTCGTGGGTGCCAGACAACGCGGGCGTTACGACCTTCACGGATGGCGTTGGAACAATTGCGCGTCGAATCGGCGAACCACCACTTCGTTGACTTCTGGGTGCTTCGTACATCTCGCAACCTGCGACCTCCACACCATAAAGCAGTTCGAATTGGCGCTTGGAGCCAATCCCAAGGCAGGATGCCCGGTACCTGGTGGGTCCCCCGGATCACTGGGCACTGCAAGCACCTTCCAAATGCCAATTTTGACTTTAGATCTGTTTGCCCGCCATCCAGAACTGCGGCGATCTGCAAACTTACCTGAATCAAGATAGCGACAGCTTCGCTGCTTGAAGTACCTTAAACAGAGATTTGAGCCTACTTAAGCATAATGGCTGGTGTCTAGTACGCTATATTTGAATAAAACTTTGACGGTTTTAAGGTCATGGCACTTTCCATGCTGTCTCTATCCGGTAACTATTCAAATCACCAGGTCCTGCCTGCCATCTAGGCTTTCGCTCCTCTTTTTTTCACCACAGGGCTCGCGACAATATCATTCCATGTGCAAGACCAGACTCCCTCGGCCATGGTGGAAATAGAAGTAGGAGACCCCTTTCTACGAGAACATTGACATATTCAGTGCCCTTGCCGCAGTGATACAAACTTCTGACGAGGGTCCCCTCTGCACTCTTAACAGCCTCTAAGGGAAAACCCAGCCATACCTGGCTGTAGTCAGTACCTGATTGAGACGGGACGACCTTAGACACTCGTTGGACCTCCAAAGGTGCCCTTCACGTGATACCGGCCAGCTTGAACGACTGCAACGGAATTGGTACACTAGTATGAAAATAATGTGAACTACTCCAATATAGTCTTGAGGGCAACTGCTACCGGTGGAAATGTGAAGTTCTGGAGTTATGACGCACATTCTTAGTTCCTCTCCCCGAAGTGCTTGATCTCTCGGAAGCTCGTGGACAAAATAAAACCTTTCTAATGTTGAATTATGTATGCGACAAGGGTTTTTCCATGGAATGAACCAGGAAGTCGCGGAAGATAGTCCGTGCAGATTACGCATATCTGCGTTGAAGCCACGACGAGATCCTCCATGTGGTGCCTAGGAAATTTTAAAATACCTTCCATGGTTTTTGTTCTCTTATTCTTAGTGGGTTTTCTTTCCCTTTTGACACTTTACCAGTTATTCGAACTTTGAAAAAAAAAAAAAAAAAAAAACAACAACTTATGAGATCAATTGGGAATTATGCTGGCGTCTGCGACCCCAACTGTCAATGTGAGCGACACGTTCATATGTCGCAGCTGAACTCACCCACCTCCTGCAGGGAGTTTTTGATGGATGGACCAAAAGTTTGGATTCTAGAACATATAGGCGCTTTCAAGCGCCGTCTGCTTGGCTGTCGGGCTCTTAGAGGGAGCCAGCTTATACGCATTGGCATGAGTAGCTTGCTGTAGCTCACTGTACAGTCCACCCTGCGGGCGGCACTCGCCCGACTGTGATCTAAGGAGAACATATTGAGACATAACTTGGCAGTAAGGTAAGATGTTAGTCTGTTTCCGGCTATTACAGGCCAGGTTGCGTCGGTTGCCATATGGGTTATGGCGGCGTTCAAGCCACACGCTGGGAGGTCACGTTGTATGCTATACCTCTTGCTACTTCTTTGGTTCCGTTCAAACTAACATTGGACCTTCTAGTACAAGAATGACCTAGTGCTCCAGGTTAGTCTGGTTTACTTCTTGCCTTGGTGATATATAAGAGAACCTCCCATAGACTCTTCTTTGCTTCGTACATGAAGTATTGAGATTCGCCCTCAATAGCGCGACAAACCCTCTTCAAGCGGCTCTTCGCCCAGTTACTGTCGTTGTCAGCACTGAGCGCTTCCAAATAATCTCGAATTGCGGTCGATTGGACGTCCGACAGATCCACAGACCAGCCCATGTAACGATGCATGGCATCTCTGATCAGAACCTTGACACACAACACCAGCTGCCACTTCCACCACATCCCGCCGCATGAGGAATGTCGATCGCGAACCTCTAGTCGGGCGAGATTCTCCAGGTGATGATGACGCGCAAGCATGTACACCGGGTAATGGTTGGAGCTCTGTCGACCTCGGAAATCTGCAAAGCCGAGCTCTGGTATGGGGAGGCTAGAGTCATCTGTTGTCATGTACACTCTCGTCACATCCGCTAGGTGACTATTGTGTTCCTCATACCAGCAACCAGGGCCGTGGGGGTGAGAAGCTGGTCCGATCGGAGGATCGGGATAATGGTTGGAAATTAACATCCTCTTCGGGTACAGACAGATCCCCCGGCCCTGATCGGGATCCCCGCGATGGCGGCGGTAGAGGTGGTCAGTATGAAAATGATACGCTGGCATGGGGTAATCTTTCCAGAGTGGTGCATCATTGCTCGGCGACCTCACCACAGCGCATTCTCTCTGCTGCTCCTGTTCCGCCGGACAGCTGGGGAAACCAGCCTGGCGAAGAACCTCAGCGGCTCGGCCGAGGTCGGCTTGAGGAATGGCCCATTCAGATTGATGTGCCCTAATCGAGACACCCATGATACTCATGGCAGTCTGACCACAAAGCACACAACGAATTCCGGCACGATGAAGTAGGTATGATACCCAAGACTCGAGTTCAGGGCTTGTAGGCGCTACCACCGGAAATGCTACTGTTGGTGGAGGAACGATCTCCAAGTCTCCGGCTTTGGGCTTTGTCCTTGGAGGCAGTTGATGATATGGCTTCAGTCGCAGCCATTTCGGTTGCTCTTCGACAACCTCTGCAGATGCAAAACCATCTATAGATACGGTTTCATGTTCATAATCCTGGCAATTAGACATGTTGAACTATGAGCTTGCAGGATATCAGAGAAGACACCGCTTGCCCACTTCTGCTAAGGCCGGTGTGATATCAGAGAGGTACAAAGACAGTGCGAGCTAGTCCACATTTATATGAGTTCAATAGAAAATGCTTTATCTCAGCTATTACAGTGGCGTCGCCCCACGTGGTCCTTCTCATGTTCGGCAGTCTTTGCTACCTCTGGCACACCTCTTTCTCCATTCTTCTCTTTGTTGAGTCTACCTATATTCTGGCCATGCGGATAGTCTTCTCCACACAGCTAGGTTTCATCTATCGAGCCGTATTTACATCACAGGCTTACTTCCCATTCTGTCCCGATTATGCATGCATCCTCGAGCCAGTCGCAAACAAGCATTATGTCAAATTTCCTCATACCTATGCATCCTGCGAGCCACATAACGAGAATAATTGACGAATCGTGGTTTACTAAACTTCCTGTCAGCCTTTGTTTGGCTTGGAAAGTTCCTTTGTTCTCTTTTGTTATTTGGTGAGCCTTTGTTGAAGTTGAATAGCTGTCACCTATCTTCAATTTTTGGCCTCGTGTAGATACAGACTATGGAAGGGTAGCGCCTGCGTAAAGCACTAGTGGGCCACTCTCCTGTACTTTTCAAGAACCACAAGGAATGAAATCATGTTCACCGGTAGCCAAGGTACATCACATCTTTTTGTAAAAAAATTCTTATGATTTTAATACAACGGAGTTAGCATTTGCTTGGGGCTGAAACGAAGAATTCCCATGTTAAGGGAGGCAAATTAAGATGGCTTCAGGGGAACGGGGAGAAACTGTACTCCTCATAATGGGAAAGAAGAGAAAAGAACCATAAAGAAACATAGATAAAACATGACAGGATATATTAAAGGTTGGAAGATAGACTGTATATCAAACTATCAAAATGTGCTTAATTTCTCATATTGACTGATTCATTGGAGAAAAAGAATATGAGATTACATACATTTACCCGGTTAATCAGCAATGGTCACCTGATATGTGGGCTGGTAAGTCTGCCCCGGCCCCGGCCACGCCCACTACCTTCCATCAGGGGGACCTGAGATTAGGTCACTACAAACTTACCATGTTAGCAGTAACTATGCAGAAAATGTGCTTGCTTAAGTCTTGCGATAGATCTTGTGTCAGAAGATACCACCCATTATTGGCGCATGCATTAGTTCCTCAGAACTGCCTCCGTGCCGGCTTTCTCAGCTCAACGAGCAGCTGTCAACGCCGGCTACCCAACACAGCTTCACAACGCCAAGGACAGATCTTTTTTCCTACACATCAGGGCGCTACCTGTATGATGAAAACCTCCGCTTTGAAGAACGCTATGTCGAATTCGACGTCAAGGCGCTGGAGGCCATAGCTTCAAGTGTCGTGTGTAAGAACAAAGTCATTCTGACCCAGAAACTCGCAGAGGGTGGCTTTAACAGACTTTTATTCTCACTATGAACGACGGTTTCGAGGTCATAGTCAAAATACCGTATCGACATACCGTCCCAAAAATACTGACCACTGAAAGTGAAGTTGCAACTCTTGACTTTCTGCGTCAAAAAGGAGTGCCTGTACCGAGGGTATATGCCTACTGCTCGAAGCCAGACAATGCGGTGGGGACTGAGTACATCATTATAGAGAAGGCTCCAGGGCAGGCTTTGGATCGTCGGTGGTTCGATCTCACACCTAAGGAGCGAATCCGATTAGTCACCAGTTTTGTTGAGATCGAGCGAAAGCTTTTCTTGATTCCTTTTAGTTCCCATGGCAGTATCTATTATCGGGATAGCTTGCCTCAACACCTCCGCTCGGACCTTTACGAAACGTCACACGAGGATGACGGAAGCCATTTCTGTATCGGACCCTCGACTGATTACATGTTTTGGCGAGGAAGACGGACTCTACTTGACATTGACCGTGGGCCATGTTAGTTTCTTGCTCACAACTTTACTCAATTCACTGGTTACTGACTGTGAGTAGGGACCGATCATCGGGAGTATGCCCGTTCTGTGGGCCAACGAGAATTAGCATGGACCAAGAGATACGGCAAGCCCCTGCAGAATGGCTTTCCCCATAACACTATAGTCGAGGGAGAAATCCCTCACGAGGCGAATCTTGATCTTCTCAACAGGTACAGCCTCATATCGCCTTTTATCTTACCTAAAGACCGCAGAAATCCGATGAACAAAGCTACAATACGACATCCAGGTAAGATAATACTGGTGTCCTTTTATCGATGTATATTAGTTACTTCTAGATTTTAACCCGTCAAATATCTTTGTTTCGGATTCTTGCGAAATCTCATGTATCATCGACTGGCAGCATTGCTCGATTATTCCTTTACTGCTTGCTGCAGGCAACCCGCCGCTCTTTGAAAATCCGGATGGGAAACCTCCGAAAAATTTGGAGAAGCCCTCGCTTCCCGATATTTATGATTCCTTGAACCCTGAAGAAAAGCTCATGTTGATGACCTTCATCGTCGGCGCATGTTATTCTACTTGTATATGGTTTTTAACGGCAAGGACAACAAGCCCCACCTGGCAGCACTTCGGCATCCTTTGATGCCACACCGCCAACACGCAGTCGAGAGAGCCGGTCGGCAGTGGAGTGGCAACGTGATCACGCTTAAAGGTACTCTTGTTCGGCTTGTAGAGAACTGGGAGCAGTTGATTGCTGGAAATTTGGAGCTGCTCAGCTGCCCAATCTCGTTCGCGGAAAAGGAAATCTAAGACTTCTATCGTGTTGAGAATGATTGGTTTCAAGCGACGATCCTACTCGACCATTGGCGATCTCTTCTTGATGACCTAGGACATGATGGTTGGGTCAGGCATGAATCATTCGAATATGTTACGGAGATGAATAAGAAGCTGAAAGAAGACTGGATAGCTCAGGCAGAGGACGAGGAAGACTTGGTATCTGTGGATCAATTTTGGCCATTCCAGGACCACGAAGAATTTGGCTGAAGGAGGAAAGACATTAGAAAATCTCCAATTATGCCTTCGTGGCAGAAGCGATACTTTGCTTGATGGGTAGATGTAGAAAGGGAAATGAACATTGCAAACCCATGAGTCGTGTGCGTGGCGCAGTTATTTGGAGGGAAAGGATACCTTGGCCGCTAGACACAGATCATAGAAAGCTATCGCCTACAGGAACACTCCCGGGCGCTCTCGTGGCTACAGCTATAATTTACCTCTATGCCGCTGGAGATGGAAAAATTGAATAGTTATTTCTGTCCAATTTCTGCGACATTCCTGCTTCCAAAATATGATAATTGTGCGAGTGTGGTTACCTAGTGTTGTCCAATAGCTCAAACAAGTAAGGTTGGTTCCACGGTGTAGCTTCACTCCAACCCCGGTGCGGGTGTCAGATGTACGAAAAGCTGCAACGGGTCACGGAAGACTGGTTATGTCAGTGGCAACATTCAATTTCTCGTTGGTCTACCTTCCCCGGATTGCCTGAATATGCCAGCAACCCCTTTGTTCTTTTTCTTTCTCTTTCCTCGGGTACTGTAAGCGCGCGATGCAACGAACGAGTCTAGCACATAGCACATTGTGTTCAAGCTACGCCTTGAATTATCAATGGACCAAAATGTGGGGGCTATCCCTCCGCCGCCAGGAGTCACGCCCGACTTCAATTCCAGGCCGTGGTTGTTCACAGCGAATCGGGTTTCAGTCGCAGTGGGAGTGACCGTTTGTTCAATGACACTCATCATGCGGCTCTACACTAAGGCTTGCATTGTTAGACAGTTATGGTGGGATGATGGTCTGCCCGCGTTATCGAACTCCGCTAGCTCTAGCTCGACTGACTGTCAGCCTTTAGTATTGATCTTCCTCGCTTGGGTGAGCACTAGTAGTGAAATTGACGGATTTAATTCGCCGACAAAAGCAATAGGTTTTCGTTATAGCGACTCAGGCCACTATTCTATGTAAGCATATGCCCCTTCTTGGAGTTGGCAATCTGTGTTACAATGAACCCACGTAACTAATCAGTCAATTCTAGATGGATATAATCATTCGGGAGTCGGAATCGATTTTTGGAACGTCGGTGACTCTCTCCTCGTCGCCTATCGCAAGGTCATATCATTCCTATCGTTAACAAGTTTCGAATTGTCTTTCAATCTTCGAGCTAACCCCAGAGAGAGACTAGACTGTGCTCGCCCTGTCGATCCTCTACATTCCAGCACTTGCTTTTGCTAAACTGGCAGTCATCATGCTATACTATCGTTTGCTCAAATCTTTCCCAATGTGGCGATACACTCTCTGGTTCATCGGAAGCGGCATCTGCGCATATAGCACTGCCCTGATCTTCGCACTCATCTTTGCCTGCAAGCCAATCAAGGATGGATGGACCCTGACAACTCCCAACGCTTGCAGACCTCGAGCAAGTCTATATCTGGGAACTGCAATCGGAAATACAGCCAGTGATGTAGTTTTAATCCTGATCCCGACAACCTTCATATGGACAATGCATTTACCGCGGATCCAAAAGATCGGACTCTTTTGTATGTTGGGGATCGGGTGTCTGTAAGTCAACCCGACTTTTTCATCTTGCGCTGCCCCGCAGCATGGAGACTATTTTGCTTATCATTTGCTCTCTCTAGTACTGTAGTCACTAGCATTGTCCGATTAATCACCTTGATACCTCTTAATGAGTCGTATAATCGAACACACCTGGTTGGCCTCGCATGTCTCCTCATGTACGTATCATCCCGGACAAATCTCTTTGCATGATTTTTTGTCTCTCGGTCGCTAAGTGATGGTACCTTCTTTTGGCAGAGTGATTGAAGCCAACTTCCTCATTCTGTGTGGATCCCTTCCATATCTCCGCCCATTTCTCCGCCATCATGTCCCGAAACTATTCGATGAACGTCAAAAGGGAAACTGTACCTCGACTGATGATACGACGCCTGACATGCGAAGGATAAGTCGAAGGAGTTCGATATTTGATATCGAAAGTATCGGTAGCACTCATTCCGACGCACTTGATGTTTAATATACCGAGTCGCAAAAGCGGAGAGACTGATTAGATATTAGATAGAGAATTGCCAAGATAATATATCTATGCAAGAAAGTATGCCTATTAACTAAAATGAAAACTTGCAAGAAAACTAATAGCTGGATTCCTTTCTCCTACTTTGTATCAGTTGTCATTGGAGCTCGAAATTATGATTGCGATTAGGATTGTTTTTGCTTTGATATGGGCAACTACCGACGGCTGAATATACAGTTTCTCATTTGCCCTTTTCCATATTCGGAATATTCGTAGTAGACACCGGCACTGGTGCGAGAGATAATACTTTATAGCCTTGGGTATGTACAACGAGAGACACGGAAGCCCTGCCATATCTTTACCAGGATACCACAAATCCGGTAGATTGACCAGTTTTAGTGGTCCCGATTGAGCCATTAATTATTGGAAGGGAGAACTGGAGATCCTTTCTAACTGATATTCTATATTCACAGCCAAGTAGAATTTTCAACAAATAAGCTCGACTGGCCCAGTGGTTAAGGCGTCTGTCTTACATTGCCCTGCAATAAAAACACAGAAGGTCCTCGGTTCGATCCCGAGGTTGAGCATTCCCTTTTTTTGCATCCAACACACATTACATAGGTTCATTCAGACAGCCACCACTCACTACTGTTTTCCTTTTCCCCTTGCTTTCTCATTAACCAAATTTCATTGCAAGCTCCCCTTTATGGCCCGAATATGTTTGAAAAAAAAAAATAATTCAAGATATCGGTGGTGGTCATTAAGACATTAGATCATCAAATCGAAGCGCGGCACTTTCCACGGGCTAGACTCGTTGATAGTGGACTGCCATTTCCTGTGTGACATTTCCAATGTACTGGTCAACGTCGTCGCCGAACACAGAACGCCACCACTTTTACTGGAGTGATTTGCAGTGGAAAGATCACCTCTTTCGTTGGCGAGTGGTCTTTTGTTCCAATCTGGGCCCAGCTCCCTCATCAGCCACATCTATAGTAGTCACCAGACACCCGCTTCAATCACTTCTCTGATCATATCGCAAAACACACCCCAAACAATATCCGCACTCTCTGGCCCCTCAAAGTTGACCCCGCAAACAAGCACCGGTGCAATTGTAAGCGCTGTAGTTGGTGTATGGTTGGTCTAGCGCTGACCATTTCTATGATCTGGCTTTTGTTCTACCGTTGAAGCCGGGGCGCACGCCAAAGCGCGCAGCAGCCAAATCAAGCTATGTCTGATCTTTCTCCGGGGGTCAATGGGTACCGACCCGCTGAGCTGAATGATGAACAAAGCCCGCCATTGTATGACGTTGGCTACAAGCTCCCATACTTCTTCGAGATAATCATGGTAATGATAGCATGGAATATGATATATCGCATCTGACCTAGAAGCAATGATATACAACGTGCCGGATTTGCTTATTGCCAAATCAATGTACAACCAAGTTCACAAAGTAGGAAGACCTGACCCTAACGTACATGATTATGAGATGTGTAAACTAAGGGCTTCATGACATGAGCCTAGTGAGTATTGCTACTTCACGATCCTTGTTATCTGTTACTTTTCTATATACGACTAACCTACCGCGTCAAATACGTGAATCAAAAGAGGTTGAATGGTGTCTATAAAATGCGTCTTCTCCTCATATCATAGCTCAACAGACCTCATGTATCTAAGTATCGTTCGCCACATCAGTATGTGAGTTGGTGATAATGGTTCTCCTGATCATGTTCCAGTCGTCTCCTTAATATTGGAAACACTCGCCGTGTTCAAATCCCAACATCTCTATTATGGTGATGATTGTTCCTGATTCTTGCACTATATCACACTAGATCGCCAGCACTGAATCGCAGAACGAAAGAGTGAGCCTTTACTAACTGTTTGGGCGGGTCGACCCAGCCTCGCGCCATGATATAAAAACTGGGTGCAGACAGTTCCCGAATGCGTTTACTATGAGCACTCAGTCTGAGCAGATCATCAAATACTAAAGAGCATGATCTAGTAGACGCGTCGCTCGTGGATGAATAAGCCACAAACGCTTGCAGGCTCATTGATGGCTATGTTGCCTACAGGGCTTGCTGCGTCACGAATATCGAGCGATCTCCGAGCTAGGAGACATTTCTTTCGTGATTACCGTCCGGGTGCTTATATTGCTTATGGTTGTCGGGAACGGGCCGTTCGACCCGATAAGGGCTTCGGTGGAGTCGTGAACAGATGACCTATCCGCCTAACCGTCGGGTATAACGGCAATGGTGCCCTACACCGCGCCGCATCCACTACAAGAGGGGTGTCAACGTCTAAAAAAACACTTCTTAGTGCGATTCGAGAGAAGGTGAACTGGCGCTATAGGTATGCTTATCAAATGTAACTTCTATATACACATTAATGACGGCAATATCCTAGAGGCATACATGGACATGAAAACACAGATACATGTCGCGCGGGTGCAGCGCTGATCCCCACCCCGAACGCTTACCTGCATCATCTTACAAATAAGGCGACTACTATGCTATCGGGTCTTCGGCGAAACTCGGGTGAGTAGTTGTGTCTAGCGTGCGAGGCCACACGACTTAGCTTCGATTTATCGCCTTAGTACTGCCTTAGCTTGTTCTCCACTCATGCCATCAAAAACGACCAGAAAATGAGGGCTCTGCTTTGAATCCAGACATTTAACCTGGCTGAAATTCGAGTGAGGAAACGTACAAGATGGCACCCAAGCTCCCTGCAGAGCCTGCCAGCGCAGAAGAGATCCGGCAGTATCTCGAACGAATTCTTGTGGAGAAGTACCAAACCTCCCCCGCGCTTGCCGAGAAGACTGCCAGCCGGTGGCAGGTTGGTCGGGGTACGGAACTTCGACAGTTCAGTCTGGGAACATTCAGGGCGCACTTTGGGGAGGATATCGGTCTATGCCTATACAAAGGAGTCTGCGAGGACAAGTATGACGATTGGTGCCCGACTACCACGTCCAAAATTACTAGAGGTATCTATCTTTCTATCCCTTTTGTGTGCCCAATTCAATCAAAGAGCAAAAGCTGGGGAATATATATTAAACTGCTGTTCTTGCGTTGGTATCAGGGCTTCTAGCTACATCGATTGCCATTGTGGCAACCCTTATCATTCTTTATGTCTTCCCCGGGCTTCTGAACCCCCCAGCCAAGCCTTACGGTAAGCCTGTTTTCTATTATGTTCTATCTTCAAAATCCTAGGTGCCATGCCAAGAATCCTCATTTTCGCAATTGCTCTTGGCGCATATAATAATCAAGTTGCAGGCCGTCCTGCTTTCATTGATTCGCCTGCGGTATCACCGATCCCATGGGCGTTTTACGGCATGGCACAACTCAACTATTTCTACCAACATCCCAAGAACGACACAAACGATCTCAGCCTTCTCGTAGGAGGGATGTTGGGAATCATGGCCTTGTGCCTTGTGCCTGGACTCTGTCTGCTCTAAGAGAGTTGAACTGGGATCACAGTGGCATTCATAGTTCCCAACCACTGAAAGGGTTTGCATTGTGATCCTTGCACGTCTCTCGAATGACAAATATGCGATACACAGAGGATTATCACGTCAGTAAGCCTCGCATCACACCTCGCAGAGTGGGACTTACAAAGACGATTGGTAATGGCTCAGGTGAAACCCCGGTGCCCATGTCCATCGTTGCCGAGAAATCCAGAATTATCGAAGTTGAGGATGAGTAGACGATTCCCAAGGTGCACTAGCTGCGGTTGATATATCACTGAGTTAGACGGGATGTAAAACAAGAATGTGAAATACCTGAAAAATTGGAGGAGACTCTTCCCTTCGCCGCCGTCACGATATTATCCACGTCTTATATAAAAATTGGCCGGCAATAATGCCCTCAGTAATGCTTGCGCGTTTATAGATATTGAGGACAAAGGAGTTGAAATCACTCGGAGTAAATAAGTCTTGTACCTTAGACAAATGAAGAAAGATTTATCCCGCAGGAATTCAAGCCATTGACCGTGATACTAGGTACTATTGCTGCTGCAGGAGTGGGGCTGGATAGTGCATCTAAATACTAAGAACTTCGTGTCTACTGTACTGTACAATATGATAAATATGCCCCATATTCCAGTAAAAGTGATAGGTTAAGTGGCTGGATTTATTGAAAGTTCGGTCTTCTCAAGTCATTCCGCATGATTGTGAGATAATTTATTGAACGCCGGTTTTGGTAATTCTGTAATGCGATATATACTCTATGAGAGTTTTAAGGTATCGCAAGCAAATTCCTCGAAGGTTTCTGTGCGTATGATTGTAAAGCTAGATCCAGGACAGCACTAAGTTGAGTGGTCAAAAGGGTCAATGCTTCGAACCTATCATATGCTCGTTAGTGAAGACTGTTCATAATCCACTCACCATTTCAGCGACAAGGATAAACCAGCGCCATGGCGGCCGAGGTTAACGCTGGTTGGATCAGTCAAATGGGTCATGTGACGAAACTAAGACTCATGCTATATAGCATTGGCCGGATGGTGTAGTTGGTTATCACGTATCGTTAACACCGATAAGGTCCTGGGATCGAGCCCCAGTCTGGTCATTACTTTTTGCTTCCCAAAAGTAAATAGTTCATATTAGGACCACAGTATGTTTTTGCTTCGAAAGGATTGAAGAAACAATCCTGCACTGCATTGAAAACTTCCGTATATCACAGTTCACCGCGGTGTTCAGGATTCAAACAAACGCGGTGAGTCCGCGATTGTTATAATAAAAGCGCAGATGAGTGTCCAAGCACCTTCGCGACGACGTGGCCACTTAGCTGTGATTGTGGTTGAGAAGGAAGTGCAAGATGAGTTTGAGATCTTGTACCCTAAGAAGCAATCGAGCAGTAGATGAGACAATCCATGATCCTTTCCACAATCTTAACCGAAGCTCGCTAGCAAAAGACACCAGAAGGGTCAAAGATCATCTATTTTCCGCGCGAACTCAAAATTTGGGAGATTTAAAGCTGGATGTTCACAAACTGGTGTATATTGCTCTAAGAAAAACTGCCCTTAGAAAAACTGCCCTTAGAAAGACGAGACAGCGGCTCGAGTCTAAGCCACTGCTCTCTCATTTTCCAGATTGTCTGAGGCCACGACTTTACAGCAGCTAACGTCTCATTCCACCTGCTTCTTATATTTGGTCCTCCGGAGTGCAGTTGTGTGCGGGCCAGAAAAATTGAGCAAGACGAGACTGTTGTGGTCATGGCGTCGCTCTTTCGCGAGCATTGACTCTAGGTCGTGATTCAAGGTGGAGAGGACTTTGAAGCAGCGCAGACACGCCTAAATGCAAGAACGTTGGACATGCACCCTCTGCTTGTAATACAGATGCAGGATCCGGATAGTGTCAAGTTTATTAGGGAGCATGTGGGATGAACATGAAAGTCGTGTTGCTCTTTCCAGCGGCTTAGATTTGAAGAGCGCACTGCATTGATGTGTTGCTAGAAGAAAAACCGAGATAATCCCCGTCCTCTTCAGTGTGCCCTCATTGCGGCTGCGCATGGATGTATGACTAGCGCCTCGATGAGCATGCCCGGTGTGCATACGGCACCCGAGTCATCGCCTTAGTCATGCACTCTTGCTCTGATACTAGCACGACATGTGTTGTCCTAGTCAGGTAATCGCTATCGGAATCATGGATTGTCAAACGTTTGACCGATTCTCCTGGGAAAGATGATTCGACATTGCGAGGGATGCAACGGTTTCACTCCCGATGTATAAGTAGGTAGCGGAAGGCTGCCGATAAGAGCGGAATGGTTATCGGAATGCGGAACCGTTATTTGCCAGCTTAGACCGCCTCCATATCCCCCTTCCTCTGACTCAAAAAGCAGCCGGAACAAGAGTTGTTCCGTTCTCGCGCCCCAAGAAAACCATCCCACCACCTTATCAGCCCACTTGCCCACCTTTCCCTTTTCTCGCCTTCCCCTCACAAGTTTTGCTTCCCGGTTCTCGCCCGTCACGATGGACTCCGCAGCGCAGGCACGTTACGATCTCATTCGCGAGAACCTCGCTGAGGTTCTGAACCCGGAGATCATCGAAGGCATCTTGGCAGAGGGCCGCAACCCCCGCATCTACTGGGGTGAGTCAATCTGGATACCGCAATAAGTCATGCGACAACTAAACTGTTTGTCTGATTCTAGGAACGGCCACGACGGGAAGACCCCACGTCGGTTATTTCCTCGCTGCCTTGAAAATCGCTCAATTGCTCCGTGCCCACTGCGACGTTGTCGTCCTGCTCGCCGATATTCATGGCTTCCTCGATAATCTGAAGGCGCCGCTCGAGCTGGTGGACAACCGCGCGCAGTACTACCGCAAGATTATCACCGCCATTCTCGAATCAGTCGGCGTGTCGACCGAGAAGCTCGAGTTCGTTCTCGGTAGCTCCTACCAAAAAAGCCCCGAATATGTCATGGATGTGTACCGCTTGTCGAGTTTGATTTCCGAGTCGGATGCGAAGAAGGCCGGTGCGGAGGTCGTCAAGCAGACTGATAATGCTCCCATGAGTGGTCTTTTGTACCCGGTGCTTCAGGTGCTCGACGAAGAACACTTAAAGGTTGATTGTCAGCTGGGTGGTATGGACCAGCGGAAACTTTTCGCCGCTGCCGTGGAATGGCTGCCCAAGATCGGCTATCGCAAGGTACAAATGCTGTTTTTCTGGATGGAGAGCTTTCACGAGGCTAATGGGAATTTCTTTTTTTTCCTAGCGCGCACATCTCATCAACCCTATGATTAGCGGATTGAAGGGCGCCAAGATGAGTTCCAGCATCGAAGGTAATCTCCGTCCCTCTTCCCCCGTTTCTACTAAAGGCTCCTGATTAACACTCATTTCAATCACACAGATAGCAAGATTGATCTCCTGGACTCGGCCGACAGCATCTCGAAGAAGATTCGCAAGGCGGAATCTGCCCCCAAGGTCGTCGAGGGTAACGGGGTCATCGCCCTGGTGGAATATGTTCTCCTGCCCGCTGCCGATCTCAAGGGCAAGAAGGAATTCCGGGTCGAGCGCAAGGACCAGGAGCCACTGATCTACACTGATATCAAGCAGCTCGAGGAGGATTACAAGAACGATGTTGTATGTTTTGCTCTTCTGTCTCAATCCTCTTGCGCCTCAAGAACTAACCCACATGCCTCTTTTCAGTTGACACCACAAATGCTTAAGCCTGCTGTGGCCGACGGTCTTATCAGCCTCATGGCACCTATTCAGGCCGCTTACCAGGCCTCTACCGAATGGCAGGAGATCACTGCCAAGGCTTACCCGCCTCCCGTTGCTGAAAAGAAGCAGAAGAAAATCAAGAACAAGGGTACTCGCCATCCCGGTGCCCCCACGGAGGACAAAGCAACCACGGAGCAATAGTTTTGAACAGGGCCTTGATAAAATATACCGAAGCATATACAGTTCATTCACAATCTTAGCGATAGAACGCCTGCAATGACTCAGGGAATTTCTTTTGATCAAGAACCAAATTCGAATTTCGACCGAGAGATTTAACCTTCAGTTTCGCGAGACATTCTCATAACTAGAGCCAACGGATTCAGAACTTCAGAGTTCGGACCTATGACAAACAAGCGGAGACAGGGAGAATGGAGTTTCTTGTATTGACTAGCGCATGTCTCATCTTACGCAAAAATGACAAACCAGATTCATGTTGCAGAGGGTAGCCTTGCCTATATTGTCATCGTCGATGCGCCGGTGTGGGCAATGACCTGGGTAGCAGATGATCTGGAAGGAGCTTTGTTAACTTAATTAGACCCAAATTTCCGGCAGTATGACATGATATATCTGGGATTCTTCGCTTAGTGTGTCATTACCAGCCATTTTGTTGGTCCCTTACTGATGGTAATTGTCTTCGACCATGTTAGACACTACCGTTTCTATGTGGGTGACCCAATCTTAGACTAGAGTGGAGCCTCTCGACCTTTCAGTCAATTAAGCCTATTTGATCGCAAGTGGCATCCACCAGGCAGTAGTGTGTTCCAAGGTGGAGCAGGCGTGAGAGGTTCTAACTCGAATTGGTTTGCGCTTATTCCGTTAGCTTCGGTTGAGGCTGGAGTAAGTACACGGCAGGAGCATGCATCCCGCTATAGCTGGGCCAACACAGGGGCTGATGCTCGCATCTATTTAAACCCTGATTCTCTCACCCGATTTTCTTCCCCATCATCTCATCTCTCCAACTCTGCCCTCTACCTCCCAGACAGGGCAGTCGTAGTTTGATTGGAGAGAGTTTGTAGGTGACTAATATTTGGAACTGATTTCGTCGTGTTAGCAGATTGCTCTCCGTGAGACTTATAAGTTGATCTTGCAGTGTTGCGGGGTTTTTACTTGCGTATTTTGGAGCCGGGAGTTGAGTTGGCGACTAAGAATTCTGGTTTCATAAGCCTCTTAGCGTGAGGGTTTGGGTCGAGGACAGGGTGCATGCTTCGTCTTAAATTGGTTGATTGTGCCTAGTGTAGCTGGGAATATTAGATCATGTTGTAAGATGGATGATCAATTTTAGTTTGGCTGCTTAGTCTCACGCCTCTAATTGCGAGACTACTTGATAAGCTCACTAGATGTTGATCTCTAACTTTTTGTACGTTATGAAGCAGTTCGACACAGAAAATCAACAACCCATCCGAAATAGTTGCTACATGTAGATTCTCCTTAATAATATTCATCGCCTTCTCAGCTACAACCAAACCAGTCGCCTGGATACTCCTCGAGGCACCAAAGGAAGAGAAGTCGCTAGCATCGACAACACGAACATTGCGGGTGCCGTAGACGAGATGCGGATCCGCCACGCCCCCGTCCTCACGGGACATCATCGCGCACGTTCCAGCCAGATGGAAGGTGGAAAGCAGCAACTCCTTGGTCAATCCCTTAGCCTGCTCTGGATCGGTAAGTGACTGGGGACTGCGTATCCGAACACCCTTGAGCACCGCAGCCATCGAGGGCGTCGCGACGAGCTTCTCCATCCACATCGCGTGGCGGGCATGCAGCTCCACATCGACGGGTTGGCGGAGGATCCCATGGTCGAGGGCCGGCTGATTCTGGGGCTTAGAGGATCGGATATGCACCGACCCCCGCGACAGCGCGTAACACAGTGTCGTCAGACTTGCTGAGAAGCCGAGAAGTTGTTGCAGGGCATGGGCTTGCTTGGACCCGAGTCCGGGTCCGGGCTCGTCCAGGATCCTTTGAAGTAGCTGTGCTCATTTCTCGGGCAGCAGATCGACGCACGGCATATTGACGGAGACGTGAGGGATCATACCCAGCGGGCCGGAGCCGTCCTGATGATAGGCGGCCATGGCGGCGGCTGCAACTTGAGGATCTCGCGCTGTCTGGCAGGACACACTTTCTGCCACCTTGTACCCAAAGCTGACGATGCCGTGGTCTTGGAGGTTCTCGTCGACTCCGGGGTTGTCAATCACAGGAGCGATATCGAGGGCACGAAGCAAGGAGATGTTCTCCATCTCGGAAAGCTCGAGGAGCTGCGGTGTGGTGTCTGGACTGCGCCTGCAGCAAGATAACTTCTTTCGCGGCGCGAACTTGATACGTGTGGTGACCGTTAGAGAGCTGGACTGCCGTTGCCTGATCACTTCCGGTCGACTCCTCTCCATCCACAAACAACTAATTCACATGTATCCCTGTCACGACGCGCATTTGCTCTTTGCTGTACGGCCTTAAGAAGGTACGCCGGGCCAGCATGACTACGGGTGTGCATGGCCGGATCAACGGCATCAGCCGCGACAAATAGCCCAGTGCCTTCTCCCTTGAAGAGATTGTACTTGTAGATGTGCCTGATACCCCTCAGCTTATCGCCGGGACGATGCACAAGGTGAGGCTTGTTGTCGGTCATTTTGTGACAGTGATGGGAGTCAACGAGCACAAAAGCAAATAAACCTGAGAGCGAGGGATTGTTTCGATTAATATGTAAATCATTGTGAGTTGATAATCATTCACGAGCTTCTCGATTGTGAAAAGTAATAGATTGTCAGATCGTACTCTTCAGACTACAAATTACTCCGGGTCCTTGAAAGATTATAAAAGAAAGCATATTTTCGGCGCTCCATAGCAAAAGGGTGCCTGAAAGATAAGGCAGAGAGAGGAAGGAAGTGACTCTCTTGAATGGGTTCTGAAGGAAACGCAATAAAAAGCCGAACTTTTCAAACAGCACGGGATGATCACGTCGTTCGACGCAGATGTCGTCAAATCTGACTCGGCCATTCCCGAGGATATTCGTTTTGCGCTTCTAGAGACGGTGCGGCCACTTGAGGAAGTTACAGCCCGTCACCAGAAGAATATTCATCCTTCATGTGATGATTTAGCCGTGGATTTGGTGGATCCGTCTTCTACCCAATTATACACGGTCGTTCGCGCATACTGAAGCCGCAATGGACTACTGCCTTCCCTAACATCCTGGGAACTACTGGCGAATTGATAATGCTTCGGGTCCCGGATAAAGACGAAGCCCGCATAGATCTCCGTCTCTCAGTGCACCATCCTGAGCCGTATGAGCCCTTCTGCCGGACCTCTCAATGACTTCCATCCAATGTAAAATTCGACGATGACGGCAAGTGTTGATTTGTAGCCTATATCAACAACCTTCATCCCGAAAGGCATCATGCACTCTACCATGTCATTGAAGAAGTTATCATGTGTGCAATACCCTTGTGATGCAACGTTGACGCCGGTGCATACCGACTTGTACCGGAATAACAACCGGATGAATTATACAGGGCCCGAGTACACAATGGATCTCAATGATTTGCCATTCAATGTGGAAAGGTGGAGGGCTACACGCCGACTCACGCCCCCCTCCATTGACACATTTCACCCATTGATGCAAGAGAGTGACGAGAAGTTTGACCTCCAAACCAAGTTTCGGGATCTGGGCTTACAGGTCTTTGTAAAGTTGACAATATAGAGCTAACTCCGGAGAAGTCGTCGTACGACGGTGGGTCTCGGCATTTAAATGGCCTAATGGTATGGATTTCCAATTCTCTCCCCATGTTTCTGCACCCTTCCAGAAGGCAAACCTACACCTTTCTTTGCCTTTTTGGGCAATAAACAGAACGAACACATCTGCGCAACGGCGGTATACTACTACTCCAACCACAACGTCACTTCCAACGGCCTCAATTTCCGCCAACGCCCCAAAACAGAAGAGATCGCCTGTAGTTTTGATTACTACGACCGCCGTGGTTACGATTGGCTTAAGCAGACCTTTGGCTGCGAGAACCAAGGCTCGATCGCCCAGGTCCTCGGTTCGGTGCAGTGCCGTCAGGGCTGCCTCATCACCTTCCCCAACATTCTTCAGCACCGCGTGGAACCTTTCCAGCTCGCTGATCCGACCAAACCGGGCCATCGCAAAATCCTTACCTTGTTGTTGGCGATCCGCATCTTCATCTCATATCGACCGCCAACGTGCCGCCCCAACAGAAAGATTGGTATGAAGAGCTCGCCAAGGTGCGACATGAAGTCCTGGCCCCGAGATTGCCGTTGGAACTGCAACAAATGATCAACGATTATATGGGCTACGAAGGACTGTTCAGCAAGGAGGAAGAGAAGAGACTTCGGCTGGAGGCAATGGAGGAACGGTCACGTTTGTCCGAGGAGCAGGATCGGAAATTTGAGCACATCGCTAAGTTTGACATCCAGGAGGATTCCCTTATGCCGCTGTATGATTGGTGGTAATCGCTTGCTTGGTTTTGGGTTGCTAGGATATACAGCTATGCTTTTGTTCAATGTGATAAAACCTTCATCCTATCTGTGTTTCGTTGCAGCCCGACGTCCCAGGCCAGGACGTCAAGCAACAGACACAATTCCAGGTTACCCACCTGCCCTTTTCTCATTCTGAAAGAGAGTGCTTTCCCCCTGGCACAAGAATCACAAATAATACCCCCCATCCACAACAACCATCTGCCCAGTCACAAACCCGGCACCCCCCTCCAACAAGAACCCCACAACACTAGCAATCTCCCCGGCCTCCGCCAACCGGCCCATCGGCGCGCTCTTACCATACGCCTCAATCCTCTCCGCCGTCAATGCCCCGTCCACCAACGGCGTCCGCGTACCCCCTGGCGCCACGCAATTCACCCTCACCCCGTGCCGCGTATACTCCTTCGCCCACGCCTTCGTTAACCCCAGCACCGCATACTTACTGGTCGCATACGCCACCATCCCAAGCGGGGGTGAAATGGCCGCCGTGGAGGCTATGTTGACGATCGCCGCGCGAGGCTGGACGCCTCCTCGGCCACTAGAATCAGTTTCAGACCCAGCCCCTGCATCGGTACTTTCGGAAGCAGTCGATGCAGCACCTGCATCCCCGTCCGGCCTGTTACACTCTAGCACGGATTTCAGGAACTCCGTCCCGACGATCCACGTGCCCCGCAGGTTCACGTCCAGCACTTGGTCGAAGAGCGCGTCGCTCTCGATCCCGCCGACCGTGGGCGGCGGGCAGATGCCTGCGCTATTGACGAGGCCGTCGATGCGTGGGGTGCGGGAGAGGATGAGGGCGAAGACTGCTGTTATGGCGGCGCGGGAGGTTACGTCCGTGTTTGGGTAGAAGTGGATGGTTGTGGTTGGGAGACCGGGGGTTAGCGTTGGGGGTGTGGAGGCGCGGTCGACGACGTGGATGGTTGGGGCCGGGATGTCCGGGTTCTTTGCCGGCGTGAGAAGGTGGGTGAGAACTGCGAGGCCGATGCCTGAGAAGCCGCCAGTTATGATGTAGGTTTTGGGTTGTGGAGACATCTTGTTTGCTTTGTCTTCCGGAATAGGGGAGGGTGAGATGATTGGTGTTAGGAGATGGTGTTAAGAGACAGGGAAGAGGAGAAGGACAGGTGACGGGTTATTGTGGTGTTCCCTTGAAAGTTGTCGGTCTGACAGAGGGCATGTCTCGGTCTTTTTGGCTATTATGAGAGGAAAACTGGGCTGTCAATTTAAGGAAGTGGATTCATTGGCCGGCCGTGCAGCAGGCTAAACTCGATTCATTATAGCTGATGCCAATTGAGAATCCAAAGGATGAACTGCCCCGCTAGGAGATTGCTTGAATCAGTCTCGAGTAGGGCTGGCTGTTCAGTGCGCTGAAGCCAATGTTGCTTTCTGGGCTAGGTTTGTCTCTAAATCTGAAAATACCGTATGACAATCTCGGCTCAGTTGATCCTACCCCACTTGAACCCCATGGATCGATAGTCTAAACTCAATAGTACTTTTGCTCCTGATAGTCTGTACCCATACTGATCATTCGACCGAACAAAGGGCAAGTGACCCATATAATAATGCTCGGCTTTCACAGCACCAGGACTTCTCACGCACTCTGTGCATTAGATAAGAGATCGAGATCGGCAATGCGGGAGCAGGCAGGATCCGTAGCCTTGGCAATGATATTTGCCCAATGATGAGAGGTCGTGCCCAGTCTGATGCTAGTTAAATGATGTTTGAGCCCCAAGCGCTTTGAGACCTGACCTAGAGTTTGCCGGCTGAATGTTCCGGCAAATGGTCTTATATGCGGCTGCGATGAACATGTTGTCTTGCTATCACACCGCCCAACTCAGCGTGCTGGCTCGGCTCCTGCACATCCTTCATTTCAAGTCCTAGGGTGCACTACTGTCTCGGTGGATTATGTCAAGGGCCTGGTTCGTGTTCGTACTAAAGCTTGTAGGCTAAAATCTGCGGTCATCTTATGTCATGAGCGCCATTGACCCAGTGCATTAGCGCTATACTTTCACACGAGGTCTTTGGCTCAAGCCATTCTCGGCCGAATGGCTCAAGATGTTTCCGGGGAGTTTTAGGTTGGGGAGGCTTCGGGGGGATGGGGGGTAATTCAGGATGTGCTCACCTCACGTTTGGTTGACTTTGTGTGAATGCCAAAAGTGACATAGATCTCCTATAATTCGGACCGCCAAGTGAGCCCTGGTGGTGCTTGTCCTGGTGAACACTCTGTCGGCTGTACGACCATAAGGAACACCAGATGTAGGCCACATAGCCCGTGAAGAAATGTGTGTTATAATCAAGAGCTCCGACCAGGCCTTGATGCTAAGATGTTGATTACTCATAGTTCCAAGCCATGGCTAGCAACCAGGTCAATCATCGGTGGCCCTTCCCCAACGTAAGGCGCTAGTGGCGGTGCGTCCTGGAGTTAAATTAATGCTGGTTCACCAGTGTTGGAAACTGGATTGTCCCTTGGTGGCAGATCTATGGATTGGTACTCTTGGCAGATCGCCAACGCAAAGAAAAACGACCAGAGCCTCATACCAAGGAGGTAAGTCTACCAATGTCCTTTATCCATTAATCGCATCTTAGTTTGCCTGTAATTACAATCGGCTCATCCGGAAGATGAATGTTCTTTGGGGCTTCATTAACGCTAAAATCTTACGCTTTGAGGGTGCTTGATGTCGATTCCGTATTGGGCCATCGGTCCATTTCGGACACACTTCCTAGGCATTTCTTGCCACTCAAGGCAATACATTAGAATGTTTACTTGACCTGGCCTTTCTACCTCGAGTGACCATTCCACGGTACTATTCGGGTCTGGTTCCAAAGATAAGGGGAAACGCATGCTATGTTACATCTTGCCCTAGTGTGTAGGCGGAGAAAACCTGCTTGTACCTGTGCAGTATATCCGGTACATTTTGCTCAGGAACAGGGCAGATATGTCCTCGTGATCTCGCCTTGACTGTGGAGTTCTTACTTTGTTAGTGAGTAGCTGACAGCTAACCACTAGCAAAAGACGTAATCACCGTGTCATGCCAATGCTTGAAATACACGCCTCATGTCCACGCTGACCAATGTTGGCGAGGATGCTTATTACATCCTGAGGCCAATCTGTGGTAAGCAATACGCCAACGCCGATGGAAGTGCAAGGATACAAACGCCCCATCCTTATCAACCCAGCTTATTGCTTGGGTTGCTATTTACTTGATCCGGACCTCAAAGCCAAAAAGACATGTGATGAGCTTATAAATTCTCGAGCATCTTCCCAAAGTGCTTCAGACATGCATCACGAACAGCTTTTCCTCTTCGCCTTACAACTTTTCGGCAAGCTCTTATCCAAACCTTCGGGTCGATTCAGACTGGTTCGGCGATATTCTCCCCGAGCGGAACTATGGACTTGGGACGTGCATTGGGCTCGACCGGCAAACAGTTGCTGGATAGACTGCAGAGTCTTGCCATATCCCTTGGCATGACCTCTATCCCAGTCAGCGTTATCAAGAGGCTCGTCTTGTCGAGTTTGGCTAATATCGAAGTCGGCACCCTAGAGGTTCAGTCACATGATGGCGAAACATGGAATTTTGGCCATGACAAAAGGGGACGAAAAGGCTTTTTACGTATTCAGAGTGAGGCCTTCTGGTTTCGAGTGCTTGTATCGGCTGATCTTGTAGGTGTATCTAGCGCGAGCATCTGACCCTTTTCCCTAAAGTATTGTTCAACCAGGCTTGCTAATCAGTGACCGTCTCGCCTTCAGGGCTTCGCGGACTCCTTTATGCTAGGAGAATTCACAACTCCAGACTTGATGGCACTATTGGAGGTAAGGACCTATTTCCAAGAATACAGCGTTCTAGAGCGAAACTAACTCATTCCCAATCAGGTTTTCATCCTAAATGAGAAGCAGCTATCCAACCTCAGCACGACGCCTTATCAACTTGTGTCTGGTATTTCCGATGTTCTATTCCGCACCGTCGACACAGGCACGTTCAAAAATGCCAGCCTCAACATGGCAGCCGCGTATGATTTGTCCAATGGAATGTTTGAGGCTTTCCTGTCCCCCGATATGACCTACTCCTGCCCCATATGGCTGCCTAGATCTCACTCTCAGTATGAGAGCGACACCTTGGAAGACGCGCAGATGAGAAAACTGGACCAAATCCTCGCGAATGTGCATGCGCAGCCCACTGACCACATCCTAGAGATGGGTACAGGTTGGGGTAGTCTGGCTATCCGGGCTGCCACTACCGTCGGCTGCCGTGTGACTACATGCACATTGTCAGAGATGCAGTTCCAGCGTGCGCGAAAGCGCGTCCAGGCCCTCGGGCTCCAGCATAAGATCACTGTATTACTTTGCGACTATCGCTTGCTCCCTGTTCCGGATGTTCCATATGACAAGATCATTGCCATAGAGATGATGGAAGCCATGGGGGACCACGAGCTGGAGACATTCTGGGAAACGGTTGACAAGTTTCTCAAGCCTGATGGAGGTGTCTGCTCCGTCCAATCGTCTATCATGCCGGAGTCGGTAAGAGACTTCATTGTCAACATTCTGCACCTCGATGCTTCGTTCTGACTAGCCTGCAGAGATACAAGCATATGTTCCCAAGGGGCGAGGGGTAAGTGTCAAACCCGCACCATTCCCCTCCCTTCACGTCTAACAAATGATATCGCTCCTAGATTCATTCGTCGTTATGTAAGTGCAAATTACTTGACTCGAACTCCATTTGCCAAGGGAGCAGTATTAATCATAAAGCGTCGAATAGATCTTCCCAGGGGGGCACTGCCCAAGCGTCACCAGATTATTAGAAGCGGTGCAAAAGTCCAAGGCTCGGCTCGACTTGGACTCTGTAGCACAATATGGCGCTCACTATGTGCGATGTCTTAATGAGTGGAATCAGAAGTTTCAGACCAATTTCGGAAGTGTTATTGCCCCTCTCATGCGGGAGAAATATGACTTGTCAGACGATGACATTGGAATCTTTCGCAGAAAATATATGGTGAGGCTCATGTTTCTTCTTCTCGAAATGGCTTGGTCTAATTTGAATTGATAGTATTACTTCACCTATGCTGCAGCTGGATTTGACACTAAGATTTTGCACCTCTCCCACGTCACCTTCAGTCGCCCTGGTGCCGTGGAGATGTTAGCGGACGTTTAGACTTACATCGAGTCTTGTGCATTCTTGGGCATCCTTTCTTCAGCCTAATTTTAGAAGCTGATCGTCCCTGGTTTTGATCAGGCACATTTACTTTCTAGCATTATTTGTTTCAGAGCTCTTAGATATTGTTTCTAGAATGCGACTGTTTGATAGATTACCTTTATTGATCAAGGGAGATATAACCCCTCGTAGTCCGAAACATTCCAAGCTTTGTGGGAGAGAGTAATGTTTATCATGCCCAATCTCAATGGCAAAATATGAACTGTTTGTTCCTGAGTCTCTCAATTATGCGGAAGCTTTTTACGATTATTTTTAATCCTTTCATTGGTATAACCAAGCCACGTTTTTAGTAAATCATACCTTATATGCTGTATTTTATAGTAAGTTTCAGATTTTATGAAAGATAACACTGAACGCATATGTACTCTAGCTGAGAGAATTCGATTTCCTAAGCTTGAAGAGTTTACTGCAATGGGGGCACGGCGCAAACGCCACGAATAGTCACCTGCGAACGATGTTAAATCTCACCCACAACCTTGAGCTTCTTTTCCCACCTGGCTCTCTTAACAAAAGATAACCTCACTTTGCTTTACTACCATGACACCATGGGCTCTGGAAAACCTCCGGTGGAGATAGATAAGACCATCGTGAGTTTACTGAATTCGCCAGGTATCTGCGCGCTACGTCTAACTGGACGCACCATCTCTTCTTTTCGCCGGCCTCTGATTTGGAAGTAAAGAATAATACAAGGGCATACAGGCATGAAGACACCTCCTATGAAAGTAACCAGTCATTCGCTTGAATGAGGCAGAGATGATTAAACCGGGCTGGCATCATTAAGGCAGGAGGCAGAGATGATTAAACCGGGCTGGCATCATTAAGGCAGGAGGCAGAGTTTGGGGTTAATTAACATGTGTCTTACTACAGAGGACTCTAGAGAAGCATAATTAAATGGTTAATGCGAAAGTGGTATATTGCCAGGGTCATATCTTGATATGGCAACTTGGTTCAGCTATTCTCAATGGTTTCGAAATCGGAATCTCATCGGACCAAGTCTAAGAAGGAAATTTGGGAGATACAACTTAAAGTAAGCTAATCATAAGATATTGATACATGAAATGATAGTCATTAGTACGGTATGGCAGAGAATAGCCAGGGACCGGTTACGGTTTCATTTTGGGTTCTCACAATGATTTAGAACGAACGGACCGAACAGAACGATAAGCACTTGGAGCTAATAGTTGATACAACAGCTCTCGGCCCCAAGGACCTAGTATTGGGTATTCTTTCAACGCGAGGTAGTCATCCCACCATTGCAACGCATTAGGATGTCCCTCGCCGTGTGCCTCAAATCGCTCTCGTAGTAGGGCTTTCCAATCCCGATCATCCTTGTTGAAACCTCCACGAGCGGCTCGAATATACTCATACCAGATTGGGTAATAACCAGCGTACTCCCAATCGATGATCCCCGAGAGGCTCCCGTTCTTGACTATGATGTTGGCCTGATGGAGGTCACTGTGTGACAAGACGTATGGTTTTGAGGCGGGCATTCGCTCCATCAGTCTTTCCACGGCTTCCCTCGGGGGTCCTCTGTTCAGTGGACCCCGAAAACCACCGCTAACTGCCGTTTGGAAATCTAGGTCGGAATGAAACGGGCCCTGAGTCCTGCTTCTGGAGCCATGGATGAAGGGCGGGTAGCAAGGCCCTCCATTCACCGACTCAATTGACTGGGAAGTGAAGGTGCGAAGCTTCTGGCAGGCTTGGACCACTTGGTCTGCGATCGCTGTCTTTTGGCCAGCTGACAGCTTAGACCAAACCTTATGGAGGGGTTCTCCCTGTACCTGTTCTTCTAGGATGAAGTATCTCCCCCTTCTGTCGACCCAGTCATGCAGGAGCTTGGGAGCAGGGATCTCGGGACATTGGACCAGAAGCTTCGCGATTTCCCTCTCGGACCGAAGTCCTTCTTCGGGCCCGCGTTCTTTCAGCACCATATCGGTCCCGATCTTCCACACCCCACGATCATCGCCGCTGTATATGAGCCTCACATGGCTATTGTAGCAATAGGAGACCAGAGGCCATCCGCATGCTATACACTCTCCACCACTGTATGTAAAAGGGTCAACCTTACGTTTGTCTTTATCGTCGGGCCTGTCGTCTCTCCTGTCGTCATGCTCGTTGTCACTCATGTCGAATAGTGGTAAAGCTGCAGGACTTGACGATAGTCTTAGATCCATGTCTTTGACAAACATAGACCAGACATTGAACAGCCTGTAGTACAGAAAGATTACAAGGCAAGAGAAAAAAGTGACAGACCATAACAACTATTTATACCGCAATAATATCAAGAAGGTTCAATTCATCGCGTATGGCCGAACACCGAAACCATTGTTCAAGCATACTTAGGCGGAGAAAGCCATTGTACAAGAGAAATACTCCTTTCAATTGAAGCAAGCATTGATGATAGCCGGTTGTATACTTTTCTGTCTATGATTAAGAACATGGAACTGGTATTCTTCATTGGATGTGTGCCAATTTCGATATTCTTCGCGCGAAGACCTTGTTCTTTTTGGTCACTGGCTGGGCATACTTAAAAACTTGATAACTGGCGTGTATGTATGAGAACAAGATTGGAAATGATTTCAAGAATTATAGTAACAAATGAGAATGGCTCAACATGATGGCGTCTTGTTTTCAAAAGAGCAGGGATTGCTAATGTAGGAATCAGAAAGGCTTTTCTCATAACATCCCATCGTACATCCTGAGCCACATTTGTTAGCGATGACTTTAATGATTGTGATCTACTGTCAGCATTGGGTGTGAGACTTCCGATGGAGTATCTTCGTTATCGTCAAGCTTCCATCAATCTGAACTCAATGGCGGCCATTCTCTCCCAGCAAAAGAAAAAGTAGAATGGAGACCATATATACTCGATAGCAAATCATTCTTTCATCCAATAAATACATATCTTGAGACCTTTCAACCAAGCATCCAGGGCGGTAATTTCCAGATACCCATACATACCCAGATCATTCAACTTTAACCCCACCTCAAAAACCGAGTATACCCTTACGGGTGTTTACCATCCATGATCCGTCTTTCATCTGCCCAGGCCATTATCGCATCAAAGTCCTTACATTCATGCACCGCACCCGTTCCGTCGGTTCCTGGTTGCTTCCTCTGACCCTGACCCTCCAGGGCCGTGTCCCCGCAGCAAAGCAATGACTCCCGCAGGTACTGGAAACAATGATTAACATGACCGTGGGGACCTTCGAGATCGTCTCCGTCGGTATTCTCATGGTGATGAAAGTGATCATGCTCATGTGCGTCGCGGGATTTGTGCATGGAAGATTTGCCTGCGACGAGATCGTCGTATGCGGCCATGATCGCGTACTGCATATTTTTCATTCACGATTAGATTTTGCGCAGAATAAAAGAAGGCCAGCAAGGGCTTTCAGCTGCTCGGGGACATGAACAGTGCTACTGCACGTACCAGGCAATGCATCTGGTGGAAGACTGCAACCGCGTAGAGATTCTTCCCAAATTTGTCGATTGGCGGAGACAGGACGTATTGAAGTTGCTCTGTGTGGTTTACCTCGATGAACCCATTGCCTCCTGAATGGTCTTGTCAGACATAGACTAGCATGAACTCGTTCGGTCAGACTTACGAGGCATATACGAGAGCCAGTTCTCCTTCGTCGCGCTTTTGGACTTTTCAGTTCGGTGGTCGGAAACCGCCATGGGATCAAGTCGGAAAAGAACTTGATGAGTGGGAACTATCGGTCAAGAGACCAAGCGTTAACTTTCGTTACGTGAACCATCTCGCAAATCGCTTACAATCAGGAACCAAGCCATTTAGATCGCGTAGAGCCGGCTGCCGGCTCATCTCAACTAGGTACACAGACAGAACAATTATCTCGACGAAGCCGACAATGACCACCCCGACATAGATGAGCGGACGGAGGAACGCCCATCGGCGTGAACGATGGCTCTGCTGGACATATTGGTCTGGCTTGAGAAGATACTCGTCAGACTCGCGATGCTCGTATTCGGCCTTCGATGACATGTTTGACACTAGGGATCGAGATATGTGGGAGGAGAGGAAGTCCGAGGACTGTGAACTTGGTCGCGATAAATACGTCTTGGCTTTGGACTACCGATGAACCCTTCCTATGCTCCGACTCCTCCATAATACTGGTATCGGTTCTCAGGACTGTCGCCTCCAGCATAGCAGTAGCACCAACCAAGCGAGCGTTCAATACGTGCCATCCATGTCTCGTTCCGCGGGCACAACAATGAAGTGGAGCGGGCGGGTAACAAAAGACGAAGCCTAATTTTCTTGATTGAGACCCCTAATCGGCAATGGATTCCCGCGCTAAGCCTTTCCAAGAGCCCTTGTGCCGGCGCCGGCGAGAGCCCACGGCGGGCACTGCGGGGATTACCCGCTACTAGTAGTACGCTTGCTACCGCTATACCTATTTACTGTAGATGTGACCAGAATGTCAGTAGAGATTCGAAAACTTATTGAAGGAGAGTGACTATTTTCAAGTGCGTCTCACCGCAGAACTCAAGGCCTTCATAGATAGTGAAGCACTGGAAGCTAAGCGGTCTTGGTGAAGGTTATTACCACCCTCGTGTGGGAGAACAAACTCGCAAGCTTGGCCAGCCTCTTCGTCTCAAGAGCTTTTGTACCCCGCCAGGGTGGTGTCCGCCTGCGCGGCAACAGTCCGATCCAACGGGTCGGTATGGGTGCAGTTACTGACCCCACGCCTACGGCTCGGCGGTCCGTGATGTTCTATGGCCTTTCAAATCGGCCACGCAGAATATTTAATGGCGGAATGAGCAAGCGTCTCAAACTGCTCCTCCCGACGTTGGCTTTTGCGCTGACGATAGTTCACCCGTTTCTAAAGACCTTTTTGAAGCTTCAATGCTCTTCGTCAACTTCACATTCCCCGTTTGCGTTGCGTGATAACTTTGTTTTCGACATAGTATTGATTGTTGCTTGTCAGCACGAACCTACTCGCCGACAAGGACAAAGCTGCTACCGCTACGCAGTACTCCTCCTTACGCACTTGAAAGCCTTGATGGGAAAGAAATTCGCTGCTGGATGGTTCCATGACCTTCCATGCGGGGTACTTGTCCGCAGGCCGGGCTCCAGACGCTGGCAGCTGCTCGATTTGGATTTCTGGCCTCGGTGCCTTATTCCAGGAAGTATAAACCCCCCCTCGCCCCCAGCCTCGACGTCTGTCTCGACCTTCTTCCGCTGGAGCCTCTTTCCGGCACATATTGGCAACCAGTGCATTTCATCGTTGCCGCTCTTCATTTGACCTTGTTACATCATGGCACCTTATCCTCGCAGGCACAATCACAGCGACCTCATCCCCATCCCCCCCTTCCCCATCCCAGTCGCTTAGTCCCGACGAATTTGTGACAACAGTCAATCCCACTCGGCGCGCCTGCGAATGTACTGCACGAGAACGTAGACGATTTCCTGGGTTTCCTCATCGACTACCTGAAGACTTCCGTTAATCATAATCTATTATCAGACGCTAGTCCGCTCACCAAGTGTTCAACCGTGCTTCGTGTCATTTCGCTTATTGTTCCGCGTCTCCAGTCAATGGAGTCTTCTATGGTGAAACATTAGTCTTCTAGCCCAGAAAAAGGCCTGTAGCGCATACTGTCCATCACATAGTAGACGGTGTCTGGAGCAAGGTAGTAGTCCTGTTTATACGCGCCTTCTGGAATGGGGGGAAGGTCAGGAGGGGTGCTTGGCTGGGGGCGATGACGGCGTGGCATTGTCAATCAAAAGACGTGTCTTGTTTGGCAGCAGTGGAGTTTGTGAGCAGTAGCTTGCTGGGTTGGTAAAATCAGGCGATTGTATTAAGCTGGGTTCAACTTGTGGTGTTTAGAACTGTAGAAGCCCGGGTGGTGACTTTGGCGATATTACTGGGAGGCGGACCTGCGGTGTTACTCCCTCCAGAGCTTTCAATGCCTCGTTCCCACTTGTTCAAATCCATTTCTGCACCCAACATTGCTCGCAATATAGAAACCGCATTCCTTTCCACCTTATGACACGAGGCGATGTTGCATTGCTCTTGCGTGAGCCCAGAGCAATTGGATCTGTCTCGGCGCCTGGCGATGATCGCTGGACTAAAGCAGACATTCGTTGCGGACGTGAGGCTTTAGTAGTGGCTCGCGGTGTATATGGGCGAGCGCGAAAACTACCTTTTTGTCACCGGATAAACGGACAATACTCACTATGACTCTTCTGAGGTCGCTATACAATCGATTGTTCAATATCCTAAATTTGCGAATTATGTATACTTCCTGCTCGACGACGTTTAAATATCCATGCTCTATCTTCATAACCCATGAGTATGGGGCATACACACTGACGTATCTACCCTCTTGAATGATGCCATATACTAGCCTAGGGGGATCAAGAAATCTACAATTAATCGAAGCTCATCACGTATGAGTGCTACTGCATCAGTAGTTGCAAAGGCGTATATATTGCCGGCCTATGAAGTGCCTTTGATTGGGGTCTCTTGGAGTCCTTCTCGCAGGACAAAGCTGAGACCTCCTGTAGAGTTTAACATGGCCAAGCTCGGCCACAATCTATACATCAAACGAACTTCTAGACCACCTCGAGACAGAAATCTTTGAACCGTATTTCCCAGCCTCATCATTTCATTAACCATACCTAGAACCAATCCTAAAACCTACCCTCAAGCAGCGCCCTCGCCAGCTCCGTAACCCTCTCCATCGCTGCAAGCAACAATCCAGGCCCAACACTAATCCGCGCAACCCCAATCTCCGCCAACTCCTCCGTCGAAAGCCCACCAGGCAGAGCCTTGACATTCAAACGCCCCTCAAACGCCTCCACAAGCCTCACCACCTCCTCCCGTGAGATCCCGCCCCTACTCCTCCCACCCCAGACAAACACCGTCGTCGCGCCCGCTGTCAGATACGCCCGACCCCGCTCAATCACCTCCTCCAAACTGCCTTGATAGAGAAGCGCGTCGCACCGCGCATTCACCACAAAATCCGGCACACCCGCCGCGCGCGCCGCGCGCAACACCGTCTCAATCCGCTGCACCGCCTCGGCAGCGCTGTACATGGTCTTGGTCGCGTTGTCGAAGTCCTCGAGGTTGACGCCCACCACGCCCGCGGCCACCAGCTCGGTGACGATTGCTTCGAGGTCGGCGTTGTACCCGTCCCGGATGTCGACCGTTAGCGGCTTGCCTGTGGGCCGGACTGTCGCCGCGATGGCTTTCGCGGACCGGAGGAGCTCCTCCCGGCTGAGCTCCTCGTCTGAGATTCCTGCTGCTGCGGCAACGGCGAAGCTGGCTGTTGCGATGGCTTGTGCTGTGGGGAGGGCGGCGACGGCTTTGGCTGAGGCGCCGTCGTAGACGTTGGCGAGGATGAGGGGGTGGTGGGGCCGGTGGAGGCTTTTGAAGTGTTGCGCGAGGCTGTTTTGTCTGCTGGTCATTGTTCTTATTTTTGCCAGTGGCTGTGTTTCGTGGTTGTTTGTTCGAATCTGGGGTGGGTTGGGATCTTCGCGGCGGTGATCGATGGTACAAGTGGTGGCCGTTAGTCTGGGGTGGGGGGTGGAGGTGATCGTGAGTTAAATAGCTCTGTGTTGCATAGCAGGCAGCAACTCAATGTCAGTCTCTGCCTGATTTCAACGCAAGAAATGATCGCAGAACCGACGGGGCCCAGTAGAGGTGTTGATTTCTCGAAGACGGCTCGTATGGAGTCTGGGCAATGGGGCGCTAGTCCCCGGTGGGGTGGGAAGCCTACACCCCAGCCCCTAAGTATGAGTCATTGCAGTTCCTCTTGAACGAGTTTGAAAGATAAATTTAATTACTGTAAGGAAATAGTGGTGGATCTCTTTAACGTTGACTAGTTGTCTGACTAGATGTCTATGGGACGATTGCAGAAGGATGTTGTAGTTCATTGGTCAGACACGTGCGGCGCGAGACACGCCCGGGCCATTGCCAAGCACTGCCTTTGAAGGCCAAGAAAATAATCAACAAGCAATGAAGAGAGCCTTGAGATCATAGGCAACCTGCATAACTCTGTTGACGGCTTGAATAACAGAGAGGCTGCGCAAGCATCTCTAGAAATAATATCGAACTCATCACCCACTCAGCCGTAGTGACCCGCCCAGCCCGCTAAGCTTAACCCGACATTACGCTGCGAGATCATGGATAAGATCCAACTCTTCTTGCCGTCAACTCACCTCAGGGCTCTCGAGGAGAAACCCTCAAAGACAAACAAAGACTTTTGACGGGTCATTGTCGCTTTTCTTCATCTTTTGCATCAGTTGGCAGTGGCAAAGATACAATAAATATGAACTCTAGGTACAGTGCGTATATTCCCAGTGGACGAGAAAGGGTCCATGGGAATGCGTTGACGAGTCATGTTAAGAAGCTGGAATGGAGGTTGTGTTCGCTCCAGAAAGGGAATTTGAGGAGTGTTCCTTGGTGGCATGTCACGGAGTCAGACAGTCCGTCGCAGATTTGATTTTCTGGGTCTAGAAATAGGGTCGGTCTCGGTTTTGGCTTCATCCTTTCAGTGTTTGTATAGCGGATTGGTTGTAGCTCCGCTATAGCTTATGTTGTGCTTGAAGAACCAGAATCTGCTGGTTCGGCATCTTGCCACCATATCTTACACCTGATGAACATATCCATCTGCCTACTTCCGTATATTTGTACCACTCGCAGTGCTGAATGAAGTTCCTTCTTGTTGACTGATACAAATCCATTCTATCAGAGCAACCATGTAGCTGTAGGAGCCGGAAAATGAATTTGCAGCGAAACTGATGAATAGATACCATGCTAAACTTGTATTTATACATCAAGGTTAAGTGGGAGAGGGAAAGACGGAGAGAGAGCGGAGAGCTCAATTAGCTGAAAATGTACGAATTCCTTCTGCAAGCTAGTCAGACATATCAAAACAACATGCACCCATTACCTTAAAGCCCGTGTGTAATGCTTCAAGCAAAATCTGTCCTGAAGTCCAAGCCTGAGCCAAGAAGAACCACTACCGCTTCTGCTGACCAGTCATCATCCACACTAGATCATCTGGCCGTGCATCCAAACGCAAAACAGAGTACTTCTTCTCGAGCCACTCTTGACTAGTCAGCACCCTTGTGTCGGGGTCGCGAGCAGGAATGAGCCCCGTCTGCGGCGCGGCCATGACAGTCGCATTCTCCGGACGGACCATGTAAGCAAAGGAATAGCGCGTAGGCATGGCGCGATTGGGGAGGGGTCCCACGCGGTGGACGCAGGATTGCAAGTAGCCATTGGTGAGCATAGAGAGTCCGTCACCAAGGTTCACGATGGCGTGTCCGTCCCGCGGCACTACCCACTTCCACACATCATCGCCGGGGTCTTGGATCTGCAGTCCGGGTTGACGCGTGAAAAGGAAAGTCAGTGTGCCCATATCGGTGTGTGCAGCGTGTGGAACTCCGCGCTGCTCTGCGGGTAGAGACTGGTATTTCAGAAGACGGATGATGTCTGGCGATGGGGCAGAGAGACGATGGAAGAGTTTCAGGTTTCCGGATTCGGGAAGCTCCAGGGAACGGGAGAGTTGGTTGAAGATGGTTTGTGATGTTATATTGACAAAGGTGGTGAATTGCTGTAAGGTTCCCATGTACTGATCGATTAGAGGGAGCCGAAGGAAGTCCTGCTGATTGTCCAGGCCCAGCACTCCGTTTTTGGGAATCTGTACGCAGATCAGAAGTGTTCCTATTGGTCTCATACGGAGTACTGGCTGAGAAGCAGGAACTCACCACGTAAGTCTCGAACCCGTCACGCTGGCCTTCCAATCCTCCAAAGTTCCTACCCACTGGCTTGTACCTGATTGAACCTCATTAGGATACGTTGGAACAGACGTGAGGCATAACATAACATACCCGTTGCATTTCATAGTTCCCAGTTTATCGACATCGTAGACGGATTTCTCCTCGAGTGGCAGATCGAATAACTGCTCCGATAGCTTGTAGATGGACTCGAGGACTGGAAGAACCTCTGCACGCGCCGAGTCAAGATTCAGATAAAAGACCCCATCCTCTCTGCTGGCATCGAGAAGACGCAGAGCTTCCTTCTCGTCTCCTGCTTGCAATTTTCCAAGGTCAATTGTTTGCAGCTTTGCAACGGGAAGATCTGACGGAAAGTCGGAGGCGTCTCTCGACGATTGAGACGAAACAGTCATAGTGTGTTCACGCTTTCCGAGGTCTTTACTGCCTTTCAAGGAAGGAAAGGCTCATGCACACGAACAAACTAGCACCTTCAATACAGTGTCCCAGTGCCACTGGTGTCTTCGAAAAAGTTCCGGCAGATGGGCCTTAGCAGTCGCTGTGCGATGATTCTTTAGTCCGTTTGCGGGAAATGTTAGGTGTAAGGAATGTCAGATTTTCTACTTCTGTTTTTCATGATGACAATTTTGACTCTTATCCCTATCATCACGTGCATTGTCCATGACGGGACGGCAGACGCCGAAACTCTCTTTCACTCACCGCTTGTTGCTACGTGCTTTGGCAGGTCAATTTGACACATGGATGGATGGATATGTCACCGATCGAGGCAAGGTTATTACGGAGTAGATTCCCGAGGCAATTCATGCAGCTTCCGTCCCCCAATCAGTTGGGTGATTTTTCGGAAAGTTCCTTTGAGATTGAACCTCGCATACACATTAGGTCAGACGGAAGGAGAAGAAAATGAAAATTCACCATACAACTGTCGAAGAAGCCTGTCTTTTCTACTCTCGTTATGAGACTGTATCTCGTGTTTGAGTGATTCTATTCCGACAGGGACCGTTGTGACCCGCCCGAGATTAAGCTATAAACCCGAAGCCGATAGTGGCCCCGGGCCGGTATCAAAAAAGTGGCCGCTATCACCAATTGAAAAACTTCAATTTTCAGGCTATTTCCAATTGGTCGCTACGCTCTCAGTCGGACCCACCGGGTCGCGATTCTACAGTATGTGAGGAATGGGGATCTACAATAACTACACTTCCGAGCAGTGAGCCTCCCAGTCGGTACATCAATCTAGCTCGACTTCAATAGTTAATGTACTGTACCTCCGAAAACTTTCGGAATGTCTTTTCCAGCGAGTACAACACAGCGTCCGGCGAGGTTCAATGGTTATGACGCGCCGCTGCCTCGGACACGAGCAAAAGAGCCTTCGCGAAGAAGAGTCATCGACCATGACGCCTTCATTAGCTATCATTCGGATGCTGCTGGCTGTACCATGATAGACTGACGGGACTCAAAGAGTCAAGGCGAAAAGTTTTGACCATACCAGCCATGGTAAAAGCTAGCGGTCCATCCCTCAGCTTGAGAATCTTTCACAACACACTGACAGTATCTCAGAGCTTCCAACCATCCCAAAGACTGTACCTCCTTTATGAGCTTTGCTGCCAGTATATCATAACTTCAAGCCATCTTTGCCTCCTTGTCGCATCACCAAACATGATCTCGTCCATTTTCCTCCCGGCCTGACAGCAAGGGATCATGACCCCAGCAACAGATCGCACTTGTCCAGTGCGATCTGATCTTAACACAGTGGACGTCTTGCGACAGCATCAGAAGGCGCTGCAGCACAAGCTTAGCTGCACGAATGGTACGAAGAAGTTTGTCCGCGCCTATGCGTTGAACCAGCACAGCCATGTCGTGCATAAGCCGACTGAAGGGCCACCCGCAGCTCTCGAGGTGGCTATGACATCTTTGGCCCTCGCGCCACCACTTCCGTTCCCTTCGCACAACAACCTCAGGCATCTATTGTGACAGCGAAGGACGATGCTAGCACCTCCACGCCATCGTTAAACCTTTCCGAACAGGACTTGCTGTTCGAGAACCTCCTCCGGTGACGCCATTCTTTGATTCGCCTTGTGACACAGGACTTCATCATCTCGTCGACTCGAAGAGAGTTGTGGCGCCCTTGGAAGAAGGCCGTCTTGAAGGAGGACTTCCAGCAAACGTCAGCACGGGATAGCCTTCCGCGCCCCAAGGCTAGGAGAGCAGTCGTAACCGACTTCGAGTTGGGGATGGTGATGGATGAGAGCAGGGGGAGGGCCTTCAATGGGCTTGCGTTCCTTGGTGCGGTGGACTTCCTGACGGGTGAGGTGCTCATCAGGGAGTACGTGAAGCCCACCGGCAAGGTGACGAATTGGAACTCATGTGTCTCGGGTATCAAGCCTGCAGATATGAATGCCGCTGTCCGACGTGGCGCGGCTATTCATGGGTGTGAGACTGCACGAGCAGCGCTGTGGGGGTACGTCCACAGCGACACGGTCATCACCGACCAAGCGCTGCAGAATGATCTCGACGCTCTCGGGATTATCCACCCTCGCGTGGTGGATACGGCAATTGTCACGACACAGACCGCGTTCAAGGGGGGTGGCCAGAGCGGGCGGTTTTGCCGGACGTGGGGTCTGAGGATTTTGGCTTCGGACTTGCTATGCCGGAATATCCAGAAGGAGGAGGAAGGACACAATGCTGCCGAGGACGCATTGGCGACAAAGGATCTTCTCCTTTGTTGCATTGAGAATCCGACCCTTTTGGACGACTGGGCCCGGGCCGAGAGAGGGGCATACCCGAGGTACGAGCCCGACAGTGGTGAGGACAATGACCCTGAGAACGAGGGACCGTCAACTTGGCCCTGAGATTGTTGCTCTTCTGTTTGACTGTACAGTACCCTTTTCTGTGCAATTCTGTTCAGCGTGTTTTGTTGTCTTAGCTTGCATCAAGCATTGATAGACTGAGGTCTTATTTGTTTTGTTTGTCGTGCATCATCACTCAATGCATGCTTGCTTGCTTCTCTCAAATCCCATCCCATGAAATCATTTGAATAAACATTCGATAAAACACAATGAACCCACTCCTTGTATTTAGCTATGTAGGTGCTTATCAGGCAACGTGCCTACCTATAGAGAAAAATCTTTCGATGTCGGCTTTGACGCTTACGCACCTAATCATACCATATTCAAACGCACCCGTGAAACTCACCTGGTGGCTAGTCCATTGAGTTCAGAAATGTTTAGTGATGTTACCGATCGCTCTTGAGCAGTTATTATTCATGCTATAAACAGCCAATACTTCTGTCGATAACGTGGAAACTTCTCAAGGAGACTTTTAGGAACGGTTTTCTGATCGCTTGATGGTCGGGTGTGTTGTTGGTGGCTGACTTGGTGGGAGGAGAATTTAGGCCCAGTCAGATGATGGAGCATCCAGCTACGCCGATAATTTCAGATCAGTCTTTCCATTGGATCATTTCCTCCTTAGGCTGTTTTTTCCGAGATCAGAAGTCAAAGTAATAACTTCTGAGTATGTTTTCGGTCAAAGCAGTCTTTCAAATACCTCTCGGAGAATTTCTACTACCAAGAAAAATCACTTTGCCATCACATGTCCGAGTATCCTGCTCAATGAATTTTCTATAATTCCTAATGCTTTACCTGCACTTGAACCAAATGTCCAGTCCCTCTCCGTGACTGAAGATTGTTTCCTTCCTCCTGGCTCCTGCTCTTCCCTTCGACCCGTTTCCGCTGAAGCGTTAAATCCCAGTGTAACTCCGATGGTATTATAGACAATGATCAAGCACTAATAAACTTGGAGAGATTCGATAATATGATAGATCCATGAAAAGTCAGCTTGGGCGTCCTTCAAAAGCAATCGTAACCGAGCAGCTTGAAGCCGACGTGCTTTTGCACTCAAGTCCAAATTATCTCCCATAAATCGGTCACAAAATCCCCACTTTCAGCCAATAGCTCCTGGAAGGCGGTACTATCACCAAGCTGCACAAGCACTGATGCAACATAAGCGGTGGCCAAGTGTCTCAGAGAATCTTTTCCTTCCTGACGACGAAATGTCTTGTTAAAAGCAAATCGGACCAGCCCAGTCACATTGTCCACATTTCCCTCATAAAGACTGAACTGCATCAATGTATCCGTCAACTTTTGTAATACTAGTTTCCCGAGCGGAAAGATGCCGTATTTATCGGCCAGGATGTATAACTTTACATGGCTGAGAAAGACCGGCGTGAAATCCTCCTGGGAGTTGGTGTTGCCTTTAGGAGAAAACCTCATCTCTTGTGTGTTGGAAGCGACTTGCTGATTAAACCGAATAGCACCAATGAGACGGACGAATTCTCCGTCCAGCTGCTCACTCGAGATATTCTTCTTCTTGTATTGCAGGGTATGCCTAGCAGAGACACCGGAGGTAGAGAGGTTTTGGCCCTGCTTATCTATCGCAGACTTGCGCGAATATGACTCTGAAGACTCTAAAGAAGGCAGGTCCGTGATTCCCCGTTTGTTCCATTTCTTTGGTCTTGCCGCCCTTGCGAGCGATTTCCTACGGTAAGTATTTTGCACAGTTTCTCTTTGTGCCTCTGATGACTCCTGCAGCACGATGGCTCCGGCACGATGCCAAAATCCTCGGTCTGAAGTGTCCTGTCCGTACACGATGGGGGCGTGTAATCGCTTCTGTAAGCGTACTCGCACAGTCGCACAAACGTATCCACCTCGACATCGGACCAGTCGGCTTGTCTCACGTTTGCTTCAAGCATTTGCCCATCCAAGAGCTTGTCAAGCGTGGGCGATAGATCGGCTAGAGCCTGGGAATGGACGGGGAACTTCTTCCTTTCTTCTCCAACGATAAAGGTAAACAGCGGAGAAGAGATGTACCTAAGACAATTAGCTTTGGTTTCGCGTGGTTTCGGTGTCGTCTGTGGCTTACTTTCAGAACTCTGTGTCCATTTTCACAAGTTGTATATGGTAACTGTGGTAAGATCCCGGTAGCTCGGTGGATAGAGCAGATCGAAATGTATTACTAGTGGAGTGGTAAAACGTTAGTCTCTGGATGCGTTTTTTCGACCGAGGCCGATAAAGATTGGTTTAGTGCGTCACATATCGCGATGTGGGATATCAAACAGAACTCTAACTCTGATACAGAAGGATATATAGGGCTCGACGCGGGCCACTCGGCCGTGAACAAGCCAAGGTTTGTAGTAAAGGGACGCTACCTAGGTAAGGTTGGCCTGAACAAAAGCTTCGTCTTCGCAAGGCTATTCTGCCAATGAGAAAAAGGGCTGGGCCTCCGGTCGCTGGACCTTGGATCTTTGAGCGTGTTTTGATAACTGTATTGAGGTCGCGGAAAGATGACGCTTTCTTCGGATGGAGTCTTCGCGGATAATTCTCCAAGAGACCCTCCCTCTCTGTAAAGAGTACTGTTGAGAGAGGAAGGCGCGGGAGGAAGAGACGACACGTGATGAAAGACAAAAATACTATCATTGCGATGATCCTAGGTTGGTAGTATTTTAGCAGTAGTGAATTGGGGAGAAGTGAAAATCAAATTAGTCCCCCAGGCCTCAAGTCCGATCCATTGCTCTCAAAGATACCTCATGCATTGGTCACCCTTCTGATGTTGCAGTCCCATATCGATAGGATGTTGAGGCTTCATGCTAAAAGTATTGACTAGCTGCTTGATAGTGGTATGGATATAATAAGCTATTCTCTGCTAAGGGATAGTGTTCTACAGAGTTGGTAAGTTGGGAGTGATTGATATTAGTACCAGGTATCATATTCCTAGAACAGTGTTACCTGCAGGCAGTGTGTCAAACAAACGAAGAAGTTTATTGAATCTGGCTTGTCGGGCCAAAGAAGATAGATATGTAAAAGCTTAATGGAAATTTTGTTCAAAAGCTTAAGATGCTGGATGCTGCTAATTATTAGGTATGAACCTAATGCTTGTCTAGGAGAACAATGTGGAAGCCCAGGTCTCCATCATTTGCTAGGCTTCTACTATCTTAAAAAGAGAGTGTAAGGGACGCCCACTATGGTGGACTAGAACTAGTCCTCCTTCCCCGGACAATGGGAGTGTGGTTGGATGGACATAATCTCCTCCTCCAGGTGCTCAGTCAAATGTCTAGCGGAACCAGGCGGCAAGTCCATCTTACAGAGGGGGCAGGCCTCCTCCTCGTCCTCCCAAGCATGACAGCACATGTGATAATTCCAGTCTTCCGTGGATGCGAATGCCGCATCGGCGTTGCACTCCTCGTGCATGCAGATGTACGGGTGAAAATCATAGAGAACGTGCGCCTTCCACCTCTCGGGCTCGCAGATCGCCACCGGGATCGCGTCAGCACAGTACGGGCACAGGACCTCCTTCGCCCCGGCAGGCAGAGCCGGCGGCTGAGGCCAGAAACCTTCAGGTCGGTATGACGATAGCGCGATGGGCTCCCCATCGGTCGACATATTCCGCTTGTGCCAGTGCAACATGCGCCACCGCGCGACTCTCGCGTCGGCCAGCCGCTGTTGCAGCACGGCGTTAGCCTTTGGGTACCGCTTCCGCAAATTGTCCAGCACGAAGTCGCGATAGAGGCCGCTGAGTTCGTTCTCGCAGTCCGCGCCGGGCACCGCATACTCTGGGCTGCTGAGAATGAACTGTACGCTCTCGTAGCCTAGCGGCCGGTTGCAAAGTGTGGTTCTAAGTAATTTGATCCAGAATTCCGCATCCTGCTGGGCTCGTTCGAAGGAGAACACCAGCGCTTCACACCAGATGCCGTCTTGGAGCGGGCCGGGGTGCGCGAATGCGTCCTCCAGCCGGCTGAGGACATAGCCGACGAATTGCCGCAGCGCGGGCATCGTGCGTAGCTTGCTGACCGAAGAGAATTCATAGTCGGCTAGGAACGCTTTCTCTATTTCGGTCCAGCACGTGTTCCTGTTGGGCTGCCCGCGGGGGTGCTGGATCGCGTTGTATAGTCGGCGGCATCGCTGGACTTGGTCAATTATTTCGGTGCTCTTGGGTGCCCCATCTTCACGCGTGAAGAAGGATCTCAGTGGAAGCATTGTGGGTTCTTTGTGTCTTTGTGGCTCGAAAATCATGAAGTATTAAAACGTCCTTATATAAGTCAGACTCGCCACGGGATAAGTCATTGTTGGGATATTTGAATGAACTTTAGTGAAAAACATAGAGTAATCACAAAATGTGCTTGCAAGAAAGATATGGGTAAGCTCCGAGTGCTACTCTGAGTAGTTCTTTCACCAAATAAAGAAGGAAAGAAGAAGAAAAGGCTAGTCCAACTGGACAACAAGACTCAATACTGCATTGACGAAAACCTCAATGACTCAGGGTGAGAACAAATGAAAAGGCATAGTATAGTTACCCCAGAAGCTTGATTGCCAAAAGGCATAGACCACGCTAGACAAGCATATACCTCGATACACTCATATACTTCACGACAAGGCAGGGGAGGCAGTCCGAAAGTTGAAGCTATATCCGACAAGGGTGCTAATACCGAAAGCATGCAGCCCCACCGATGGAAGGAAGCAGCTATCGTCCTCGAATGCATTCAGGCAGTAGATGTGGAAGGTGTCGTGGACCTCGAGGGATACTCTTGGCTATTATTCGACAATGCTTGCTCACATCAACTCTTCCGCTTCAGTTCAAACTCGATATTCCACGCGCTCTCATTTAATAAATCCAAGTGTTCTGCCAGACTCAAGATTTGGGTAGGACTCATAGTAATTTCCTCGCCCGTCATCCCGGACGCGGAATCTACCCCTGAATCCATCTGCTCGGCAAGACTCACTGGGCCAGTAACAGTATCTTCTCCTGGAATACCTTCCCTACTCACGATGTTACTGGTCATCTTCTGCAGTAGTTCCAGTTCCTTTTGCCTCAGTGTGGCCGTCATGTTGCCCTTGGCGACGATGTCCGACAGCACGCGCGAGGCGGTGAGTACGTAGTTGGCCATGTCTGGCACCCGAGAAGGATCGACGAAGTGGGCGATAAGGGCGATGAACGCCGCTTAATATATTCCCTCGAGATCGAAAGGAAGAAAAGAATCTGCATGCCCCGATTGGATTGACGACTGGGGGCAATAGAATCCGGCATCAGAGACATGGCTCGCGTGGAGAAGGCTCATCCGCGAGAGCAATAAGTAATAGATGGTGGATAAACCAGAGGGGTGCAGCTTTTGCTTTCTCAACCCCTTTGTCATAGCTCCTGCAGGTGTGGTATGATTTCGTGTTCATCGACGAGATATAGCATTCGACAGGAATGCTACTTGATGGCATTTAAGAGATAGAGAAAATCATCTAGTGATGGTAACCCCCCATGATGGAGGAATCCTCAAAGTCAGCTCGGGACCAGCTTAACTCCCAGGTATATCCATCGATGTGAGAAGGCAAATCTGGGCAGGAGTACTCGGGAATGGCTGATTTGAGGAGTAAGAAGACCCGCTGAGAGAACGGCCAAGATGACGATGGCCCGCGATATCCTGATCGATTAGCCAAACTCACAAACTAACTTGGGATACCAAGCTTACTGTATTGCCCAATAATGTCTTTGAGATAGAACGAGGTGGCAGAGACCAGAGGGTTGGTAATCAGGGCCTCGGTTGTATTGGTCGGAGAAGATTGAGGTGCCTCTATGAAAGGTCAAATTCATGCCCTCGTGAGACAACTTGATATTCAGACTCAATTCACCTTCTTCGGAAGGAAGTAAAGGAGGGCTACTCTGGGACAAATTTCTCATTCGGCAGCTCTCTGTCCGGTGTTGTTGGCCGAGGGCGACGCTGGCCATAGTTCTCCTCCAGCACATGCAAGTAACTATGAGAGAGATTAGCCAGGGCTAGTAAGTCAGTCGAACAAAAGAATTACTTCTCCGACACTAGCACCTTTCTTTCAAGTCGTTTGAACGTGCAGTGGACATGACGTGCAGCACAAGCCTGGCAAGGAAGTTGGCCGGAGCATTTTGTCTTCCGTTTTTTGCATTCTTCGCATCTATCATTGATCAGCAAGCAAGAATATGTGGAACAGCAATCTATGGGAGCACTACGCATTAGTCACCTTGTCCAATCTAGGTTTTCGGCGAAAGGGAGGCATCGTCAATTGCGAGTATTAGTAGCTAGGGATACAATCAGATTTCAAGAATAGAGTATATGAATGATAGTTTTCTCGGAGCCCTCTTCCGAAGCGGACACTGCCCGGAAGCTTTGGGTGGCGATCGCCATCAATCGTCTCGGATGGGAATTCCGGCAGGGGACTGACAATATTTTCGCCATAGATTCACACAACTTGAGAGATGTCAATCTATATCATTTGCATAGGGTAATCCCGAATAAAATTTTGATAGATATATACACGAACAAGAATCAAGCCTATGTCCTTCCATCCCCTCGGTTCCACACCTCGTTCTAGATAAAGAACCTTGAACTATCCAACGATCGTCGGTCTAGTTCTTGGCAACACACTGATAGTAGAAGTCGTTCTGCTTGACGCAGGTGTAAGGGCTCTCGCACTCAGTAGGTCCGGTCCAGTTGGCTCCACCGCACTGGTAGTACTGCTTGACCTGGCCAGCAGCGTTGGTGGCCTGAGCGCCCTGGGGGTCGCTGGCACCGGCGCTACCGCTTGCAGCAACCACGCTTGAGGTAACGGCGCTGGGGATGACAACAGGAGTAGTGGCGGCAACGGCGGCAGCAGTGGTAGTGGGCTGCTCGACGACAACGGCGGGAGCAGTGGTAGTGGGCTGCTTGACGACAACGGCGGGAGCAGTGGTAGTGGGCTGCTCGACGACAACAGCGGTGGTGGCAGAGGCGGCGTTGGTAGCGGAGGCGGAAGCAGCGGTGCTGCTGTGCAGCTTGCAAGGGGACTTGGACTTGGTGGAGGTGGCAAAGGTGGTGGCAGAAGAGCTGCTACTGGTAGGGGCGGCGGCAGCAGCGGAGACGGCGGATGTGGTCGCAACCTGGGGGTGAGGGGCAGCAGTGGTGGTCTGCTGAACAGCAGAGGCAGCCGAAGTGGCAGCAGAGTCACCATCGGGGAAGTACTTCTCCAGGATAGGGAGGTAAGTGGAGTAGGCCGGGCCATCGGAGGGCTGCAGGCTGTACATGTAGGATCCCCACCAGGGACCGGCAGACCACCAAGAGGCACCAACCCAGACATCGGTGTTCTCGGACATGTAAGAGAGCATGCCCTCGACGGCCTCCTCACAGACAGAGTTGACACCACCAGCAAATTCTCCGATGATACCCTTCTTCTTGTTGGTCTGCAGCCACTGGGTGGCGCTCTCGAGACGCTCCTTACCGATGGTGGAGCTGACGCAAGTCTCCGAAGTACCAGAGGCATCGGAGTCGAGGTACTGGTGCATCTCGTAGATGATCTTGTCCTCAGTATCAGTCAAACCAGAGAGGTTGTCATTGTTCTGAGTCCAGGTCCAGGCACCGGAGTAGCTGTTACCCTCGACGAAAATGTACTGGGACGTAGCGCCCGCGGCACGGATACCGTCGATGGCAGCCTGGTTGAGGCTCAAGACCAAGGACTGCTCCATATCATGGTACTCATTGTCTAATCAATTAGCTTCATGATTGCCTGCAGGCACGATGAAACTTACTGGTGTCGAAGATAACCTTCTCGTTGTCGGCGAACTCAGCAGCAACGTTCTTCCACCAGGTCTGGAAGTCAGTGGAGGAGATGATGGATCCGTCGCTGTAGACTATTAGCCATGCGATAGCACAATGTGCGGGCTGACTTACTATCTTCCGTAGTTGTGGGGATCAAGGACGGCGTAGGCTCCGCTCTTGGTGATGAACTCGACGGTCTACCCTTGTCAGCAGGATTCCTCGTCGTTGAGCTTGGGACTTACCGTCTTGAGGTCGCTCAAGTAGGCAGAGGCAAAGGAGCCAGTAATGCTATCCGGAGTCAGACGCTCCATGAGGAAGGGAACACGGAACATGTTCATGCCCGCATCTCTCAGGACCTGGATCTGGCTGGTGGTGGGCCAGGTGTAGGTGGTTCCCAGAGTACCGACTCCAGAACCGAACTCAGCACCAGACTCGCTGACACCGAAGACTGCGCCAGTTAGTACTCCTGTCATCCACCCTTGATAGACAAGACCTACAGGTAAATCCAGAAGAGGCGCGCTTCTTCATCTCACGCTTGGGAAGAGCGTTGACCATGCCAGCGGCAGAGGCCGCAATAACCAAGTTGCTGATTCTCATTTTGAAAAGAATGTATATCGAGCTGGTCGATTGAAAAGAGTGACTGTAGCGATGAAGATTGAATGAATGTGAGAGTAAAAGAGAGAACGTCAAGAGCCAGTCTTGATTGTGATGTGCCAAGTAGCAAAGACGAATGGTCTGGGACCCTCGTTCTTATAGCACTCGACTGTCCAAGGCGCAAGCCAGGGTCGGAATATTCCATTGCGATTCGGCGTATCCACTGCTCAATCACGGCGGCAGATTTAGGTGCATCCCCCTGAGACCGCCACCGGATGGTTTGGGAGCTATCCACTCGGGTGGACATGGTGAAAGTCGAGAACCTTTCGCCCCAAATTGCACCCCTCCAAGCGACCAGGAACCAGGCCGGCGCCGAAGCTAGTAGGGACCCTTAATCTCAATTAATATCTGGGCTTCTCTCCAGCAACGCTGACCACAGCACATTTGTTGCTCACGAGAGAAGCAATTCCTGCTGGGAAAAAAAATCCGCATTTATTCCGGCACTGTTGCGACATTCTCTCAATTCTCTTTCATGGAACGTTCGAGTTCAGCGGGGAAGGCGGCCAGCACCGTTGTCGCAGCCAAAGGCTTAGCACGGTAAAGAAAACCCAGCGTCTCCATCATGGCAATCTTTTAGGAGTCGTGCACTGGCCCCAAGCCGCCGTCCTTCATTTCTCCAGGTCAAATTGCCGTTTGGCGGCGTGGGGCCATACCATGCAATCACTCGGAAATGTGATCTAAATGAAACAGCATTGCGTCCCAAGCCTGCCGTTCGTTGGTGGAGCGCTCGGCGATAGGTTCCAATTAGTTAAATATTTCCGGGCCCGGGGAGACCACACAAACGGCGAGGTGCTGGCAGTGAAGGAGGCCGTTTTTTTATTTCATCTCAGCTCCGGGAATGATATGATCGTCTGGCCTTACCCCCAAGCCGCCGGGCTGTTCTTCCCAGTCAATTAATGAGCCGGTCCGATTTTATTTCAACTGAGACATTTGCCCTCTTTGACCCACCAAAATCGTCCATCATCTTCCAGGCTTGCAGTGCTCATTTCCAGGAGGCTGACCTGTCATGTTGCTGGACACCTGCACACGAGATTTGTTGATTGAAAAGACAGAATCATCTCTGAAATGATGATGGGCGAGTCTCAATCCTGCTTGGTGGTGGTACGTAATTTGTTGTGGTGTGTGGTGGTGGAGATTTGGGATGAGGGGAATGTTGGTTGCCTGGTTTGTTTGTTTGTCTGTCTCTTCTCCTGAACAGCACGTGCCGGAAATGCCTCGATCCATTCAGGACAGGAGATTTCCATGCCTCGAAATACCGCAATCCACAAAACTACTAGAAGAACAAACGCTCATAATGCGTCCGCTCGGATGCTCGGGTGGTGGTTCTTGTCGCACTGGATAGTTCCTCGAGCTTCAGCTAGTGCTTGGCTTATGCCAACTTCGCCTGTTCAGTAATTTCCATTCAGTTGCTATTTTGGCATTCTCGATATTAAAGCCATCACACTATTTACAAAGCCACGGTTATTGGGCGCCGGAGCAAAGATCCAGGTACGGGCAAGTGCATCACAACCACCATAGGCTTGAGTCCTCCTTCTCAGCGTTGACCGACTTGGAACTCGAATGATCGATCGCCTTGACCGATCGGGATGGCAGTGGCATCATTGTCATAAAGCGTACGCTCAAAGTAGCGCACCCGTCCGTCCGTACTTACCAGGACTACTGTTTGTTGCTGGGTCCCATATGCCCCCTGTAGGAAGGAGTGGTCCAAAGCATCGTGCTCCTTGGAAGAACCATCCCCTGCCGCCTTGCTCTCGACACAGCCAGCAGGCATCTCGTCGGTGGGCTTGATAGGCTTTTCGCGAGCTCCCAGTAATGGGATGAAGATGCTTTGTCTGAAGTATGGAAGATAGTCCTCCGCGGTAGCATCTTCAGAAAGCGAGGGTAGCGTGTTGATACTCAACACATCGAGCAATCTATTGATGAGTGCATCCTCCTCTTCCCCCGCCTGTGCGTGCTCGTTAATGGCTTCCTTCATCAGTCTTTCCCCCTGGAGGATCTTGGGCCAAGACCGATCGTCGAAAACCGTGTTACTGAGCCCTAGTGTCTGACCTTTCTCGGTGGCGACCCAGGCAATGTGATCCATGGTGGAGGAACGATTGGAAACTATAGCCAGGGGCTCATTGACGTATCCGCACAGAAGACTGAATCCACCGACATTCCTGGCAGATGGACTTGCAACCATTCCCTGCACAAACTCCTCGGTCGACTGTCTCTGGTCCGGAGCCGAGGTCAGCCAGCTGTTGACAATGACACCCCGACTTCGTGCTCCCGTAGCCTGTTCGGATGTGTCCTCGCGATAGTTGGTCAACACAGCTACTTTCCCGTCTCTAGTTATTCCCATCCACGTCCCATGTGTTGCTCGGGCTAGATCTCGGCCGCCTAGGATGTCGCTTGTTGGCTCTGGCCACCAGTCAGCAGGGGATGTTGGTCGTCGAAGGTATTCCTAGCCGTTGTCAGTCCCAAAGCTCTCCGCAATATTAGGTAGGATTCGATTCGTACATCCCTATTGTCAATTATGATCAATGAATAGGATGGATGAGCGGTTGATAATAGCGCAATACACATTGTTGCAGATCTTGGTGATTGAAGTAGGAAATGGAGCAGGAAGGCGAGCCTCTTGGAGTTTGACCGCGATGTCAGGCCAAAGCTTGGACAGCACTTGTATGAGGGGAAGATTGGAGCTTGTGGAACAGCCAGGCGGTTGAATTTCAGATATCTATCGGTATGGGCTGACCCCCCTGGTTGATTCAAGTATTAAGGCAAGCTATCAAGATCAAAACAGAGTCGGAAGTCTGGTTGCATGACTGGTGAATCGTGGAAATGAGGCGACTGTTGGGCACTTGAGGTCATCCGACGACAAACACGGCCGGCAGATTAGCTCCACCGCCCGACTTCGCTGTCCACCGCATCCCGCCATATCTATCTATCGATAAGGGATGAGCCACGACAACTGAAAGGGTCTATGAGATCACCTTGAGTTCAATGTTGATCTGGGATTCTTATACTGACTGCTTTCATGCGGACAAATTCACTTTTCCACTGTCACTCAGCGAATTTCATCGCTGTAATGGTCCAGAATACGCTGACCCCTGATCGCACCATAAGCAGGTAAAGCCAGGCAGGTCACTTGGGAGCCAGTGAGGAATAACCTGTCAAGCCTAGGCGATGCTCGATAATGTTGTTCCGCGATCCACAGTTAGGACGAATTACATATCGCTAATGCAGCAGGGCCCCTTTCGTCCCTGACCACTGTTGTCGGCCTTACATCTGTCTTTTGAATATTCTGCCTTTCAATCGGGGAGGAAGATGAGAAAGTTCTTCGTACCATGGACTTATCGGAATCTGCCAGTGTTGGATGGTCTTTCTTCGCGAAGGATAAATTCCGTCATGACGTCAGCCGTGATGAACCTTTACAAGCAGGAGAGCGGTGAGGCAGCAAGGCTCCAAGGCTCCAAGGCTTCCAGGCCCCAAGGCTTCAAGGCCAGAACAACCCGCTTCTGATCGCATGAATGCCTAAGGTGGATGATGTCTTCTATTATTAAGACCCCGATTTCAGAATAGGGCTCGATGGGTCGTACTACTTACTGACCCGGCCCCAGTTGCTCAAGGCAGCCACGCTTCACCTCGTGTACCCTCTTTTGCAAAGATTTTTTGCGCAGAACTACCTGTCTCTCTCATTGCCCTATCGTTCTGCAGCTCTTGCAACCCTTTCATTCTTCGATTGCTTCTGCGGCTGGCCGCTCTCCTTTGTGCTGCCCTTCCGGTGGTCGCGTGAAGCTTCCTGCCCCGCAATCCGACAGCTGCTCAGCTTACCGATAAATCAAACCCCTCGCCCCTGAGCTTGACCGCCACAATTCTATGATCAGAAACATTCCATAGAGCATTACGTGCAAGTGTGCAGGTTCATCATGCTTGGTATCATTGCCGATCTATTCTCGTAAGTGATTGCTCTCCCCGACCGCTCTCTTTGCTCATACCGGAATATTCGGAGATACGACTTGGGCGAGCGCCTGTTGGCTCCGATGATTGTAGATCAGATGCTAACTTCTTAATGAACCTAGATCGATCATTACGATCCTCTTTCCCATCTTTGCCTCATACAAAGCTCTCCGCTCCTCCGATCCCTCTCAACTGGCACCATGGCTGATGTACTGGGTGGTTCTCTCCGCCGTACTGATGGCTGAGTCTTGGACGGTCTTCATTCTCGGATGGTTCGTCGATGGATGTCAAGGCCATGGAAACCTTTTACTGACGGAAGTGACACAGGATTCCCTTCTACAGCTGGATCCGCCTCTTCTTCTTCTCCTACCTTGTCCTTCCCCAGACGCAGGGCGCTATTATTCTGTACCGGGAACACGTCGATCCATTCCTCGCCCACCATGAGCGGGAGATCGAAGAGTTCATCGGCCGCAGCCATGAGCGCGCCAAGGCTTTGGGGCTGCATTACTTCTACCAAGCCATTGACTACATCCGAGAGAACATCCTCGGTTTGCCGGCTCAGCGCCCTGCGGCTCCGCCTCCTCCGCCTCCGAGCGGCCCTGCTGCCTACGCACAGTCGCTTCTCTCACGGTTTAACATCCCCACAGCTCCTGCAGCTGGGGGATCGACAGGCCCTGCCGCCCCCGCTGCTGGCCATGACTGGTTCTCCGTGATCAGCTCCGCCGTTGCGGCAGTCACCTCGACTGGCACGAGTCCTGAAGCCCGGGGCGAGGAGCTGTCCGCTAGCGGCACTCTCCTGCCCCGTGATATCGCCTCCATGTCCCGCGCAGACAAGGCTCAGTACATCTCCCATCAACGCGACCTGCTGGAGGTGCTACGCAGCGCACTGGCGAAGGAGGAGCGCGAGCTGCACGGCAGCGAGACGGAAACGGACGACCTAGCGTACGGCGGTACCCCGTTGCACAAAAACCCCAGCGAGAACTCGTTCCATCACGTGGAGCACGAGGATCTCGGCAGAAGTTCCCCAGATCTGTCGGGCCGGGAGCCAGCCAGCGGTTCCTGGGCTACCGGATGGCTTAGCGGCGAATCGGCTGATATGCGCAATCGTCATCATTGAAATTAGACTGTGGGGGTGATCCTTTGTCCTTGTCTTTTGCGCTTTCCTTGTTGTGTCTTGCACTCTGCTGCAACGGTTCGGGCATATTCAGACGAGTTAGAATAGGATTTAAATCATTTTTATTAATGGCTTGTCAGTCGAACGTAGTTTTGCAATTGTAGGGAACGCTGTGTAATAGACGTCTTGTTGCAGGACTGCATCTGGCTTCTTGTCAGGTGCCAGGCAAATGCAGCCTTGGTGCTGTGCCGAAGACGAGGGACTGAGGGATTTAATGCTCAGCCCTTGCCATCCTCATGGCATCGGAACTCCACATGTGAGTCCGGCGACGACATACTCGGCCCCCTTTTTAGCTTCAGCACACCATGCGTGTTGGAAGGGTGGTAAGCTTATCGTAGTGACCACCGCCACAGCGGGCTGCATAACCGCGTGGTGAAGAACCAATGCGCCCCTCCCTGTGGTCGGGTTTCTGCACAGGTCAAACTGTTCAGTTGTATTCGGTTGTTTGTCCAGAAAGCTCTCTCGGCCTCCAACCTGGGTCCTTGAGCGCATTCAGCGCAAGTATCTTTCTCGACTTCTCGTTGGGGCTGGATTGTGAAGGGAGTGGTTAGGAATGATACTTATCTTACTGTGCTGATTTGCTCTAACTTATCCATATATATAATATACACTTATATATTTTCTGACCCAGTGAAAGGGGGATCAAAAACCAAGGAAGAAAGAATGCGTGGTTGGGGTTGAAGTGGCTGCATTAGGAAGAATGTTGACTCTTTCTGGAACATCTGCGCTACTGCTATATATATCCGCAGCATCAAACTCTGCTTTCATGATCCACCTGCATATAATACTAGGAATCCTAACGGCGATCTCGGCAGTAGTATCATAGAGTACAAGAAGCAGGACGGAGGTAGTTTACAAGGCGGTGGAAACGGAGTATATCAGGACTGCCCCCAGTGAAGTAGTAAATGGGATAGGAATCAGCCTGGGTGATATCTTCAAGTGTCGGATGATGGGTGTATATCTGCATGCAGAATATCAGCCTCCCTAAGTAGGGAAGCAAAAATCTACGAACAAATAGTGTCGGCCCAACCAAAGCAGCCCAGGAGTATGCATCCCCATCGGCGGCTGGCCGATGTCAGGTTCAGACGTGGCAGATCCGATCACAGATGCAATGCATTGATTCCTGGGAGGCCGGGAATGATCGCCTAGCTAGCGAGGGTCGAATTAGCTGCTCGGGATTCCGACTATAAATAAAACTCAGGCTATCTAGCGGTGTCGTTGGGATGGAAAAGACGGAAAGGGCCTTGATAATGGAGAGGGACCTGACTTGGGGAACTATCCGCCTATGCCAGAGGTGGATTGTCGGTCTGTTGATTTGTCTACTTTTTGGCAGATATTGATGCCGTTGATGGGATGCTGCAGTGGTGATGTGTGTGTATCCGATCTGTCGCGGCGGCGGCGCCCTGGAATGCTCGGATCTTTTTTTAACGTGGTTGTGGTTTGTTGACCGGGCGATCGGGGGTGCATTATTGGTTTGGATGATCGGACCTTTCAAGTTCTACTTTTTCTTTTCCTTGTTGTGCTCTGCCTGGTAGGGCTCGGGTTCTTGCTTTTCTTCGGTGCAGCGTCTGGGTTGAGGTAGTCATAGCGGTATATTTGTCCTGAAGCCAAGGCATGATTATAGAATGGATTGAACTCGCTGCAACAAGAAGTCAGGTAGCACAACAATAAGCAGACGAACACACAACAAGTTCAAAGGAAAGGAAGATGGTTTGATACGGTCTCACCATGTGAAAGTGCTGGTTCGGGAACGGTAATGGGTAATGTGTGGCAAACAAGCGGGTGTAATCTATCTTGGCCTGAGGTGTCAATCTCATGATGATTTCATGGTCGCCCAAACGTCATGCACCATGAGGCTAAAATCTCATTTGTGGTATGTTGGTACGAAATAGGCAAGCAGTTGCCGCAGGGAAGGAGGCCAGTGGACAGGATAAACGCCCAACGTGACTCATGTTATATAGTCTGATGATGAGGATGAGGATGATGCTCGACGCTCCGGAGAGCTGAATGGTCAGCATCCAGGATATGGAATGGCCCGGCCATCAGGATGATAGCGAATATGCGATGGAGCAAGGCAGCGCGGTCTTGAAAGAAGAAGAACAACGACGATTAAAACCGCCAATGATACTGGCTCAAATGCTTTCCTACTAGTAATGGTTAGTCCTTAACAGCCACCTTGGCTCGGTGTGTTTGCCGCTTCCACCCGACGAAGGCGGATCTCCGCAGTGTTGGTAGGTGATTGGATATGTCAAGAAAGCCGTCAGTGGTCTCATTTGCTGGGGGAGAGTCACGGAAATATCTTTCCTAACACATATGGGGCAGAATGACCAGCCACAATCTTTTATGGATGATGTGTTGAGGTTGAAATTCCTGGTTTTTTATTATTTGAATGCTTTCTGTAGTGTGTGTGATGGAGACGGAGTAGAGCAACTACTTAAGCCGGGAACAATCTTTGGTGGTTGAGTCGGATACGAAGATCAATACGGTATGGTCACACCTGATACCAACCACAGCCCAGCCCAGCAAAAATTATGAAAAGCACTGTGCAAAAAAAAATCCACCACCACCACCCAATTTTATCCACGCCAGAAAGGCAAAAATAAAAAAAAAGAGAAGTGAGAAGTGAATAACGAAAGGGTCAGAAAAGGTAGACTTATTTCTATCTCTCCTCTTTTCTTCTTCTTCCTCTTATTTTCCCCTTTCCTCTTACCCCAGACTTATCGTCGTTGACCACGACGTGATTAATTTCCTTGTTCCGTGGTCTTCGTTTTTTTTCTCTCTTCCTCCCCTTCCTCTTTTCGTCGTCCTTCCCTGACACGAAAAAACACCACTCCCCTCCCCTCCCCTCTTCCACTACCCTTCTCACACCCACCCCCTCCCCCATTTCGTGTGAGGATTATTTGTGGATGTTGCGGTTCTAGAGCGTGTACATTTTCTTGTTGTAACACGCCCTTGACGTATCCCTCTTCCATCCTTCCCTTTTCTCTTCTTTTTTGAAGATTTCTCATCCTCTCCTCTCTTCTGTTGCAGGTCCCCCTTCTCTCCCGAACGGACTTGCTTCTTGAACGACGTAAAGTCAATCATCGACCTTACTAAAAAAAGCGCTTGAATCCTTTACACCTCCCATAACCTGTCTAATGAGCTCGATCCCTCCCAAGTCAGGCCTCCAACCTCAAGGACCGAGTACCTCGACCCAGGCCGCCTCATCTCCTGCACAATCTGCCTCGCCGTCGACGGCGCCTCGTTCCTACGCCAGCGCCACCAAAAAGTCCGCGACGGACTCGACCGCCGCTCCCGTCACCGTGGGCGGCTCGTCGCAACATGGGAAGTCGACCTCAGCATCTCCTGTGAGCGGCAAACCCATGCAGCAATCTCAAACCCCCGGTGTCACCATCGTCAATGGCGCTCCGGCTCCTCAGAACGATCACTCCCGCAAGCCCTCGGTGACCATCACCTCCGCTGGCACCTCCGGTTATATTCCCAACGGCGGCCAGACTGGTCGTCCCAACAGTCTGCAGTTCGGCTTCGCCAACCAGCAGTCCTCCCCTAGCATGGGCAATCCCGCGTCTCTGGCCACTCAGCCTCAGTCCGGTCTTGGTGTCACTCCGCCCGTGAACCCCCGTGTGACTTCTCCCCAGACTTCGCCTTCCCCTATCCCTCAACCCGCCTCCAGCGGTGGCCGGCCACCGCCGTCGACCTACCAGGCACAGGGTAACGTTCCCAACTTTGGCAGCTTCGGCGATGCTGGCGACAACGTAAGTGGATCTCTTTGTTCCTTCTACTTTTTCCCAGGTTGCGGTCCAGTTTTCTGTCCTACATTGTCCAGAAAGTCTTGTGTGCGTATCAAAATTAAGACAGTCAGGTCTCTTTCGATACAATGCAGACAGGGGAGGAATATGGAAGCAAAAAGTTCTTAGCAAGGGAGCGCACATTTCTCTTCTTGGCATACCTTGATCTACCCACACGTGAAATATGCTGGTATTAATCTTTCTTTCTTTTTGCGCAAGCAGCAGATGCGCACGGCTCCACAGGCACCCCTTGGCCCCGGACCTCAGTCGACCCACCTCCGTCGCGAATCGTCTCAGTCGACTCATAGCGATATGAGCAGTCATATGAACAATGTTGCTGGTCGTGGCGGTTACCCCCATCAGGGCGGTCGCGGCCGTGGTTATTCCCAGTCGAGTTACCAGGGTCAGGCTCCTTACTCTCCAGGTCCCAATTTCCGCCCAACTCCCAACCAGCCCCGAGGCGCTCCCAACATGGCTCCCCAGTTCCACCCGTCTAACCAGGGACGTCCGCTCGCGCCCTTCCCCAACTCTCCCCATCAAGCGAGCCGCAGTCCCGCGCTCGCGAACGCGCACCCTGCGACTCCCCAAATGAACCAGGTTCCAATGGCACACGCGCAGATGCCCCCGCAGCCGTACGGTTTTGGACAACCGATGGGACACCAATCTGTGAGACCCTCCTTTAGAACCCCCCGTGGACGTGGACTTGGACCCAGAAGAAAAGGATCATATCGTCGACCATCCCTTTCACCAATATACGCTGCAACTGCTAAAATGCCCCTCCCACCCACTCCACCCATTAATCTCGCTCCGGAAAGTGGGAATTTTGAGCAATATCTAACGTTGATGAAAACCAACCAGGCGTACCCCGGCTACGATCCCACGGCTTACGGCTACTACCCTCAATACGGCATGGGTGGTGTTCAGTACATGACTCCTCCTTCCCCTCAACCGCGCCCCGGAATGCCGTTCAACCCTCAGGCCCCGTACATGCAGAACCAGTATCCCGTTCAGCCCCCCGCTCAAGCGACCTCGCTGTCCCGTTCGCCTTCTCAGATGTCCAATGACCGTCCTGGTTCCAGCCTGGGTCAGGGTCAACCCCCTGCTGGCCCCCCCGGTCCCGCCCATGCTCACACTGCGAGCCGTACGTCCAACAGCCCTGCTCCCCAGAAGACTCCGTTTGTCATTCCTCCCACCAAAAAGAGCCCAATCGTCATTAAGGACCCCGGTAGCGGTGTCGTGAAGACTTTTGAAAAGGCCCCCGCTTCTCCCGCTCGCATCACCCCCTCCCCTGTCAAGATTGCGACTCCCACCTCGACTCCACCTCCTCGCACTGGCAGCAGCGCCGACCACACTCGTACCGAGTCCAAGTCTATCAAGACCGACGAGGAGAAGAAGAAGGAGTTGAAGGACGCCGTTCGCCAGAAGATCGAACAGGAGGAAGCTGAACAGCGCCGCAAGGCTGAAGAGGAGGCCGCTGCTCAGCGTAAGAAGGAAGAAGAAGAGGCTGCCCGCAAGAAGGAAGAGGAGGAGGCTGCTCGTAAGAAGCAGGAGGAGGAAGAGGCTGCGAAGAAGGCTGCTGATGAGGAAGCTGCGCGCAAGAGTCTCGAGGAGCTGAGCTTGAAGGATAAGCCGGCCGAGACGAAGGCCGAAGAGCCTGCCAAGCCCGCTGAGTCCGCTCCAGCTCCCGCTGCCGCTCCTGCCGACGATGATGACATCGACTACGATGCTATTGAGCGTGAGATGGCCGAGATCGAGGCGAAGGAGCGCGAGGTCGAGGCTGCTTACTATGCCAAGAAGAAGGCTGAGAAGGAGGAGAAGGAGCGTAAGGAGAAGGAAGAGCGTGAGGCCTATGAAGCCAACATGAAGCAGGCCGAGCGTGAGGCCGAGGCTATCGAGGAAGCTCGTGCCAAGAAGCGTGAGGGTGGCGCTGTCAACGAAGAGGACCAGAAGAAGAAGGACCTCTTCGCCTCGTTGAAGAAGGGTGGCTTCGCTGCAACTGAGGGCAGCACTCCTGCTGACAGCGGTACTGCTACGCCCTCTTCTGACATGGGACCTCCTGCCAAGCCCGCCAGTGCTATCAAGCAGAAGCCCGCTGCTCTCAAGCTGGAGACCAGCAAGGCCGTTGAGCCTCCTCAGCCGAGCGCTGCCATGAAGGCACTTCACTCGGCTCGCTTGATTGAGGATCTCAGCAAGATCACCTATCCCGAGTCTATCGCCTCTCCTAACCCTGCTCTTAATGCCAGCGCTCCTGCTGACCGCAAGTTCCACTACAACAAGGAATTCTTGCTTCAGTTCCAGAACGTCTTCAAGGAGAAGCCCTCGATTGACTGGGACGTGCGCGTGCGTGAGACCGTCGGCGACAATGACTCGTCCCGTCCCCAGTCGGCCCGCACCCCGATGGCTGGCGGCCGCCAGAGTTCCCGCCCCGGAATTGGTCAAGGATTCCCCGGAATGGGCAACTTCGGCCAGGCCGGCAACCGCAACAGCTTGCCTCCCGGCACCACATCGGAGCAGCGCTTTGCTATGTCACGCCAGGCCTCCGCTGTTGGCAATCCTTTCGGCTCTTTCGGTCGTGGTATCAGCGTTGGTGGCGCTATTGGTCGCACCAACTCCAGCCCTATGCACCCCGGCATGCCCTCGCCCCGCCCCGGTTCTGGCCGCTCCGGTACTCGCAACAGCAGCAAGCGTGATAAGCAGCAAGCGAAGAAGGAAGAGGACATGGCCAAGTCTATGCCTCTCACCGCCGGCAAGGAGGTCGAGGCCCTCCAAGTGTCGACCACAGGATGGAAGCCCCGTAGTATCGGCCAGCCTGCCGCTGCTGGTCCTCCTCCTGCTGGCTCCGCTCACCTGCCTCCGGACGTGGTGCAGCGTAAGGTCAAGGCTGCTTTGAACAAGATGACTCCTGAGAACTTCGACCGTATCTCGGGCCAAATTCTGGAAATTGTTTCGCAATCCAAGGACGAGTCGGATGGACGCACTCTGCGCCAGGTCATCCAGCTCACCTTCGAGAAGGCTACTGACGAGGCTCACTGGGCATCCATCTACGCCAAGTTCTGTAAGAGTATGCTTGAGAGCATGAGCCCCGAAATTAAGGACGAGAATATCCACGACAAGAACGGCAACGTGGTCGCTGGTGGCAGTCTGTTCCGCAAGTACCTCCTCAACCGTTGTCAAGAAGAGTTCGAGCGCGGTTGGAAGGTTAACTTGCCTCCTAAGCCCGAAGGCCAGACGGAGGAAGCTGCTATGCTGTCTGATGAGTACTACAAGGCCGCTGCTGCCAAGCGTCGTGGTCTTGGTCTCGTCAAGTTCATTGGTGAGCTGTACAAGTTAGGCATGTTGACTGAGCGTATCATGCACGAGTGTGTGAAGAAGCTTGTCGATTATGAGGGTATGCCCGATGAGGCCGAGGTGGAGAGTTTGACCAGTCTTCTGCGTACCATCGGTGCTAGCCTCGACGCCTCGGAGCGCGGACATGCTATGATGGATGCTTACTTCGCCCGCATCAACCTCATGATGCAGACTCCTGGGTTGCCCAGCAGATTGCGCTTCATGTTGCTGGTAAGCTGATGAGTATCCGCTATAGCTGAAATTTCCACTAACCTTCTTTAGGATATCATCGATCTGCGTTCTGCCCGTTGGGTTTCCAAGGATGCTGACAAGGGACCGAAGACTATCCAACAGATTCGTGAAGAGGTAAGCAGGGCAACACTTGGTTCTGTGTGAAAGCTTTCTGACGATTCAATCAGGCTGCTCGCGCCCAACAAGAGGCCGAGATGGAACGTCTTCGCCAGCAGGCCAACCGCGGCGGTAGCCGTCCGGGCATGGGCCGTGGTGATGCCCGTAGCTACAGTAATTACGGCAACCAGGCACCTCCCCAAGACTTCGCCTCGAGCAAGGTTGGCAGCGACGATCTCCGCCGTCTGCGGACGACCCGCAACACCAACCAGCCAATGTCTTTCGGACCTTCCAGCATGCTGGGATCTCGCAGCAACAGCGGCCGGAAGAACTTTGGCCCTGGTGGCAACCTGGTTCGTGGCAGTGATGACAGTGCTGCCAGCAGCCGGACCGGCACTCCCCCTGTCGGCAAGAAGGAGGAAGTCACTTCGATCAACGCTTTCAGGTGAGTGTATTTGGACGAATCAACTGTGCCAACTGATGCTGATTTCATGTGCAGTGCTTTGGCTAGCTTGGAAGACCGCGACAACATGGCTACCTCCCCGCCCTCGAACCCTACCTCCCCTATGCTGACCAAATCGCAACCCGCGGTTGAGCGCCGACCCTCCAAGACCCCGTCCACTGCCGGCGAGGAAGCCTCATAGATTCTGATTGCAATGACAATACAAAAATGGTTTCGTTCTTCTGGAAAGATTTCTACGTTTACTGTGCCCCTTTTGACACTTCGTCACGACATGTCTGTGATTTGTTATGAACATTCCTCCTAATCTTCTCGTCCATGATTTTCTTTTCGCCAGCAAGATCGGTTGCTCATCTAATTTCCGTGGGAAAGATAAAGGGGCGCTAATCGATATTCCCTTGTACAGTTGATGTTATGAACCCAGCACCACCGGGAGAAGTGAGGTGGAGAGAGGGTTTTCCTGAAACGAATCTAGGGAGATTGGTTTGTTTGCTGGAAGGTTCGAAGGACCTTGCCATGTCTTTTTCTTTCTGTTGCTGCATTTTTATCCTTTTTTTTTTCTATTTTTCCAATACCCGGAGAGCTTTGACGATGTCCTTCCCTTGCTACGGATGTTTCTATCAGGGCGGGAAACTTGCAGGCTAGCCACGACGTCGTTTGCTTATGTCACGCGAAAAGAGAGAGAGAGAGACCTTGCTTCTAGTAGCAGTCGTATTGACAGTTCTTTTCGTTTTCTGTCTGCATTGCATTTACTGGCATGTGGCAGTTGCCTGTGTTGTTTTTCGATTAGACAAAATCTGTTAGAAAAAGTTTCTTGCTTTATGACCGGGCTTCTTTAATGTGGGCTTTTAATCGTATGATTCTGTCCTCCCTGGATGTTGTATTCGTTATGTTCCACTCAGTATGTTCTATTCGGGGACTGTTTCATATAGTGGCTTTATGATCAGTTGTATTATCTTGATTATTGATTCACAAAGTTCTGATGTATTTTTGTAAGAAAATGAATTTAGCTAAGTGTCGATTGGGAAAAAGATGTATCTCAACTGAAGCAATAGCATCCCAATGTGATCTTACGTCTGGTCAATGACTAGGATCTGTCAATGGCACCTCACCTCACCGAGGGTATCCTGGGATTATCACCAGTCAATGTTAGTGACATCGACCCCCAAAGCGAACCGAAGCTTGGAAGAACACCCATACGCACAGGCCGGGATCGATGCCTCGTTAGTATTCGCATTGTCGTCTTGAGCGCCATCCTCATCCCACCACCTTACTCTGGTAGAACTTCTTCCGGTAGTAGCAGCTGTAACCGCGATTATCTCGCCCCAGTGCCATCTGCCTAGAACGCTTCCTACCCTGACGCAGACCTCGGCTCTGATTCTCCACTGGAATCAAACTCGAGCGGCTCGAACGAAGAAGGCGACTTGGGCAACTCAGGCGACGAAAGCTCCGACATTACCGACATCACTGAAAGTTCGTCCAGCGACGTCAGCGTTGAAACCGACGAAAGCGACATTGCCAGCCCAACATCGGGCTCAAACCCACGCTCAATCTCACGTTCAATCTGCCGCTCAATCCCCCGCTCCCATCTCACACACCTTCTCACGCACAATCCCACGCACAATCTCACGCTCAACCTCCTCACACTCCAAGTCAGACGACATAGAAATGGAAGGCATCTCCAATCCAACCTCACGCTCATGTTCACTCTTCAACTCCATTCAAAGTAGAAGCCGGCGTAAGCTGCATCTCCATCCCCCCCTCCCCCTCCCCCTTACTCGAGTCAGAAGCAGCAGCGAAAGAAGAAGAAACATGCACCCCAACAACCCCGAAACAACTCCTTAGCTTCCCCCACCCCCGGACTTCTCCTCCTCCTCCTCTTCCATATCCGAAAGCTCAACCACAACCTCCCCAGACCGATAACACCCCCTAGCCCAAAGATCCACAGCCTCCGCCGGCATGCCCTCACCCGACCCCCTATTCGCAAACTCGGCGAACTTCGCCCATTCAAGGATGAGCGGGGCGTCGCGCGTGAGGTCCAGCGTTGCGCGGGGAGCGACTTGTTCAACCTGCTGCTCCTGCTGGCGCTGGTTGGTGCCTGGCTGGGGTTCTGGGACCGGGGTAGGTCGGGGAGGGTATGGCCGGGGTCGGGGGGCGGGTCTGGGGCCCGGTTTTGGTTGTTTGGGAGGACGGGTTTCGGGTTCGGGTGCGAATAGGCGGATGAGTTTAGGGTGAGACTCGTTATTATCGTCGGGAGGCTGGTTCGCGGGCTGGTAATACTCCCTGTAGAGTCGGCACCAGTTGCCGCATTGTACGGTTGCGAAGGCTGGTGGCAGCGGCGGCGGCGAAGGCGTGTTGATGTCTGGGTTGGGGGTGAGGTTGGGGTTTTCGTTACGGGCGCGGCGGTTGGCGATGAGTTCTGCTAGGAGGCGCTCGAAGAAGGCCCAGTTCACTTGCTTGTCTGGGCAGCAGATTGCGTGCGGGAAGGGGGCCTGCGAGTCGGAGGGCGAGGGCGCCGGCGACAGCGTGATACTTATCGCTGGGTCGTGTGGCGGGTTGGCTGGGTGGATCGTGTATTGCAATGCCATGATTGATTTCCTGGTCCGTGACTTTTGACTTCTGAGGATGAGGTCTGAGTCTGTGGATCGGGGCTGATGCTGCAATGTAGTGTGCTGTGTTGTGTATTTATTGAGGGATATGGGCGTGACGGAGAGTGAGGGTGGTAATATAGGTTCTGAGATGGGTGTTTAGATTGTGCAATTTGGAGGGAGGGTTTCAGGAGTTTAAGGAGCTTAGAAACCTTGAAATCTCTCTCTTTGTCTTGGTGGGTTGCGTGGGGAAATTTTCTGGTTCTCGAAGGAGATTTCGGTCATTTACTGGAGATCTGTGGTATAGGAATAGTGAATGTGGGCGCCCCCTGCATGGGGATGTTTGGTGGTCATAGTATGGAATGGGGTGGATAGTTGACAGACGGGATGGTCAACGATAGCTGGTTAAGATAGTCTAGAGTATGGTAGACAACTAGCGAACTGCAATATTCAATACTACGTTGGAGTAAATTGATAGCAGTCTATCATATCAGTACTTACGAAACAAAGAGCATCTGTTATAGAATGGAGAGTTGGTTAATGGTTCTAGAAAACAATCTAGATACAAGTAACATATCGTAATAAGATATCTCTACCTATTAGCTTCCCCCCGCTAATTCACCTTTCGAACTCGTAATCACCGTAGTGAAATGCGTCCATCAATGCATCATGATCTGCGCTCGAGTCTAGCTGCAAATGCTGCGTAATGCTGTATAGAATGCACTGTAGTGTGGAAATGAGAGAGATGACGAAACGTCGGGGTACAACTCCGCTCGGATAGCTGGTGCTTCGTCTCTCTATGCGTGTATCTGAGGTGTTATTCGAAGCCTGAGCTGTATGCGGACGCTGAATTATGGTCTTCCCTTGGTCGCATTCTTGTAACCATTTATTGCGTGAACAGATCCTTGCGAACGCTCAGTCCTAAAGACTGGTATGGTTTTGTGGCATTGCCGTTATTATGTGATGTGCAGCCATCGAAAATCAAGCCGCTAACTGCTCCTCTTCGAGCCGGATGGATCCTCATAGACAATGCGCGGAACCACATTGAAATCGGGCAATCCCGGAACAACTTCCGATTCATCGACCTCATCTTCCACCTTGGAGTCCACAGGCGGCGAGCTATCGCTAGATTCCGTCAATTCGAGGCTTGAGGGGTGTGTTCCGCTTGCCTCGTCCTCGACGTGCATCACCGTCGGTTCGTCGTCGGATCCGCTACCATCCACAGAGTTCTCCAAACTTCCCGAGCTCGGACTCGGAGTAGCAGCGTCGACCAGGCCGTTCAGCGATGGCGACTCGTCGTGGCTTACACTGCTTCTCTCTGAAGTCGACAGTGAGCTGCGGGAGTTCGTGTAAGATTGAGGTAGACCTAGAGCTGCAGCCACGGCCGCCTCCTCGTCAGGAAGCTTCGACACGCTGCTATCGCGACTCGTGCTGCGGTCGAAAATGTGGCTTCCACGACGCTCACTCATCTCCAAGATGTGATTGTAACCGCGTCGGGTGGGATCGGCAAGACGCTTCTTCTTCTTTTTCTCCCGCTTCGTTGACGGTCGGACCACGATCACAGGAATCGGCGACTGCTGCAGACAATACTTGGAGACGGAACCGGGCAACAATCCCTGCACACCACCCAGATTGCGACCTCGAGTGCCTACGATGAGAACAGCCGGTTCGTAGATCCGGATCATGCGCTGAATGATTTCCTGAACTTTGCCCACTGCCAACTCCAGCACTAAGCTGATGGCTTTCTCATTCTGGCTGTTCTTCTGGATCACTTGCTCAAACAATTTCTCTGCTTCCTTCCGGTATTTCCCGGCTTCAACTGCAGCGTCGCTCGCGATACTAGAATCTTTTTCCACCGCGCGGAGACACACAATTTCATCGCCGTCATCGACAAGCTCGTCGATGAGCCATTCAAGCGCAAAGTCGGAGTAATCGTTTTGATCGGTACCGCACAGGAAGGTTCGACTGCGGCGGGTGGACTGATAGCCTTTGTGTTTGTAGTTGAGAGTCAGAGAGAAGTTAGGCGCATCCGGGTTGTCAAATGTGTCAAAAGACACACCCCTCTCGTAGGTCCTAAAGGGGAGATGGATGGTCAGTAAGTTATAGCCATATGCCGTACACAAGGTTGGCTTACTGTGGTGGCGGGGGTGACGGTCCACGACTAGGTGTAGGCTTGATCTCCCGTTCCGTAGAGGTGACGTCGAGCTGCGGGCGCGGTCTGTGACCTGCAGCGCTGACGGATCGACGATGCGGCAGCGGCTCCGCACCGCCAACGTTGAACTGGATTGACTTTCGTCGGGAACTGTCAGTCCGATGTGAAGATCGAGGCTTGCTTGTGCCAGCAGCGTGGGTGGTGCCGCCCTCTGGTGGTTGTGATGATGGTGCGGGCATGACGACGGTCCCGGTTAGTGGGAAAGCGAAGGAAAGGTGGTCGATTCAGCCCTTGTCTGTGATCAAAAGATTCTGATAAGAAAAAAAGAAAGGCAGGATAATGCAAGTGAAAAAACAGTTCGGTCGCTCAGCCACCGTGAAGCTCTGCAAGTTCGGCGAGTGGTACGATGCGGGAGACGCCGACCATGATTTGGTACGAGAGGTCGTGACAGAGGGGGAGTCTCCCGAGCAAGTGTCTGGGACCGGCACGCTCGAGGATGAGAGAATGAGATCGACCAAAGCGGTCTCACAGCTAGCAAGCTACAGTGAATGACGTTGAAACGCAAGAGAGGAATGAAGTGAAGTGAAGTGACAGGCAGCAGGCCGGAAGCAGCTGAAGGGAAGGAGATGGAAGAAGGCGACAGAATAGGAGGAGGCCGGCATATCCAGGGCGGGGCAGATAGGGATGGAAGGCGGTCAGGAGGGAGAGGGAGGATGATGATTGCCGGACGGCGGGTCACGTTTCCCGCTCCTGTCACTCACACGGAACAAGAATCCTGCCATGCGGAGACTTCACTTTGCCCACTCCCCGGTCATCGGACGGGGACTGTATTTGTCCAGTGACAGGGAGCGCAATTAACAAAGGAGTCATCTTTTCACTTCTCTATGACCAAAAGAGCAAAAGATCCGAGTTGGAGACGCGAGAGGGGCAATATTGTGCTAGTAGTCGTCCCAGACCAAGTATATATTCTCGAGCTAGTAGGAGAGCTCAACCAGTACATTCAGCGAGACCAGACCGTGGGAACGGATAGCGCCGGTGGAGCGCAAGAGATTCCATTGCGGCCTGAATCCAGACTGTACTTACATGTTTTGGCAAATTTTTACGAAAGAACGACTCGAAGTGAGGGTCTAGATGGGGTAGAAGAGCTCTCAGCTCACTCACTTCTGATTAGTGTCAATGATGAAAAGAACAAGTAGCAAGCCCGGACCTAAAGACGGTGAGGGATTGCTCGGCCCTGACTTGACTGATCATTTTCTAGCAAAGCGACGGTATCAATCAGTCCCGAATTCCAGGAACAACAACGGGCGGGTGGCCGGGACTGCCCTCGCCGCAACCTCCCGGAAGACGGAGTTGAGCAGTCAGTATTGACCAACTTGGCTAGGTAGTCAAGAAGGACAGAAGGAAAAGAGGTTGATCGGCGGTGATCCTCCGTGCGGATCGATCGTCCTTCAGCCATGTGATCCGTCACGGGGCGGTGTACTCGGCCTGGATTGGCGAAGGCCGCGATCGGCACTGCCATCCCGGTCTAGCCAGCCCCAACTCTGCCCAACTAGGGTAGACCGATGGTAATGCAGTGAATGGGGCTAGGAAGCGGAGTCAATTCTTTCTTCAACTTCGACTACGTAGACTAGTACTCATCACTTTTCACTTATCGCCTGGCCTTACACATCGAAGCCATGATTACAGGTAAAAGAAAAAGAATCAAGAGATGATAATTGTTATGAGAAAAATATAATTATGTGTAACGGAGGTAACACTATATTCTAGTTAAGTAAATTCATCATCTCGTCTTATGTGTGCCTGAAAGAGCCACCGTTATAGATCATGTCGTGGAATATATAAACAATCAAAAAATGGGGCCGGCAAAATATGCGGCCCAACGGTGGGACCAGGAATAATAGACAGAGATGGAACACCAAGATGTGGGTGGGTATGAGAAGAGAGAAATTAATGCCCAAACGCTCGGGCATGCAAAAAGAAAAAAGAAAAAAAAAGGGGGACTCAGTCCTGCAATGCCAATATGCCAACCCAAAGTAATGCTAAATCATGATAGGAGAGAGAAATTTTTGGTTTCGAGAACGCCGGACCCGCTATGATGGTGACAACTCGCCCCAAGCTAAAACAAAACTTCTTTCAGAAACAATCCACCGGGGGTATCACGTATGATGATAATGGTACAGAGAATGGATGATCAGCCGGCGGCTGCAAGGTACGATCAATAAGCTTCAAGGATCGCACTTGGCGCCTGGCCGGGCACGTAGTAACCATTCTCCAGATCGGTAGGTGAGAGAGGGATTTCGGAGGGTTGTGGTTCCTTCTCGTTGAATGTTTCCAGTGTCGGTTGAGGAGGGGAGGGCGGCATAGTGTCGTCTTCCGATTCTCCATCAGAGTCGGACAGCAGCTCGGGTGGGGTTTGTCGGGAAGGTGAGCGGGTCAGGGTCAATTCTTCCAGATCCTCCTCATCGTCGTACTCGAAGTCAGAATCCGAATCGGAGTCGTAGTCCTCCTCCACTTCCTTTTCGGTGATGATGGCCACCGGGGAAGGGGCTCGTCGTCGTACAGAACTGTAGGCAGTGGGTTCATATTGGTCTTCATCGTAGTCGGAGTCATCCTCGCTGACGTCCGAGTCGGCGTCAGAAAGGTCCTCGGGATCCCAGTCTTCCTCCGGATCCTCAACCACAGTCTCCGCCCATTGGATGTGTCGAGGCTCGGAACTGTGAGAGGTCTTGGTCACACCGCTGACCGTCTGGTTGAACCAGCGTTCTTGTTCACGTTCAGCATCCGCCAACTCCAGCATGAGCGAGTCGAGCAGGTTGGCGTGTCCAACTAGAAGGCGGAGATCATGGTCCGCCCGGGAAGCTTCGCGGGTGAGCTTCTTCCGGGCGGCGTGGGCGAGATAGTAGGTTTGAGTGATGCTCATTTTCTTTTGTTGCCGTCTGCGGGCAAGTGAAGTAAAGTAGGAGCTGAGGGAAGGGGTTGAGGTGGGAAGAGAAGAAGGAGAGGAAGAGTGGGAGGAGAGAGTAGAAGTAGAAAGTGTGGGGGAAGCAGGAGTTGCCATGGCGCAAATCTCCGGGAGGGCCGTGTTGATGTGCTTGTGAGATCGCCGAACTAAGAGGCTAAGGAGTGACTCGTTCGCTTTGCGCGGTGACTCAGGCAGCCTTTCCTCTTTCCGGCGGTCGAACTATCAACCAATCAAGGTGTGGTAGGTCAGGGGGCGGTGAGTCAAAGGTCGCTGCTGTCGCTGCAAGCGGATCAATAATCGCAGCGCCTTATCTTTCAGTCTCGTTCGTTTGCGACTGGTGCAGATTGCAGACGCAAAAACTGGGGAATAATATCGATATCTTGATGTTGTCAGGCTGGTGAGGGTTCCTGGCGTCCCAGCGTCTCCACTAACAATCATGCACTTTCAATAATCAATAGTATGTAGTGGCCGGCAGGGAAAGAGGGATTGATGTGCTGGTAGTGATGTAGTGATGTAGTGTTGTAGTGGCTGATGCGGTCTGAGGTGGACGACGCAAGACTGGTGAAGACAAGCGAGGATGATTAGTTGAATGTTGTGATTAGAGAAGAGAAGAAGAAAAAATCAACAATCTCAGATGTACCAGGGAGATAGGGAAGGTTATGATATATCCACTTTCTAGGCTGATTCTTTTTTTTTTCTTTGCTTGTTGTCCGCTATTTCCAATCGCCGGATCTTACACCCTTTTTTTCTTGCCTTTTTTTTTTTTTTTATCTGCTCGTACTCCATCTAAAGTCCGAACGCGCGATCGGACGTTCGGCGACAGAGCGTCCGTGGATCGGATACTCCGTCAAGGATACCGGATCCACCAAATTCTGCACCCAAGGTCCCTGCCCAAGAAGGCAACTGCTATCTCACCGCCCGTAGTAAGAACCAATAGTCTTGTCGCAACAGGCAATGCAGTGAGTCACGTCCGGGCGCCGCCTGCTTATCCCCATTCTGGGCGATCCCAGCTCAGCCCAGTTGAGAACACAAACCCTGGACGGGGTTCCGATGACCAATCTTTCCGCGCCGTTGTCTCCGGCTGATGAAGAAAATAGAGAGGAAAAGGGTAAAAAGCTTCCCAAGCTAGAAAATTCCAGCAGGTGCCCAGCACACCTGCCCTGCGGCTAATACGATTACTCAACCATTATCTGCATTAGAAATCCTGACTGCAATCACCGATCATTATTCATCATCTTTTTTCCTTCGCGCCAAGTGTCAAATCCCATTATTTCCACGGTTGATCAGAGGGGACCAGATGCGTTCGATCCTTTTATTCATATAGATTCTACGGATTTCCGGCACCTGGTCTATCCTATGTCTTCTCCCCCCCCCCCTCACTGCTAATTTACCTTTTATACCCTCTGATTGATAATTGAATTGATTCATAAGCTTACACTATACCTTAGTCCCCTAACATACCCAGCCTCACGATAGTGTTGACCCTGTATTGAGTCTTCCGGACGGAATCCGTGACCCGACACAAAATCCATTCCCCACCCATTCGTTCTTCTGGATTGCCGGGCGCAGTTAGGATTTTAGGTACGGAGTAGGCTATCCGATTTTTCTTGCGCATCGCGTTTGTCAGCCAACCAGGGCTCTCTCATAATGAGTAATATCAACCCTGTCTCAATGGAGCATGGATCAAAAACCGAACTGCTATCCAACTCCGTCCATGCCGTTGATGCTCCCTCCCCCTCCCCTGTACAGCACCATTCTGGGCATTGTTGCGAGACAGACAGGTAGAACGAAATGGTGACCGAAAACGGACAGCTCCCGGTCGGTCGGGCTTGGAGGAAATACCCCCCCTGCGGAGTTGCACACTCATCAATGAAATCCCGATGCGAATACGACGAACCCCATTCCGACCATGTCTTGGCCCCATCCCATTTTTCGGGTTTCTGCCTTATTCTGCCTATCTACTTGTAGCTACATCCACCATTTTTAGACGAAATGTGTGGAATCAAGGCAATTTGCCTAGATACTCTCCGTATTATGAATTGTCCACGTATTTCGGGACTTCACGCTCTGTTTCAAGACTGCTAGGCACCCAATATACCCTGACAGGTTGCCACATTTCAAGATATCTTTAGGGTGAAAAGGAACGCAAATCTGGGGTCCATCATCATCGCTTAGGCGTACTTCCTTCTTGGCTTGTGCGGCTCATACATGCTCTCTCTCTCTCTCTCTCTCGCTCCACAATACTAGCCATGCTTGGCAAGTCAGACTCTTGGGAGGCACGCACGACAATTCTTGAGGCGAGACAATTGGTTCTACTATGGGATTGCCTAGAAAGAATAGTGTCGACTAGTTAGCTAGGCGGAGGGGTACGATAAGGGATCGGCTGGGTAGTAGGGATTGATCGCCTTCTATTACCCCCCTCGATAAACGTGTCGTCCTCTTGGCAATTACTCAACTCCATAGGCAGCGAAAATCCCCCTGGTTGCTTTAAATTGCTTACACAGATGGGCTGTGTAAGTTCAGTAGAGCCGGCCTAAATACACATGTAGCCTGCGCTAAGTGGCTGTCAGTTCTCACAGAAAGTCGGTGCTTTTGGGGGCGTGATGGAATGATGGCGGTGACTTGGGAGACCCGCGCGGCACATAATGTCTTACGCAGCTAAGAAAAAAATGAGGCTCTGATGAATGACCCGAAGCCATGTGTTGCCGTGGTTATCATATCAACATCAATAGTCCATTGCCTAATTGTCTAACTGAAACTGCCCCCCTAACTGACACAGCCCACTGAAGGAGCGGAGCAGTGCGGAGAGAAGGAAGGGAGAATGGGCTTGGAGGGGGTCTGATCCTAGCCCCATCGAGGAATTAGAGTTATGCTCATTGCGAATCGCATGCTCATCATGTGACTGACATTTTGGGAACAATGGCGGACGGTCGGAGATAACAGACCAGGCGATGCTTTTTGCGCCGAAGGCTATAATCTGCCTGGTGAGCCCAGCCTCGATCAGGGCAGCGACGACAACCATGATGCCATGATGCCAATGACGAGGTCAATGACGATAAGGTAAGCACAGCATCCCTGCTGTCGCAGACTTCGCCATCGTCGTCGCCATCGTCGTCGCCATCGATCATCATGATCACCCCCCGTCCACCGCGGCCAGAATCACCAATGCACCCACCACCGCTCCGCTCCCTTGAGTCTGGAGCGGGCAGCGACTCCATCATCCTGTGGGGAATGACTATGGCGGGGGGAAGGAGTGAGGGCGTAATCTTGCATAATACAGCCGTCCCAAAGAAGAACGAACAGCAAGAATAACAACAACCCAAATTCAAGCTCCCAACCATTTTACTCATAACATGACAGCCATTCTTGACCAGAACTGTACTCAAAACACAGATCATCCCCAATCTCCCATTCGATACCATACATCCAACGCTGCAAACGTCAATCCATCATCACACTCTTAACTATTGAATCCACCAGCTTATCAACACGCATTACTCAGGACAAAAGATACATACCAGTAACGTCAAACCACATCATCAACAGCAGCGGCAGCATGCTGTTTTGGCAGGCAGCAGAGTAGCCACTTCGCCTCCACCACCCACCCTTACGATGCCATCATCACAGAACACCACTACCGATAACGATAGTAAAGCAGCGAACATTGAATGTGCAATAAAGTATACCACTCACATCATCATACAGCTTCCCCATACTTCTGTTGAACTAGTGCGTGTCTTGTCCTATCTCATGAACTACGATCATCCTGACGAAAATCCTTTGAATGGGTTAAACATCTCCTCCCCAAGAAATGTTGTGCTACACAGGAAACTGTTGCTGTGTAAGTTGTTAATCGCAAATAAGGAGGTGTGAAGGCTATCCTTGACGTCACGACCATTTCTCATCTCATGGCATTTGCCATCGAGGGTGCGGACCACCACCCAACCCAACGGACAACGGCTCATCTCTCAGAGGGGGATTAGTGATCCGACCCGGGGAGGTTCTTTGTGTGAGGGATCGGTGACTTCATCGTTTTCGGTATCGTATGTAGTAGGTACTATGTTTGTAGAAAGAGATGTAGGATAGTATGGATATCATGCATGGAGTAATTTATCACTATCTTAGCCCATTCATCAAATCCCAAACACCGTCGCAATCCCCATACTCTACAGTACGAGCACTCTGCAAAAGCACCAGACCCTGGGGAGGAGGAGGAGGAGGAGGAGGAGGAGGAGGAGGA